TATGCGGGCACATACATGTAGATATTTAAGTACCGGTATATCAAACTTATTTTCATTTGTATGTCTTGAAAATGCAGCCTTTAATGATTTTGATTATGACTAACATTCTGACATGGAACTCAGATTTGGCTAGGTATATAGAGTTCATGAGGTACAGAGCAGCAGGATTCTCTCTCCCCCTCAATCACGCCTACACACACATTGTGATTACAAAAGACCTGTGGTTGTATTGTAATAGACAGCTGACTATAGGCAACTAAACCGGTACTGTGCACAAGCATGCTATCTATTCATGAGCCATAGTGACTTTGAGAAAAGGACGTTTCTTGTCTACTATCTAGTGCAGTATGTGGGCAGATTGGTTTACTGTGTGTATATAAATGTACATGTACATATAGGTTGTATTACCGTATATCAAAGTTATTAAATCTGGCACAAATAATGGAAGCCCATTTAGGATTGCATCTAGTGTAGGTTTACACATGTTTTTACAATGAAATGACTCTTCATTTAGCCATGAAGGTACAGAATACAGATGGAACCAAACTAAAAATGGTACTAGTAGTAGTAGTAGGACTGTACATGTACATTATTCATATCAAACATTTATTCAATTGTAAATGCCCCTTTTCCAATAGGTTGCTCTGCTCGACCAAAGTATTGCATGTGTATGCATTGGCAAGGTAACCTTCATACGAGTACATGTTCCATGCATACACGTATCACTGTACACGTATGCATGGCTGATCAGTAACACAGGGCAATTTAGGTATTTGTGCATTGATTATAATCTTGTGATTCACCCCCCTAGGAATCGGTCAATCAGTGCACTGTCTCGCCAGTACCACACAATATGTGACTTCACATTGTACTCTACTCCTCATTGCCCCACCCCCGCCCCCACATGCTTGCATGCCGTTATTGAAGTTTGGGATAACCAGAATATTTGTTCAAAACGTGGAGGTGATGTCATTGTGGGTTTTATGGTAGTTTTAGGCTAGTAGTAGTCTGCTCAGTCTAGCACAGACTCTCATTTGACACTTTACCACAATTCCGAAAGCCTTGAGCAGAGCCTAGATTTATCACTATCTGCATGGCAGGATTGACTCAAGTACAGAGCCTAGTGTAGTCTGACAATGCAGACACTGTTACGCACAACGACCTACAAGGGTTTTTACCTGCAAACTAGTTTAGTAGTGTCTATATTACAAGTTAGCGTAATGAAAATCTGAAATATTTAATGCTGATTCAAAATTCTGCATAAAGTGAGTTGAGCATGCGTCAAAACGTGCCCGAATGAGAAATAAAATGAAAGTTTAAAAAAATAAAGATTTTTCATTTTTAGTAATTTGTTAACATTTAAACTTGGCAAAAATTTCTCGCCTTATCTAGCAAGGTTGCATTTGCAAAAGTAGCAAATATTAAAAGTGACTTTGCCTCTCAGAAATAGCACTAGAATCAAAATGTCTTGATTAAAATATATTATGTCCTTTGTGAGTTAGTGTCATCTTACTAAGAAAAGAATAATTTCCTTCCCAATAAAAAAAAGGGGGGGGGGGAGACATTTTGTCTACCGGTATAATGTTGTTGAAATTACAGATCTGAGTTGTTGCATTCTTCTTTTTTTGCGCCACCCTGTACATCCTCTGTCTTGGTTGACATACTGTACACATTAAGACCCAAGATAGAAAATACATACATGTAGAGGTCAGAATTCCTTTATATTGTGCTATGAATAAAATTATTTTTGTGTTCTACAACTGTCAAAATGGCAGGTGCATAGCACGACTCAAGGATTACCAACCTACATGTATACATGCACATGTAGTTTCTCCATGTAAGTAAGTTTGATTATTCGTGCATAGCCAGCATGCACCCTAGTACCTGAATGAACCGTTCTGTCCGCTGACCGACCAAGGCTGAATGGTCAATTATTAACTTTGTTTCTAGCTTATCTTCATCTTAATATAAGTAGCATCAATTCTGCCCCATTAAAATGGCAAGATTACTTTGATAATAAAATTGCTTTACTTTTTATGCCTCCGTTACGAAGTAGCCGGAGGCATTATGTTTTCGGGTTGTCCGTCCGTCCGTCCGTCCGTCCGTCCGTCCGTACGTCTGTACGTACGTCTGTACGTACGTCCCGTTCTCGTGATCACGTTATCTGAAGAACGGATCAATGGATTCCTACCAAACTTTGGTCATATATGTATCTAGCAAAGTAGATGAACTGATTAGATTTTGGGGTCACGAGGTCAAAGGTCAAAGGTCACAGGGCTCATTATGTATGCAAAAACAGCTCGTGATCGCGTTATCTGAAGAACCGATGGATGGATTCCTGCCAAACTTAGGTCATGTATGTATCTTGTAGAGTCGATGAACTGATTAGATTTTGGGGTCACGAGGTCAAAGGTCAAAGGTCACAGGGCTCATTATGTATGCAAAACGGCTCGTGATCGCGTTATCTGAAGAACCGATAGATGGATTCCTGCCAAACTTTGGTCATGTATGTATCTTGCAGAGCCAATGAACTGATTAGATTTTGGGGTCACGAGGTCAAAGGTCAAAGGTCACAGGGCTCATTATGTATGCAAAAACAGCTTGTGATCGCGTTATCTCAAGAACCGATTGATGGATTCCTGCCAAACTTAGGTCATGTATGTTACTTGCAGAGCCGATGAACTTATTAGATTTTGGGTAACGAGGTCAAAGGTCAAAGGTCACAGCGCCCATTATGTATGCAAAAACAGCTTGTGATCGCGTTATCATTAGAACAGATTGATGGATTCCTGCCAAACTTAGATCATTTATGTATCTTGCAGAGCCAATGAACTGTGTAGATTCTTGGTTCATAAGGTCCAAGGTCATGGGCTCATTATGTATGCAAAAATAGCTTGTGAACGCATTCTCATTAGAACTGACAGATGGATTACTATTTAACTCTGGATATCTTGCAGAGCCAATGAGCTGAGTAGATATTAGGATCATGAGGTCAAAGTTCAAAGGGTCATATATGTATATGAGAAATTGTTTGTAATCACGATATTCTGAGAACCTGTTAATGGATTACAATTGAACTTGAATTTGAAAAATTTCTTCTGTTTTGGTTTGTAAAATTGCTCTATGACGGAGGCATCATTTTCGACTGCGCGCAGTCGAATTCCATCTAGTTTTAAATTGTATCAGTAGACATTTTATATATCTCTCTAAATAAAGATAGCTTATCCAAAGTTTTGTATTGGTATTACTATTCCTTTATTGTTATTATCAAAGGAGTTGCTTAGACTAGAAGGTGTGTGGAAGAGTTCTTTTCCTTAATTTGATTGCAACAGACTTGATAATTCATTAGATAAAAAATAAATATTGACAAGAAAGACTGCCAAATTTGATAAGACCATGAAAGTTGACAAGAAAGACTGCCAAAATTTGATAAGAACATGACCATTTGTTTGAACATTAACATGCTTGTGTGCATGTTCATGTCCATGCATACCCGACCACATTATGAAATGTCATACTGTAGTCAAACCACTGATACATGTCATGTACTTGTCCGTGCATACATTGTCAGAGATCAGACAGAATCATCTACAGTATGTTAAGTGTACTATTGCCTAAAATCATTTAATTCCTATAAAGTGCCTCATTAAAGACTTAATTCCTTACTTTGATACCATGTACATGTCTTTAGCATATTTCAGAAGTCAGAGTTCACTTGGGAGCCCTGTACAATGTGCATGTATTATGTTTGGCTACACTATATCAAAGAAGGTAACTTTTGTGATATACATCTGTAGCAGCCCTTGAAAATTCAGAAAGGGGGGGGGGGGGACCTTGGAACAATCTAAGCAGGAAATATCAGTTCTACATAATTGGAGAAGAGTTGAAAAAGATATTTTTTAAATATTATTTTGAAGTCTAACATTGGGGAATTAAAGCAGTAATGGGGGGGGGGGGGGGTGTTATAATTTGATTCTTCAAGACTTCACTCAAGGTTTTATTAGTAAGATTTCTTATCTCTACATACTGTAGGTGTGTTTATAAGCTACCTATTTCTGGGAATTTGCAAGTTTTAAACTGCTTAAATTATCTAGGATTAAAAGAATGAGTATCATACCAGTTATCTCTCTCAGCATTTATGAGCAAACAGGTTCATTTTTCAGCATTAATTATTCGTACATGTATATCAACTAGGCGTAGGCAGCTGACCCTAGTCTAATTTGATGGTAATTAATTAGCAAACCTCGCAAACAACCCTAATACGCCATGCTATTGTACGCGCCTCTATGCATCTGCTTTGAACGGGATGATAACTACATGTAATAGGGACTTTTAGATTTGCGTGGACTGATACGTGTGACGTCCATTCAAGGCAGTGCATTAAAAGGACGTCGACCGTAGCAATCCACGTTGTTGTTCGGCAAATCTAAAAGTCCCTAATGTCATCAGAGTGTGCACAAAATTACATCTTGTTTTCCTGATGTCACCCTCAATACAAATTAACTGAAACTGCACATCACCAAATTACAGGCTTTGATGAAAAATTATGAACCAGATTATTGATACCTGCAAGACTGAAATTATCTGAATTGATCGAGGTAAGACTTATGTAATTCATCTCAAGTTATGAAGGTGGGGACAGGATATACTGTACAGGCTTCAAATCAATCAATCAATTTGGGAATTTGATATATTCAACAGATGGTCGTGCTTCAAACTCTTTGTTTAATGAAAATCAGCCACGCCTCTGCACAATCTCGCCACTCAAGCGTTGAGCTTTTTTAAATAGCCATTGCACCTGTATAATCATGCACTCATTATACACATCAGACCTCCATTTGTAATCGAGTCTTGAGAGTACATGTCGGAGATACTTGGAATGGGCATCTGAATGTTCCACAAACACTGTAGATAATCACATTCTTTCAGCATTGGAGTGGTATTAGGAGGGCATTAGGCTACCGATTCAACAATACAAGGTTACTGATCTATCTAGGAAACAAGGAGTTGTGACGCATATAATGACCCTTTGGTTTTAGTGTTGTTTTGCCTTTATTATCTGATATTGTTGGCATGTGCTGACTTGAGGTGAGGTGACTGGCTAGCTGTCGATCGTACAGGAATTAGTAAGACCAAGGGAAATCATTGTGGGAGTGACTGAGCGAGCTCGACACATCCTGTATACGTGGTTGGTAGCGATAAATCTTTGTGCAATACTCAGAGCTGCTTGGATATATAAACTTGGCTACTGCTTTTGGGCTGTTCAGTGCACTAGTTGGAATTCATTGAGGTTTACCAAGAGGATTCAAACAAGGGATTTGTCTGCATTTGACTGTTTTTGTTCTTTTTGCTTGAAAGAGGAGCAGTAGGAAACTATAGTGTATTTTCCAGTTGTGTCTTTTGTGTCATTTGGTGAACAACATTTAAAAACATGGAGCACGTACAGAAACTGAGGGAGGAACTAAACAAACAACCATTTCACATCAAAATAGCAATTCAAGGTATCTGGTATAGAAATGACAAAAACTGTGTTTAACTTATTCTCTATGTCTATTCAAGAGTAAGGAAATGCTTTGAAGTACTTGTTGAAACTGGTGAAGTCAAAATTGTCATACATGTACATGTAGATACAATAAGGACTTTTAGATTTGCACATCGACATAGTGGACTGCTACATGTGACGTCCTTTTAAGGCACTGTGATGTCCTTTTAAGGTACTGCCAGTGCCTTAAAAGGACATCACATGTAGTAGTCTACTATGTCGACATGCAAATCTGAAAGTCCCTAGTGACAACAGGTCAACGAATGAATTTATTTTTGTTTGTTTTTTGTAATTGAAAAAAAGAAGATTGTGTCAAGGTCTTCAATAGAGTTACAGTTATATATTTTAATTTCATGTGTTACAGTACAGTACGTTATGAAAATTGATTGATGATTTGTTTAACCTATAATAAAGGTGATTGAAGTAAGCAGGGCGACCAACAGCTTGGTATTGAGGGCTAGTGCCTTCATTGCCAAATAGCACTAACATATCATGAACTTGGTTTTGAGCCACAAACCTCCCCCTGCATGTGAGAGACCACTGTTCTATCACTGTGCTATCCTGTCTCCTTACGATGGATGCCTAGTGTGCTCAAAATAACAAATTATCTGAACAGCAGTATGTATCAAAAGGATAGTTTAAAAAACGTAAATTATTTATTCCATCGTTTTCTTTTTCTCTTCCTCCGCTCATCAGGTGCTGTTGCTCTGGTAGGCATCTGGCTCGTAGTTGGCTATGCCGCATCCTTCCTCACCAGCTTCTTGGGATTCTTGTACCCAGCATACTGCAGGTAAATACCCATTCATTCATCCAACATTAACCCATTAGCACCTACAGAAGTACTGTAGCTTTGTATGTGAAGCTATGGCCACAAAGGTTTGTACGAATGTCCGTTTTTCCATGGTCTTCCCAATTTTCCATGGTCTGAAAATCGTTTGTAGCAGTTCGTAATGGCATTTGTGACCGAGGATTTAGGCTACTGGTTGGGAGGTCCTCCCATTAGACTGTCGGCCGACAAAACTTTCAACCTACAAGACATTATTGGTCTATTGAACACAATTATTTAGGAAGGACCGCAATTTTCAATTCTCCAATTACTTTTCAGTTGGCCCGCAAGACCAACATTGTACATGTATAATCTCCAATAAAGAGAGAATTAAGAGACCAAGATTCTCGGTCTCATGGCCTTGCAGTCTTGTGGGCTGTCATTCTCATTGGCTGTAGCTACTCACTTGAAGAAGTTCATCTTCAGGGTGATGTGCTGAAGAATGTACTTTTTTATTGTATGGTTTGGGAAGATTAAAAGAAGTACCTTAAGCTATGGGAGGACTGAGCCATTAGAAAAAAATATGATGTTAATATGTATGTAGAATTTGTCTTCTAGAATTTCTACAATTTGGCATTGGTCTTGTTTCTTTTTTTATCAGAGTAACATGTTTTTAGTACATATGCACTTCTGTACCTGCATACAATCCAAACAGTTCCATTGTTTCTTGACAAGTGACGGCATGTAGGACAAGTCTTAGGTATTTCGAAAGCAAAAGATGGAATGCAATTAATCATGTAGGCTCAAGGCAGTAAGTATTCATGTATGTGGGTCTGATAGATAGTAAGGTACGATAAAACATGTAAACATTGTTTTAGTATGGTAGAGAACAAAGCTCAACTTGATGCATTACAGTGTATAAAGCATTTAGACAGATAATTGTAGAGGCGTAGTCACCTTGAGGGAAACATACTAGAGGTGTCATCCAGGGAGGTGTTTCACAAAGAATAAGATCAACTTTAAGTTGGACTTAACTATGGCAGGCCGCTCATGCCACTAGTTGCTCTCAACATTGGTCTCTCAATTATGATCTTTAGATAATATTTTTTCCTTCGATTATGAACTATCAAGAAAGGCGAATTAAGTAGATTTGTGGCCATTGTTTGTACGTCCCTTGAGATACAAATGCCAGTAAATGGTCAAAGCAAACAGTGGCATGAACTGCCTGCCATAGTTAAGTCCAACTTAAAGTTGATCTTAGTCTTTGTGAAACACTCCCCAGGAGTTTGAGACAGAGTCGAGCTAGCTGAAATGATGATGAATGAGGGTGGCACATCAACCATGTCTCAGAGATCCGCTCGGCTGCATATGCGGCAGGATGGCATTATGGCCGTCGATGAAGCACTACATGTATTATTACATCCATGTCCAGTGTCCACGTAGACCTGTATCATACAAGCACTGCACAATTTCCTAATATCTTTGTGCGTTTCAAGGAGAGACAACATAAGTGAATTGTGTTAAATCACCATTTAAAGGGGTCTAGGAGTGACTGCATTTTCAAAATGGTAGATTCAACATAAATACTAGATACCTCCCTGCTACCTTCAATGTTGAATCTAGCAACCCTAATAAAGAATGAGATACAAAAAGACACTCATCAGCCCTTTTAATGATGATTTAATATTTTAGTTTATTAGTTTAATTACTGAAAGAGAAAATTATCTGTTCCATATTGGCCTATATTTAGTTTATGTGCATGTACGAGAATGGGTGCTCTTTGCACAGTGCATGTTTTGTGTATGTTGATATGACCTGCTGCTTCTACAATAGTTATCAGCTTAGGTCAGGTTAAATGTACAAGTACATGTACACTGTACTCATCAACATACAGAAATATGTGTTTACATTTTGTTATCTAGCAGGTCAAATTATGAACAAGATTTGATAGCAGAGAGTCAAAGTATTGTGATTTTCTGTAAAACGAAACTCCTCATATCTTTGGAATTCAAATTAGTTCTACATGTATTTATTTGTTTAATGCATTAATTGGTGCAAACTGCAAAGTGTACATATTATCGCATCCCAATATTAAGCATTAAGGCCTACGTGCTGCATGTTTCATCATATCATTGCTTATCTAAAGTGTGTAGTATATTTGAGATTAGTCTTGACTACATAGAGCAAATTCAAATGGCACAAGTTATGGTTGCTACAAGTATGCATTTCAAATTTGATTCCATGACTAAATAAATAAAGCTTGTATCAGGTATCGTAGTCAGTGTATGGTAGACCTGCCATGCTAACATGTAGCTAGTTCCACTGAGGTTTAGGTATTTGCATGTACAATGATACATGGTGTACGCCACATACCACTTGTAAAAAATGACACCCACACAAAGCAAAAAATCTTGCATAGTTGTGGTTTCTATTATCCAAGAAATATTTGAGTTATTAATTTTCTGGTATTGAACATCAGTACAGTGTACGTGCCCCATAGTACATCCCACAGAAAAGTTCCTTCCCACACTGTACAAGCCTGATGTACATGTACAGAGTGTACGTTGATGCATGTCATGCCCTCTGTACAGTGGACCATGGCAGTGAACCGTGGAACACTGCCACGCAGTAATTGTGGTCAAATGGCAAAGCCTCAAGGTGACTTTGACATGTACCGCGATAGATTGTGGTTATTTCCGGATATGATGTCATCTGAGTAGGATTCAGGAATTCCTCTCTTGCCATGCAAAGTTTGATCATTATGATATCCTTTTCTTTGGTTTTAAAGTTAATACCCATGTTTTTAGTCACTATTACCTGTAGCTTATTGAATCGTCATGCAACCTGGAACAGTCACACCTTGGAAATTTCTAGAATAATCCAGCTGACCGAAACCAAGAACTGTTTTTATAGTTTCACTTGTCAATCCCATCTTGGCCTACCTGAGCAACTGAATACTTTCACAAAAGCATGTCTGATAAAACCAAAACAGAACAAACTTAAAGGGATAGTTGAGTTCCGTTTTAAGATCGCAAATGTCTTCAAAGTGCATGGTTATTGCTCTTATTTTTTATCTATGACATTTCTAGTGCTCTCTTAGAACCTAAAATTGCTATAAAGGTCATTTTAGACCCCAAAATGTGTGAAATTTAGCCAATACGAGCATACCAATTCGGCTCCACTTTAAAAAAAACACGGTGACCGTTAATTAATTATTAATTAAAAATAACAATACATGGGTTGGCTGGTTGTGCGTAATATAAGCAACAAGAAAATGCCAACAAAAAAGCCAACATTGGTATTGGCTGCAATACGACGTAAAGGTGTTATTTCATTACGGTATTTTTTTTTCAACAGTTTTTTCAAATTTTTCAGAATATATAATATTTGTGGTGGTACACAAGTATTAGAAATTGTTATATTTCAGCCGTCTTGAACCGATTTTGATCAAACAAAGATGATTTTGTCATTTAAATATTATGTTCTTTCAAATTTGACCCTCACTTTTTCATTATCCCACAAAAAAATTATTTTGTAACAGAACTCAACTATCCCTTTAATAACTAGAAGAACAAATAAAATAAAAATAATGCACTTTCATGAGGCCTTCCTTTGAGTAGTAATTTGACAAAATTCATATTACGCTGTATTTGTATGTACATGTACAAAAATAGTATAATTATTTGTTCGAAAAAAATTGAGAATTATAGAGTTAATTGTACATGTACATGAAGGATTATTTTTTGTTTGGATGCTAATAAAAGTTTACCTGGTAGCTTCTATATTTATCCACATTGGAATTTTCTGCATCCTGATTCCGGAATGTGAAAAATTGAGAATTTGCTTGTTGTTTCCTGATTACTTTGTACAAGTTCATCATGTGTAATGTAGAGTATATGAGCTGCATACTGTACTGTAGATGAATCCGCATTGAGCTCATTAAAGGTGTATTTTCATTTTAGCTGGTAGGTAAATGGGATGACTAACACTGGATACAAGTGGCAAGGTCGTCTAGGCTAGCGCTTAGCAACACCATTACATACATTACACTGACCTGGGACATGCATGTACGTGCATGTGATCAAGCTAGTCATTAATGAATATAGGCTACAGGTGTACTTGGTCCAAAATTCACATTCTAGAGATGATTCCCATTTGAATAAATATAGTTTTCTGTTAATCTTTTGGAGCCAAATGATTCCAGAGTAAGAAATGATTTGAGAAAAATCTTATTTAACCAAGGTCTGTGCATGTCCTAAAAAACATAGATGCAGATCAAGCCAGGAAGAGGCTACATGTACATGTATATACACTGAAACATGATTTTCAATCTCAAGTTATTAGCCCAATTATAATTGTAGTACCCCAATCCAATTGCATTAGAAGTATTTTTTTTTCTTTGCATTTTGTGTAAAGACTTTGTACATTGATTTAATAGACTTCTCAAAAAATACTTCAGGTTCAATTTGAATGCAAATTTATTTTCAAATCTTCCATTATGTGTACATACATGTAGATGGCTACATCTTATCTACATGAATGTACACACATGAATGGCTGTTGCAATGATTGGCTTTTCTTCGCGATACAAAGATTTAGGAAGGTATTACTTTAATAAACTGACGAGCACTATGCAGGATCGTGTTGTATTATTATTTCAATTTTGTCTGTGCTGTCTCTTCTCATTTGCCCTTATTTTGTCATAAGCCTCAAAGATCGAGGCACCTGGGTGAACTGATCAGCTCCAAGCATTCTCTATTTAAGGCTATGACTGACCACTCGCCATCAGTGGTCTACATGTACAATATATGCTACAGGAGGTGGTGTCTAGGCCTCCGTGTTAGATCTGTTCTAAGGTGTGGGAGGGTCTCCTGTGTTACTCTCTTGCATTCATTCCATACACATTGTTATTGTACGTCTTATAACAGTATCGAGAGAACTATGGAGATTTTGTATAAGATTCAAGGCAACTTGTATTTAACTACAATGTGTGCAGACTGGGTGTGATCAGGTCTGTCTGGGTTTCATGAGCGCTTGAACGAACATGAATTGATCGTTTCTTTTTAGTCTCTTCTTGGAAGGATGGAATTGTAGAGGCATGTCTTAATAAAGAGGAGGTCATAAGACATCTGATAGATTATGTAACATTTAGATATCTTGTGAGGTGAAAATGGAACACTGACACCCCCCCCCCCCCCCCCCAGGGGACAAGAAAATGGAAATATAGAAATCAATTGGAAAATAAGTATAAAATTATAACAGTGTAACAATGTACAATGTATTGCAGTATGATCAGGGCCTCCCATATCCCTGGTATGATACAAATCAATAAAAATAAAAAAATCAATATCCACAAAGAGGATTGTGGCATATTGAGCAAAGGGATACATGTACATTGTAATGTACCGGTATATAATATGAGCCCAAAACCACTCGACTGAACCTAAATGTAAACACGGTTGACCAAATGTATTTCTTTCTTTTTTAATTTAATCAAAATTGCAATCGCATAATTTTGTTCAACAAATTATCCAACCACAGCACATAACATACATGTGTCATTTCACTTGCTTGAAGATACTTAAAAGACTATTAAAAGAAAAGTAGGAAAATGAAAATACACGATAGTTACAGATAAGTCAGAAAATACGAGAAATCTACTGGAAAGCAATTTTTTGAAAAGATGAGTTTTAAGGTTCAGGCCAAATATGAAGTGAAATGAGAAGTTGATGTCATTTCATGATCAGAACTCTACAAAACGTGGTAACATATACACTGTATTTGGACACCAAATGACCAAGTACCTGGGACTTGCCCAAGATTCAATAAGCGAGTTCGTAAATAGCTCTGGACCGCATGACCCCAAAATATCCACAGATCTTAGACACGATGGATACTTCCCACCTGTGCATTTTAGAATAATCACTGCCAAAGTGACGGAGGTGCTTCATGAATACCTTTTGTTTGCCTCTTGAGAAGAATACTTCCACCTGTGTATCAGATAAATGTACTGTTGGTGCATAAATGAATACTGATTACATAACTTTCATGAGCAGGATCCGAGTATTCGTCTCAATGGTTTTACAATTTGGGTCCGAGTCACCTTGATCTGCTCATGCGCAAATCCTAATTATGAACTCGCTTATTGAACTTATATTAAAAAAACATTTATCATCAATGATATGCAGACTGTTTCTCTTCAATAACAATTCTCTCACTTTAATAAATCACTCTTTTCTTCTCCTCCTCTCCAGTGTAAAGGCGATTGAGAGCACACAGAAAGACGACGACACACAATGGTTGACATACTGGGTGGTGTACAGTGCCTTCAGCCTGGTGGAGTTCTTCTCAGACATGTTCCTCTCATGGTTCCCATTCTACTATCTGGCTAAGGTAATTTCATTTGATGCAAAATGAATGGTAAAGATATTGGTTCAACTTGTCAGAATAAAGTATATGGGCAGTGGCATGTGAATTAGATGGAAATTGGCATCGATTAGTTTTATGTTCTGGATAACTGTTTTTAAAACCGGGTTCCATTTGCTACTGAATGAAAATCCTTTTGTGCCGAAGGAAGGCTGAAATGCGAAAAGAATGTTGGAAAAGATTGTAATCGCTGAGATTTTGGTTTGTGGTTCATGTAACAGTAAAAATATCTTGAATTTCAAACTTTTTTGCCCTAAAGTTTTTGAAAGATTGTGTTCCACCCTTTGTGGTTCCAGCATTTGTTGGACAAGATACTTGTTGCATTTGGAATTGCCCAAAGGAACAGCATTAACATGTCAATAATATATTGAAAGAAGTAGTCTCAACATACATACATTTAGATATTTGATCATGGCTCTCTAAACCTTTTTTTTCTTTTCACTTCTCTCCTTTCCTCTCCCCTACCCACTCGTAGATGGCCTTCCTTGGCTGGTGCATGGCCCCCATCCCAGGCAATGGTGCTCAGTTCCTCTACCATCGCTTCATCAAACCATTCATCCTAAAGCACCAGGCCGAGATTGAAGACTCCCTCGACAAGGTTACAGATATTGCCAGCTCCACGTTGAGTGAAGGTAAGTTGTGGACTCCAAGCCATCTCTTCTGCTTGTTCTACCTAAGAAGCGGTAGATTTGATACGTCCCTACTCATCTCATGTATCTTGAAAAAAAAGGTGCTTGTTCACACAACTGTTACCATTTGGACCCGTGGAGATATAACAAACCAAAAAGGCAAAAATTATCTAAATCTTCCACAATAGTTTAAATGAAGGTCATGATTTATAAGTCGTTATCTTTCTTACCTGTTTCGTGTCAATTTTCTCATCTTTTGGGGAGTATTTTTCCTAAAAATGAAGACTACACTGTGCTGTTTGAACAGATGAAGGATAATGTTTATTTTTATGCCTCCGCCACCGAAGGTGGTGCCGGAGGCATCATGTTTTCGGGTTGTCCGTCCGTACGTCCGTCCGTCCGTACGTCCGTCCGTCCGTACGTCCGTCCGTCCGTCCGTCCGTCCGTCCGTCCGTCCCGTTTGACCGTTATCACAATATCTCAAGAACCATTTAAGATTTAAACTTAAGACTCGGGAATAGTATTTATCACCATAGGAAGACGATCTGATTAGATTTTGGAGTACGTAGGTCAAAGGTCACAGGTCACAGAGGTCAACTTATGAAATTCCTTGTATTGAGTTTGTTAGCGCGATATCTCAAGAACCATTTGAGATTTAAACTTCAAACTTAAGGATAGTATGTATCACCATAGGAAGACGATCTGATTAGATTTTGGAGCACGTATGTCAAAGGTCAAGGGTCACAGAGGTCAACTTATGAAATTCCATACATTGAGATTGTTATCATGATATCTCAAGAACCACTGGAGATTTAAACTTCAAACTTAGTGATAGTGTGTATCACTATAGGAAAACAATCTGATTAGATTATGGAGCACGTATGTCAAAGGTCAAGGGTCACAGAGGTCAACTTATGAAATTCCATACATTGAGATTGTTATCATGATATCTCAAGAACCACTGGAGATTTAAACTTCAAACTTAGTGATAGTGTGTATCACTATAGGAAAACAATCTGATTAGATTTTGGAGCACGTAGGTCAAAGGTCAAGGGTCACAGAGGTCAACTTATGAAATTCCATACATTGAGATTGTTATCATGATATCTCAAGAACCATTTGAGATTTAAACTTCAAACTTAAGGATAGTATGTATCACCATAGGAAGACGATCTGATTAGATTTTGGAGCACGTAGGTCAAAGGTCAAGGGTCACAGAGGTCAACTTATGAAATTCCATACATTGAGATTGTTATCATAATATCTCAAGAACCACTGGAGATTTAAACTTCAAACTTAATGATAGTGTGTATCACCATAGGAAGACAATCTGATTAGATTTTGGAGCACGTAGGTCAAAGGTCAAGGGTCACAGAGGTCAACTTATGAAATTCCATACATTGAGATCGTTATCGCGATATCTCAAGAACCACTGGAGAATTTTCACTTCAAACTTAATGATAGTATGTATCACCATATCATAATATCTCAAGAACCACTGGAGATTTAAACTTCAAACTTAATGATAGTGTGTATCACCATAGGAAGACAATCTGATTAGATTTTGGAGCACGTAGGTCAAAGGTCAAGGGTCACAGAGGTCAACTTATGAAATTCCATACATTGAGATTGTTATCATGATATCTCAAGAACCACTGGAGATTTAAACTCCAAACTTGTTTAAATTGCTCTATGGCGGAGGCATCATTTTCGACTGCGCGCAGTCAAAATTCCATCTAGTTTAAATGTAATCTAAATGCAGTCAGTGAGTTACATGTATGAGGAGCTCACTCAATCCAATTAGATTACAATTTTCAGATGAACAATATTATTCTGCAAAATATGTTGATTCAGAAAGCAATTGGCCATATTTCCTGTTTGCCTCACCGTATGCATGTAGTGTGAACTTGATACCTTATACATGCATGGATGGATGCATGCACATTGACAAGTAATAATCAAGATTGTATTGATCCTAATGTTAATACTGTTATGCTGTATCGTTGTGTGATCCCTCAGCATTCCAGGGCTTGAGCGAAGGTAGGCTTATCAAAGCATTAAAACTGCACAGATGAATGGGTTATGATACGGTTTGCACAATCTGCATTACTCATATGAGATTATACAACCTTAGAAACATGCATATCTTGTGAGAATTTGATGCGGAACTGTACGGCATTGCTCATTTTAGATTATGCAAGATCAAACTGCATTTTCTTGATCATTCGATGTGGAAGTTTACTACATTGCTCATTTTAGTAAATGCTAGATTAAGCTGCATTTTCTTGAGTTCTTGATGAGCAGCTTTGCACCGTTTAGAGTTGATCTAGGACCCTGATGCATGTACTGTGTGACTCAATGCATCAGGCATGATATCTGATACTACACAATGGTATACACTGTACATGTTCAATGTCCTATTAGGTCTGCAATGTGAAATATGATGTTGAGTTTCAGTGAGAAGTTAGAATGTGCTGGTAGGCTCAAAGTACATCCTAGGTCCTGTCTTATGACAAACAAGTTTTGAATAACACGCACAGTTTATAGTCAAGGCTCCATAGTATTAATTTGGCCATTAGTAACATTGAACAAAACATTTTGTTCTCCCATGGTTATCGGTATTCAAGGAACTCCAGTCGTGAGGCAAATGTGATATTTCCATAAATATTTGTTATGATTTTTTTTTTCTTTAGTTAGCTCAGAAATGCACCAAATTGCTTAACCTTCAATAGGTTAATAAGAAAATAATACAACAGTGACCCTATGTAAAAACTTTATATCTGAAACACAAGTATATACATGTATATTTTCATTTTTAATGAGGTCTTTAAAAAAAGAGCAAACAGTTTTCTTTTTATAGAGAAAATTTGTGGGATTAAATCAAAATGTCTGTTTACCTTTAGTTTTAATTACAACACTTACCAGTAGTTGAGTAAATCAAATTAAATTCATGTGCATGCCAAAAGTATTTTGAGAATACCAGGAGGTGTTAATATGAGCACAAGTTTATTTCTTTGAGTCTGTGCACTTTTATAATCAGAAAAGGCAATCTTATTTTGTTTCCCATTTAAAGGAATTTAGTATATTTATAACTACAATCTACCATAATCGTGTATTTATTTAGAACTGGAGTTGCCTTTTTTTTTAAATTTCTTTTATGAAAGAATGAAATAAAAGATGCCACCTACATGCATGGTTTCATATTACATTAACATGGGAACTGAAAAGTCTGACATGGGTGCGCAGTACAATCGATTACAGAGAATTTTAAGCTACAAATAGTTAGATAGAAAAGGCAAAGTCCAAAGAGATTACAGACAACATGTTTGCACTGATGTGGGTGTGGAGGTTATGGAGTTATTCAAATCAGGACTCTTGCTTGGAATGAGACAGACGTTAGTTGAGCAGTGCTTTTGTTCATTGCATGTTAATTACTAATAGCTTTAGTGCAGAGTATGCCTTCAAATTTTACCAGAGAACTTTAATTCTAGATATATTGTACAATGGCCTTGTCCCTTACCTCACCTCTAGCCTAAATAATAATAATAATAATAATATTCATTTGTAAAGTGCAATAACTAAATAAAGCCTGAATGTGGCTGAATTGAGCGAGACTTCTGAATATCCCATTACATAAAGAAAATCATTTGATTATTAGTACTTACATTAAAACTTTAGTGGTTTTGATTTGGAAACAGAAGTCAACCAGTTTGTTCCCTTACCGGTACTTTATACTACTCCACAAAATGTAAAATATTTATCAAAAAAATTAATTGAAATTGAATTTGAAGACAAAAGAGAAATCACAATACTTTAGTACTTGTTCATTTAGAAATTGTTAAAGTGACAGCAAGGTGAGAACTGTTTTTGCTTCAAGTTTTGTTTTTATTTTTATTTTTTGTATTAGCAGTCCATCCCCTAAAATTATTCTACTATTATAGTCATGTAGATCTTTTCTTTATTAAAAATAATTCATAGGAGTGGTTAGTCACATTTTGAAGGTGCCAATAATTTTTTTAAAACGTTCATATCTTTTATTTCATATTCAGCTGTTGACCTTATTATTTAAAGGCCTACACATTTGTTGCTTAAATCCACCCTCAAAGCCCTCATAGAATGTACAAGGAGGTGGATTAATCTTGAGTTTGGAGAGGCTTGTAATGTAACAGAAGTTCTTTGTGATCAAGGGATTAGCATTCAGATTTTTAGAATACTGTACAATTATCTGTTTTCTCTTTATCTTGAGCTTACAATCGTGTGTTTGACCGTGAAATATATTCAAAGTGTTTCCAGAGTTTATTCAAGTTTGAAGCTCAATTGGTAAGGGCTGAAGGCTGATCACCAATACAAGTTTCTATGCATCCCTAGCTGTAGGGCAGTCAGCACTGCAATTTTTATTCATGGCATGGCACTAGGATTAGAGCATTGTTATGGATATTCTATCTCCATTTAATGAGCTGTTTTTTTCTTTAAGCCATTGCTTTGAACTTGAGAGAAATGCTCTTTTGCCAATGTCAATATCTATAGATCTTGCATGATATATACAATTTACATGTACCTTGCGGCTTTGTACCAACAGTTTACCGGTACTCTTTAAAAAAGTATCCCCATACATGCATGCCGTTACGATTTATTAATTTTACTTGACACCAAGTGTTGCCTGAAAGTTACAAATCAGCAAAGCCCCTGCTGTATCTCACTTCCAAGAAAGGGATCCTGAAAAGAAGAAGTAATAAAAGAGGCTTAAACCTTTAGACAGACATTACAGTATGTATATAGTTACTAGCAGACAGAGAACTTTTATTATGGGACATTTTATCTTCTCTTTGGCCTTTGATATGAGTATTATGTAAGATCATGTTTACAGAACTGTCTAGGTTTTATTTGATTAGTTAATCTCACTTTAGCACATAATTTGCCATGTATATAATCAAGAATATGCATGATTTCAAGTGGGATAGATAAGATAGTGAAACAAGAAGTGAAACATTTTGATATATTTAGTTTCCATTAAGGTAGTATAGATGTAGACATAAATACCGTTACTACATACAAAGTAAACTATTTTTTATCATTACACCGTGGACCTGTGCATACTTCAACATGAAAATGTGTGGGCTAAACTGGGCTTCTGTGTTTTGTACAATGTACTTTATTGAAAGAGTAATTATCACAAACAGGATTACTAAAAGGGATCAATTCCTCTTTTATCACTGTAAAATACATATTGCACATTATCTTACATTGCAGGTACATGATACGGTTTTAAAGAAATGTCACTTGTCAGATCAACATTAATGTTAAAATTTATAGAGAAAGACTGGTGGAAATGTACAAATTCTAAACAAGTTCTGTGGTCTTAATGTTATTTATATGGCAAATAATATTTGCATCTATAGACAGGATTTATTGAATGAACTTGCATGGTTTGTGCTTGCATGCAACGAATGTCAAGCTAGTACAAAACAATTATGTGCAGACACATTGAATATATCGGTAATGATCCATGAGTGTAATAATTAGGATTTTCATGCATCAAACTATAAAAGGATTCTTGCACAAATCTACCAGCAATGGCTGGCCTGGGAGGGGGAGGTAAGAAAAAAAAAAGGGTCTCATGGTTAGAAATAAGATATCAAAGACCTACATGTACATGTATTTACTGGTAGTCTATAAAGGTGCATTAAAATGATTTTGTTCTCTGGAACTCTTTTGAGATATTCTGAAGTGGGGGCAATTTCCATAGCTCCAATCCTCTCCTCTCCTGTGAATATTTATTTTTGCTGCATCCAAACTAATTTCCCTCCTCTCGTTTTCTTTGTCATTACAGCTCAGAAGTTGGCCCAGGACGCCGCAGCGGACGCAGCAGCCGATCAGATCAAGAAGTCTATGGAGCAGCAGAACGCTGACAAGACTGACTAAACACCCTCATACGCCTAGCCTTTCAACACCCTTACACAATAGTCGTATAGTTCACAAACCAGTCAGCCTTAACACCATACTCATGCACCCAACACCATGTGCATGTAATGACTAAGCACCCTCCTACACCCAGCTTTTAACACCCTACACAAGAGTCGTATAGTACCACAACCAGTCAGCCTTAGCACCATGCTATTGCACCCAACACCATATACATGTACATGTAGCACACTGCATAAGATAAGAGAAAGAGCTAGACATGTATGTAGATAGCACTCTGCATTGGGTATTTGGTGTATAAGGCAAACACCAACTAAGTTAAACATCACTTATCTCAATGCATTATTTTACAAGTCATCTGTATGTACACCATGGGCAGTTGTTTCAATGCACAATAAATTGATCTGTAATTAGTAAGAGATTGTACATAGCACATTTCATTGCTCCGTATATTTTCATGATCTTCGAAAATGAGTGCAAATGTTATATTGATTCCTGCAAACTTTTATCCTGTGCAGCGACCAAATTATTGACCAAGCTATTGATAGTGATTAAGAACCCAAACAGACAGACAGACACTCTCTGAAACCTTTTCTGACAAACCTGTCTTGTTGAAAGCCCAGCTTATATTGGAATGTACAAACGGATAAGCACGCATTGCACATAATATCAGCAAAATCCAAATAAGCCCTTACAGTGCAACTTTGGGGTGGCTAAACATCGATGGTTGAAATATACATGCACAGTGCAATGAACAAGCGTGAATTTTGATGGTATGTTTGTGTTTTTCTGAGTCGCAAGCGTTCTCTGATCCTTTGTGAGCGAGTTCCTAATGTATTCATTATGCAGTGCTAGACAAAGTCATCATTTTTTTTCTTGCAAATAACATTTTGCAGTGAGCCCGATCATAAAACATAGTGTTGATATCATGCATGAACTGTTATGTACATGTTGGTGTGTGTGCTATGAGTAGCTTTGTGGTTCAAGCCTCGCCTGATGTCAGTTGAATGTTTCACGGCATGAACGTACATGTATGAAACCCTGAAGTTGTAAACTAAGCAGAATTCTTTCTTTCCATGGTGTTTATGAGCACAGTCCACAATCTAATGTATCGATATATACTACCTTAATATACACTAACCTTAGTTTCCCTGAAGATTAAATAACTGGATACACATATTCAATCATTTACAATGGTCAAATCAATCCGTTTGATGCATCATTAAAAAGGTTGCCAGATTCAAAGTCAAGACAAGGATCATGCATAATGTAAATGTGTGTAAATAATTTTTGAATACTTTAAGTGGTTAGTAATTAAAGGAAGATAAATTTTTAAAAACAAACAAAAAAATTATATGTGTATGAAGACAATGCACTTAGTGCATAGTCATAATGGTCTAGTGGTATTAACTCTTAGTTTCTTTTTCCTCACAAACGTGATAGCTTTGAGACTAGATTAATTTTTTCATTTCTCTTCAAAGTTTTTTTTGTAAGAAAAGGATCTTTGATGCTCTTTCTAGCTCATTACTTGTCTTGTTCAGTGGTTTTTATATGAATTGATTGATATTGATGTATAAATTCTGTCAAATGTTTTGTTATTGGTGACTTGCAGTTAGTGTGGTATATACGGTAAGCGATCTTATACTTGTAGCGACATATATTTGTACGATTGTATGCTTTGTATACCAGGAAAAAATCATCAGAACTAAAACAATTCTAATCACACCATTATGCATTATTTAGGTGATAGGACTGTACATATGTAGACATTCCAGTATCGGTGTAGCTTAACATCGTCTCTTGAATGCTAGAAGGACATTAACTATAACGTCCTTCTGGCTCTCAGCAGACGATATCTTGTTCCGCTTCACTAGGTCGATTAAACAAGCAAAATACAACAAGAGGTGTTCTGCATACAGCAGAGTACTCTAAAACTACATTTCTGTCACAGATTTCTGAATCACAAAACCACTATGTGCTTGCCATGGCGACAAATGATTCTCAGAAAATAAACACAATATCAAGACAAAATATTATACATTGCAAGACTTGGAGTTAGAAGCCCATAGATATTCATGAGAAATTTATATACCTGTAGTTATTGTCGATCTTTATGTATTCTTATAGAATAATTATTTGCAAAAATTATTTGGTATTTAATATACAATTTATTGTGGGTGTGTCGAAGCAAAGTGATTTTTTTTTTTTATTATCATTTTTATTTTGGGGGTCTTGAGTGAGTTTTATTTGATTAGAGATACATGTAGATTAAGAATTAAATCATGAACATGTGTCAAGTTGTTAGAATTATAATATCCCAATTAAACTCCTTAACTTATTTCATTCAATATGTATCAAAGTGTTCTTTTTCAATGGAGCATTATATTGTAATGTGACGGCAACAAGAACATCAAAATTGATAAGTAGGAATTGTTAAAAACAGTAGTAAATGTTGATGTTTGTTTTCTTTAACTTCTCATGATTGTTACTTTAGGAAATTAATTGAAATTTGGAGAAAAAATATATAAAATGCTTGGTATGGAGTAATTAAAAGTATTTGGTGGAAATTGATGAAATGTGTGAATCCAGAGTCATATTGTGCTAGTAATAATGCATTCTGTTCATCCTGGTTTACTTCGCATTACAAGGAATCACCGATGGACAAAGAGACTGGATAATGGATATGGAGAAGAGAAATTTAGAAACAAGAGATGGATTAGAGATGAAAACAAAAAGAGAGAGAGCTTTAAAGAAAGTTTAAGGAGGGGGGAGAGAGAGAGAGAGAGATAGAACGAGTGATACACAGTGAGAGAGTGATGAGAGAGATAATAGGGGGGAGAGGGTGAGGAGTTAAAGAAGATATTGAAATGCCTATATTTTGCATATATAGTTATGAATATGTACATTATTGCATATTTAAGTGGAAAGAATGATAACAAGTCCATGTTAGAGCCATTAAAGGTAATATAAAGTTTTGGGAAATTTTGAAATTGGGCGGATAGTGATTCTTTACCATTTTGATATATTTTGATGCCCCTGTGGATGTATTATAAGCACTAGAAAAATTAGCCCCTAAAACACTTCTGCTTTCGAGAAAAATTGAATATAAAAATTGTGCCGGTGCTCCCGGTAAATTTTGATAAATTGCAAATAGCGCCTATACAGCCGTACAATGTTAGCTGTGACCATGAAAATCTCAGAATATGTAGTTGTGATATATAATTTCCATACAGGAAAGGCTAATCGGTCGATTTTAGTCAAGAAACATTGTTTTATAGCTTAATTAATATCTTGACCTTGAGAGGGAGCTATACAACATAAAAAGTTTATTATTTACAATTTCAAAACTTAAGACTCGTTTTCAACCGCGACAACGATCACATAATATCGTAGAATCGCATTTGCTTCCATTATGTTCATTTGAACCAAATTCATGACCCCATACCAAAACTTTGTATTACCTTTAAGGCAACCACTATGTAGATAAACTGTATACTGGTATGAGTCAATGTCACCATCTCAAGGCCAATGGTATCATGTTCATGTCCTAGCTTTGATCTACAACATGACTGTTTCCTGTACCAGGTCTGCATTCTGCACCTGTAAATATTTACTCCATAGTCAGGAAGTTTGTACACATGGTTATCATGCTGTGGGACTATACTACCACTCCGGGGAGAGAGAGAGATTGAAGCAGAGAGAGAGAAAGAGAGATATATACAGTGAGAGAACGAAAGAGAGAGAGATGGGCACAGAGAGAGAGAGATGAGAGAGATTGAAGCAAAGAGAGAGAAAGAGAGATATATACAGTGAGAGAGAGGGGGCACAGAGAGAGAGAGAGATTGAAGCAGAGAGGGAAAGAGAGATATATACAGTGAGAGAGAGAGAGAGATGAGAGAGATTGAAGCAAAGAGAGAGAAAGAGAGATATATACAGTGAGAGAGGGGGGGGGGGGCACAGAGAGAGAGAGATTGAAGCAGAGAGCCAAAGAGAGATATTGAAGCAGAGAGAGAGATATATATATACAGTGAGAGAGAGAAATAGAGAGAGGTGGGGGAGGGGGGCACAGGGAGAGAGAGAGAGAGAGAGAGGTGGGGGACGGGGGCACAGGGAGAGAGAGAGAGAGAGCCCTGAACCAGATAACGGTACTAATTTGGGAGGAAATGATGGGCATCCTGAGTCAATATTGAGGCACTGCAATGCACTATGGACATGTTAAGGATTTGGTGAGGTCAAATGGTCTCATATTTTAGCTAAAAGGTGCCTGGGATTTTATAAGTGTTGTGTAAAACTGATAAATTCATTTGCAAGCGGATGAAAGAAATTTTGCATTTGAATAAGCATGACATTTTATGAGCGGTATTATGTGCCAGCCGGGACCTCAAATGTACTACCAGCACCAGTGTTTTATTGGGTATCAGTACTGTATTGTTCCGGTATACTATAACGCATTCAATACCATGTTCACGGTCATGACCCATTTTTCTTATATTACAAGATTTACTTAATGTTTTGATAACCTTGATAATCTTAAGTTAAACTCATGAACAAAGGAAATTTTGCATAGATATGATGGTCCATTGTAACCAACTCCTAATAGTTATTAAGTGCCTGTCTACAGTGATAACTGTAGACAAAAGGCAGACATGAAATATGGTCTTTGTAAGCAGGTGACATATATGAACAAGTTTTTGGTTTCAGTTATGAATCACTGTCCAATTAGAGAAAGAAATATAGCATCTACATGAGAGCCTGGAAGGTATTAACTGGTATCATTTAACACAGAGTTAATACTGGCTTCTGCATAACACTGAACAGATGATATGGTCTTTATAGATACTTGGTCTTCTTTCATACATGTGGTCGCTAAAACAGGTTCATTGTATTTTCAAAATGGTCGGATTGTTTGATGAAAGTGAGTGTGGGTCATTTCAGGACAAACAGTCTGCAATCTGACCCCATTCATAACTTTATAAAGCTGACACAAAAGAGTTGGCATACAGGGGATTGAATTATTGGTACGCATTATTAATTATTTCAACCCAATTCATTTCAAATGATAAATTAGTGCAGATTTTGTGGATATGAATAGAATATGCTTTGTGATATTTATCTGTGCTATCTATGAATTCTTCATGTTAATCTATTACTTTATGCCCCTTTCTGTGTCTTCTCAAGTCATTCACTTTTCTTGTTTTGCTTTTGATTATCTTCTCTTTATCTGCATGCATCAGCTTCCTGTTTCTTTCTTTCTTAATGTAGTTTTCCTCATTCCCCTCCTTTTCCCCATTTTTCTTCTTCATCTTCTTGTTCTTTTCTTTTTTTTCTTTTTTTTTTCTTCATCTTCTTTCTTCTGCTCTCTCTCATCTACTGTCATGATACAGCTTAACTTCTTGTTAATTGTGATAATGCTTCCTAATTAGTTCAATCATCAGTGTGTATTTCACATGCTACCGTTATATTGCCTCCTGTAGAGAAGTAAATCAAGTAATGACCTGAAGTGTTTCCTTTTATAAACTTCCTTCAGACAACATTACAGTTTTGGTCCCAATGGTGGCGGATCTAGGACACTCTTACAGGAATAATCTGAAAAATCTCTGACAAACAAAGTAACAAACAAGCAAACAAAAAGGTTATCACATTTCCACCTTCTTATGTTTTCACCCTTTCAACTTAAACCAACATTGTGGAATACTGGCATTTCAAGTATATGAATTTTGTACATTAGTTAACCTTACTAACATAGTAAGTTAGTAACTAAGTACTGTATATGTAAACAGAGAAGAAGAAAAAATGTCCTTATGAAGACAAAAAAGAAAAAATGAAAAAGCAACTACATGTTTCTTTCTGAAGGTTGCCTGACCCAATGACAACAGTAAATTGGGACCTGGTAATTAATTAGACAAGATCTTGGGTCCAACTACTCAAATTTTAAAGGCACCCTTCTTAGAAGTAATGTATATCATGCTTTATCATAATATCCAGGATATCTGAAAATTACTTAGATAGTAACTAAGGAAGCATAATAATTGTCAGTATACAAGACCCAGATTTCAAGCATACAAATTGTATATGTACGTGCGAATTTGTGGGCGGTGCGGTCTGACTGTATACTCATGTAGTATGATTTTCATTTCAGGGATGAACAAGAGATTCCAATTTGGAAGCTCATGTTTCTCTGCTGGCTGGAAATAAAATGTAAACAATTAACAAAAAATATGGTAACTGTGTTCAGACATTCAGTTAACGCATTAGCTACATGTATATTTTCCTTCATCTCTCTCTCTCTCTCTCTCTCTCTCTCTCTCTCTCTCTCTCTCTTTCTTTCTCTCTCTTTCTCTCTCTCTCTCTCTCTCTCTCTCTCTCTCTATATATATATATATTTCTCTCTCTTCACTCCCTCCCTGTCTCACTCTCTTTCTCTTTGTCTCTCTCTCACTCACTCTCTCTCTCTCCCTCTTACTGGTATACAGCTGAAAAGAAAGTGATAGTTATGTTCATGGAACCAATACAATTATAACAATTCTGATGAGAATATCTGTAAACATCCCATGCAACTATCATTGTGTTGTTCCCTCCTACAGGGTATTACTGGCAAATACTGTTTATCATTTCAGAAGGCCACGACCTCGTTACGATAGAGACTAATGATAAATGCAGACCAGATATGAGGTTTGTTAACCCCGTTTTCAATTGGAAAAACAGTTACAGTCACATGCATGTAGAATGTATATCAGATCAATGGAAGAGCAGTACTATGGTCAACAGAATACTATTATTTGGATGACAAATCTACTTTCCTTCAGTTTTTACTGCCTTGTACTACACTCAAAAGGTGGACACTATTTAATGTAAACCTATCTGTCATATATCAAAATTAGCATAAATGAACCCTTTAAAGTTTAAGATTATTTGAATTGGAATCATGCAATCCATGCATGAGTGAGCATAGCCATTTAACAATAAATGAGTCTCTGAAAGAAAATGGAAAAAATAAAGGAAGTAGCCATTCAAATGTTGATGAACGTGTGCATCTGTTCTGTAAGATATTCTTGTTCAACTATGAAATCAAAGAATGTTATGAGAGGAAATTGGATGTGAACTGGTCTAATCTCAGGACTACATATTGCTGACAAGCATGGTCAAGATGCCTTTCCTTTCCACCCAAGATCTTGGGACGATCCATAGGATACTTCCAATGCTCATCAACATTTGAATGGCCAGATGCCCTATTTTTGTAATAAGACCTTTAAACATCAGGCATTAAAGTTCAAAACTTGATCTTAATTGATGTTGGTAGAGTATTCTTTTTTCTTTAATTTGATATGTACTTTATTTTATTATATTTTATTGATGGGTTACATGAAAATTCTGAACAACGAGTGTTGACCACTTCCTTTGTTTTGCTGAGTGTATTTCATCCTTATTCGCTGTTCACCTCTTAGTGTTTTGTGCCATTGCATCATGCTTCTTATGCTTTTTAACCTCATTTTCTGCATACCCTCACATCTCATCATACGTTACATAATAGTTCATTATTGTTTGTATTTCTGTGGAATGTTTCAGAGGTTCCTTATCATACTGATTGAACACACCTAATTTAAGAAAAAAAGGGACGACTTTGGGCAATCAAATTGAGAGGCACAAGTCATATTTATTTCATAACATACCATATTTGCATTCCTTGATTTGCAGCTTACAAGACACAACAAGATATATTAAGTGTTTCCAGAATGACAAACTATGATGAAAGCACGAAAGGAGGGCACTTATAATAAACCCAGTCTTGCTCTAGACCGAAAGTCAGAAGGTTCAGAACAATGGCATGGTGACCTTGCCTGTTGTGTAGGAACCCTTACAAAAGTTGACTTAAGTCAGCGGGTTTCTCCATTAGAGGTGTTTAATATGGATAGCCAGGATGAGAAATAGATAGAGCAAGAGAGAAAGTGAGAGGGGGTAGGAGAAGAGAGAAGAGTAGAAGGAGGGAAGGAGTGAAGGAGGGGTGGAGAAGAGGGAGAAGGGGGCAGACAATGAGATAGGAGGGAGTAAAGAAAGAAATGTAATGACAGTAGCAAAGATTGCCACACATAGGGATAAGGGGGTATATGGTAGCAGGGAGAAATGGACAGACAGAGAGGCAGACAGACAGAGAGAGACAGAGAGAGGTAGAGAGAGAGAGAGAGACAGAGAGAGAGAGAGAGAGAGAGACAGACAGACAGACAGAGAGACAAAAGAAAAACAGAAAGAGAGGGGGACAAAGATAATTAATAACCTTTCCTATATTAACATTTCAGACAGAAATACAAAGGCATATAGGTCTACACAAAAAGTTCAATCAGTAATAAATGATACCATAAACATCATTGTACAAATTCTACACAAAGGCACAGAGAAGTACTGGTACTGAAAGGGGAAAAAAGACCCAATTCTATAACTTGATAGCATCATAAGTTCATATGACATTCCAGTGTACAAGTGCTGGTACTATATTTCCACATGCACAAAATATATAACACAGGAAACGATACAAAGAAATGGGTCAGACTGAATATAATATGCGTAGAACTAACAGGACGGAATAGGAAATATTGCATGTACTGGCACATAGTGACATATTAAAACAAAATATATAATGATGAGAAAATTTACAGTGAAAAAACAACCAAGTATTACCAACCATTAACATCTGTTTATAAGAGTTGACTGAACAATATGCTCAAATCAGAATAAGGAATGAGATCTTTAACAATAAATATTCATCCAAAAAATACATTTCACAGCTAAAATCTCTTCAGGGGAGAAAGGAAACCCCAATCTCCAGCTCAAAGTCATAAGCATTTTCTATCAAATAATTTTGAGGTTTCTTGATACAGGAGATAGTTATTTAATCAAATACAGTAAAATTGTACTTCAAGATATACAAGAAAAAGTGGAAAGCAAATCTAAACCAGATTTTGATTTGGTAATATGAACTGTAAATTTCAAAAAGTAATTACCGGTAAACATTTGTTTTACTAATCTATCTTTTTCAACCATCTACTTTTAATTTTCCAATAACAGTTTATTAGATGGCATCTGTGTTCTAGAAGATTCAGAATTGCTGCAATTTCAATCCTGTGAATGCACATGTATACACTACATGAATGTGTACCTGCACAGGTTTTCATAATAATGAATTAACTTTTAATTACTTTGCTATATATAAACATGTATACACATTATATTGGAATGTTCATTGTAAAATATCAAATCTTTTTCAATTGACAGACAAATTTAATAAGAATCAAATACAAATTACCCCAGTACTCATTTGATCAGATGGTTGAAAGCTTGAGGCAGAGGAATATTTTCCACCCCACATTACAAATATCACATTTTCAAACTGCATTGCAATAGATTTTTCAGTGTACATCATATGCTTTACATCCATCTACATTCAGAGTTAAACTGTGAATGTAGAATCTAATCAACTAGCTGACTAAACTACAATAACTAAAAAAGGAACAAAGATAGGATGTTCAAACTTTGGGCTAGTACACAATGCATTTATAATGCATGTAGTGAGTATATTTACTCCCCAGGGAGTGGATAAAATGCACATGGTGCGTGAATGAATCCGATGAACGGGGTAATAATATCTGTAAAGCGCTTAATAGAGAAGGTAATAGGCGCTATATAAAACCAAATAATTATTATTATTTATTTGTAAACTTAAGGTGATTTCTCTTCAAAGACCTTCACTTCAATCAAGATCTTGAATGGCACATAGTTGCAGAGTACACTTCAAATATAATCAGGACCTGACACAAACAGGTGCCAAGAACACAAGATACAAAAAGGGATATATATTTTGCGCCCTTGGGCATCCATATAACAATATGTCTGGCTCTATGATAAAAGGGTGATACTTCTATTCAAATCAAAAGAAGTACCCTTTTTCAAAACTATGATCTGTTGTTGTATTTTAAACAGTTGCAACATACTGCAAAATATGCCATAATCAAATCTTAGCAATGCACAAAGCGTTCACTACATCAATCAGCATTGTTTTATTTTCAGTATCAAAACAGTAGATGTAATGGTGTATACAAGTGAAACATGAATTCTTTCAGGACACTGATTAACGACACTTCGTACAACTTCTGTATTGCATATTCTTACCGATTTCACTATACAAATTTGCCTTACATCATAAGTTGGTAGGATTTTCACTTTTGTAAAAGCTATGTTTACAAACCTATTCTGCAAAATGACCCCAACAAATGGGGGGAAAAAAGAAGGAAAAAAGTACATCAATAAGTATCACAGTTTTTCAAGCATTTGTAACCAAATTGATGCACTTGACATAAAGCTTCATCAACATCCACACGTCAATTAAGGATACCATTGTAAATAAAAGAAAAAGTGTTTTTGCCCAAAATGGACAAAAATTGATAGAACTTGTCATTTGTTTGGGGGGGGGGGGGGGGGGGAGTGACCGAAATGACCATATTGTTGTTGATGGATTCAATTTGACCACTTTTTCTAACATCAGGGCACATTTTTTACATAGAATAGGCCAATCAAATCTCCTTTGCTGATATCAAAGCATGATTTGAAAAGTTACCCCTGACCATACAGTACATAAACAATGTGCATGTACATGTGACAAAAGTATACAGTGGCAGCCCATCGTTTGTTCCATCAGTTGAGTAAAGCCAGTAAAGAGGTAAGTATGTAGTCCCACATATAATCTTGCATGTATGTGCTGTTGATCAGCTGTTCTTGAAGCGCTCCAGTGCCCTTTGTTGGTAGGTCTCTAGATCAGCCATGTCCAGCAAGGCTTTGTGGACCATGCCAATGAAGATCTTGGGCCAGATCTGGGCTAGCCTGGTCACCTTACGGTTAGCCTCGACGGCCTCTGAGGTCAGTTGCTGGATGTAGGTACTGGCCAGGTCAGACTTGGACAATCTCTCCTGCCACAAGAATAATGATGAAATATTGATATAAAAAGTCAATAAGAATGGTATGATAAACACAAATATGTCCCCATTTTAAGTAAAAGAAATTAATGCCTATTGTTCATAATTGGTTTCAAATAGAAAATATCTGCTGTCCTTGATAGACATATTACTGCTTTTGTCAAATCAATTTTGAACACATTATGTACAGTTTTTATGAAATATAAAAGTTACGACGCGACGCACTGTTATATTCTAGAAATCCTACAATGTACTTGTAAGGAGTGTATCACCTTTGCCACATGTACATGTAGAAAAAACAATTTTTGGCAAACATAGACCCTGGCTTTGGCCAAGTTTGGCATATAGCGATCAAAGGAATCAGGAAATTTCTTCCTATTAGTAACCAATTTACCACACCTCAGTTGAGAATGGAAGTGAAAACTTTATATAAAACGCAATGTTTGTAGATACAGTCAAACCTGCTTTAGTGACCACCTATCTACAAAGACTACATTTTTTTGTTTCCCTTAAAAATGCCAGGTTTCTCATTGAAACATGTACTAAAGGAACCTGTACATAAAGACCACCTGCCTGTAAAGACCACTTTTCTTGTCTCCCTCGGATGGTCTTTATAGACAAGTTTCACTGTATAAGCTTACCATATTCCACATCAGCTATCTTATACAACATGCAATGCACACATATATGTACATGTAGCCTGTTGGCTAAGTGAGATTATTCGTCTACCAGGGAATATTGGGATGAAAATCAAGACAACGTTCTTACTTGTTGCAGACTAGCTAGCCCCTCTGACGACAGAAACACCAAGCCTGCTTTTCCTGCATTCTCTGAGGAGCTAGGCTGTTCGGACGTAAGCTGACGACGAGCCTTAAGCTCGAGCTCGTTAAGAGGCTGTGTGATCCTCCGACGGCTATCCCCTAATAAGATCTGAAGACGGGAGTGGGAGAGTTCTTCAGACGTCAGCTTAGCAAGAAGACCAAAGTATTTCTCAGCTCCATGCTGATCAGTCTGTATCACCTCAAAAAGAGAAAGAATAAAGAGGGAATTATAAGTCAAGAACTCTCAGATAAATGAATCATCAAATCAATTCTTGTGATCTATAACATTGTGCCTGTACAACTAAAATACATCAATTGTAGAGCTGTGCTCTTTCTTTAATAACCCGAACCGTCGAAATGCCACTTCATACCTATGACAGCAGAGAAGGAGCTGCAAAAATCTGCTCTTTTAAACCTGGACTAAAAGCAGTATGCTGTTATGGCTAAGTTTCCATGTCTTACCGGTTGACCGTTGATCTTCTTGATATTAAGGTGAGCCAGTCTGAAGAGTAGGTACTGTTTCCAGAGAACGAAGCTAGTGATAGGATTGCCTTGTTTGGAGATGGTCAGGGTATCTAATCTCCTCAGGGATGCTAAGGCATTCAGCTGCACCAGGTTACTTATATTGCACTCGCCAAAATTAACATTCTGGAGAGGGAAATATTTTTCGAGAAAAGTATGAAATGAGAAAATAATATGTCATGAGTGGTGATTAAGCATAGGACATTCAGGTGTATAATGCTTGGACATAAAAACAATAAACAAGTGATAAATAATATACACTACTCATCATAATTTCTAGCATAACATTCATGGAATAGAATTCCTAATTTTAGCTACAAAAAACAACAACAAACATGTGATAAATATATAATATTGATTCATCATAATATCTCCCACAACAATCACAGACTAGAAATCGTATCTACATTTTTTTTAATCAGCTGAAAGGTAACAATTCAATTTTGTAACGGTACCGGTACTTCAGTTCCTTCTCAAATATCAGCATGTGCATTGCATGCAACATCAAAGACAAAGGCAGCTACCATCATATTGACTCTTCTTCAACTTGGAAAGGACAACATACTAGGCACTTTGAACAACTTTGGAGTAGATTCACTTATATCAAAAGCTTCTCAGGCTTTCAAACTATTAATCCTTATATTGAACACTTTGAAGTCAAAGGAGGCAACCATTCTATATGTATCTAAAAAAGGTAGACAGGTAGTATTCTTTTATTCAAACATATTTGTGGCTTACACCCAGTAAGTAAGATCGATTGATCAATCTGTATTGAAAAACAAGTCAGAAAAAATCTTGGAACCAGCGGGACTTGAACCTGCCATCTACTGGGTGTAAGCCACAAATATGTTTAAATAATTGAAATTTCTCCCAGGAAGCATTACATTTATAAAAGGTAGTATTCTGTCTTAAAGTCTGTCATTTAGAGAAAGTATGCATCATAACCAATTTGTGGCCAAATACATATTGTGGAACTAAAATATACTGGATGTTAGGAGAACTTACTGAGACATTAGGAAACCTGAGACGTATCTTTTGCAGATGCCTTGCAACCTTGTTGAAGTCCACAAACTTGATAGAGACGGTACTGATAGACCCTGCGGCCTGGACACCCCAGTTCTTATCCAGAGCATCTAGTGATCCTGAGCCGTACAGGTGCAGTGTGTCCCCATCCAGCTCAGCCAGGTGACACACCTCATCCGTTGTGATGCTGCAAAGGGAAGAGACAGGTGATTTAAAATCATGATTGATTATTGGTACTTCTTGATTTCCATCTTGATTTGTATATTTGTACGTATCCTGTATATTGTATTTTGTAAATTGAAGAATTTCTATGTACTCTACTCTATGGTATTCTGTTTTTTAAATTGAATTTTTCATATATTCTATTTTGTAAACAGAAAGTTTTCAGCCCCTGGCCTGCATGCTCAATGTTTTTTTTATTATCATAATCTGATTCAATCAATTCAATCAATAAAAACTAACTTTTCTGATGGATAGAGGATATACCGTAATTAACGGTGTATAAACCGGCCTTGTGTATTAACCAAACCCCTCTTTTTCGCCCTAAAAAAAAAAAAAAAAAAAAAAAAAATTGCAGACTCTGTCGGCAGCAAGCCAGGTCCGTGTTAAAAAAAAACACGCGGGAAGGCCTTTCATTTAACTGCGAGGTGCAGCTGAATGTGTAAGATCATTAATGTAAATTAAAAAACAGTAGAGGACCTAGGATAGAACCTTGTGGTACGCCGCAGGTGGAGGGGCATAAATCGAAACTTAATTTATTTTTTTTTGGTACAAATTTAGGAAATAAAATACAATCTTGTTCACTTCGGAAATTGACAGCTTCTACAGATCCATTCATTTGAATTTTAAAGCAGTACAAGAAGCCCAATGACAAGATATTATGACTATCCCCCCCCCCTACCATTTCTTATTCACTTAGCACGCTATTTCATAGGGGAGAAGCAACTGCAATACCATTACGTTGATAAGTATCTTGTAATCAATTACAGTTCAAGATATCTTACTAATTGTTTTGGGGGTTAATAAAATTGAACATGGGTGCTAAAGAAATTAAGTAATGCCCTGCCCCTTTTAGAGCATTTCATATTATCATTGGCACTACAATACATCATCAATGTGAATCACTATCAGTTGAAATCTATTGCAGCAGACTTTGAATACTAATTTGTTTTATAATGGAAACTTTCTGATTCTTCATTTTAATGAGAATACTCACTTGGCAAGAAGATCTGGGGTGGGCAGCTTCCTCTGCCGTGAGTCTGATCGGGTCGAAGGTCGGCTGGAGTCCTGACTCCTTCTTCCATCTAACAGGTCAACTGAATGACCTCGGTCTGAACCTCCTTCACTTGACCTGTATGAGATAAAGATGATATGGAATCAATTCAGAGACAACTATACCAGTACCTGTTTGATACTATTGCCTAGTCAATTCACTCAGATAAGTGTACAAAGACAATATCTACAGTAGGCTGTAGGCAATATCCTCTGTTCAGAGCCAAAGTGTATTATTATTAACACTGTGATAAAGTATATGAGTTAACACATCTTTGCTCCAAACAGACAATGTTTATCATGAAATTCATTCCAAATCTAATTTGGTGTTAAATGCAAAGCGTCACTGTAAAGTTCTGTAATTGGTTTACTGGTAAATGTTGTTGGCATCAAAATCATTGGTGAATGATTCCATACTTTAAGATCTGACACATAGACCCTTACTCAGTCTTTTAAAGCTAGAAATAATCCCAGAATATTACATGTATCTTCAGTTATATTATGGATTATGTTAATAATCAAATGTGTCACATTTTCTACGAAAATTCTCAATGTAACAATTCTGATTTTCTCCATACATGCTCTTCCCTCTTGCTTTAAAAATGCAGAAGACTCTACAGACAACTATGCGTATAAAAACAGATATATCATCACAACACTGCTTTCACACATTTTGACTACTCAATATCCTTCTCTATCCCAAGCTATGTGCACAATTGGAATAGAAGAGCAGGGGTGATCGATAGTGAGCACTAAAAAAAAAAAAAGTTTTTTTGTTTCCCCCTCAACCACGCCCCCCTTGAGTAAAAAAAAAAAGAAGAAGATTCACGGGGGAAAAAATGGCATCTAACAACATTCCCCCCTTTCAAGTAAGAAAATTGGGAAACATTTGGAAAAATTGGGGAAAAAATAGGGCAAATAGGGAAGAATAGAGAAAATAAGGGGGAAATCGGGAAAATCAGGATAAAATAGGGAAGATAGAAAAAAATCTGGTAAAAAAAAAAAAAAATCTGGATTTTTTTTTTTTTTTTTTTTTTAAATCGGGAAGAAGGAAAAAATATCGGGAAAAAAGGGAGAAAAAAATCGGGAAACCGATTTAAATCAGGTTTTTATCAGGCCTGGAAGAGCTGCCTTCAGAAAGACTGTGACAGTAGGGTCAGGATGAAGAGAAGTCACTCACCCTGGTCTGCTATCGTTAGGCGTGGCCAGACCACTGCCTCCTCCCATCTCTCCTCCCCCATAGAGTGGAGCCGGCTGGAGACGGGATGTCTTGGCTAACGAGGTGCTCATTGATGTCTCCCACTGCCTAGCTGCATTCTTGATGGCAAGCCTTCGTTTCTCCTGCATTCACAAAACCAGATGGAATATTGTATAAGTTGAAAAGTACTAAGTTGTCAGTTCACCTGGGATGCTTACACAATAAATTTCACCTCGTAAGTAAGCTACCAGTTAACCTAAAGATTTAAGTTTTTGCCACACAGCTACATGTCTGTAACAACTTTCTTTTAGTTTTTGTTTTGAACCTGGGATCTGAAATTTCCAAGACCCCTGCTTTCTTTACTTCCTCCCATGACCAGGGATTTTCTTGATTATTCTGATCCTTCTTGCACTAAACTTATCAGGATATATTAAGTAGGAAATTGCAACGTAACTGTATGCATTACAGCTCCTTCATGGAAAGGGACTACTAATCAAGAAGGGGATCGAACGGTAGAGGTGTTTTGGTCTAGTGGATAAGTCACCGGACTGTATATCACAAGGTACAGGGTTCAAATCCCAGCCCAGTACCAACGTCCTTTCGAAAGACATTAATCTACATTTGCTACTCTCCACCATTAATCGGTACCAGGTAGGATGCCGTTGTTACTGAGCATCTGCAAAATGGCACCTGGCTGGCATGCTCCCCAGGGAGTGGAGAATATGCATGTGTTGCATGCGGGCAAGCCTGAATTCAATGACAGGGATAATGTTATAATAATATATCTGAGAAGCACTTAGAGACATAGCCGATGTATTAAGTGCTATATAAATGTGGAATATTATTATCATTATGGTGAAACCTTAGAAGAATGACCAATGATTCCATCATACCTTGAGTACTGCTACTCTGTTGACCTCCCTCTTTTTCTGCTCTTCCTTCTTTACCACAGTCAAGGCTACCTTTCTCTCTTCCTCCTAAAATGGTTGAAAAGAAAAGTCAAAATGTATATAGTTGAGATTAAACACATGAGGCCCTTGACAATGGTAAAGTAATGAAACTCAAATTATGTTGAATATCAATTATCTATAATTCAATCCATTCACAGCTGCACACATACATAAATTCCCTAATGACAAGACTTTTTCATAAGCCATGTTTTAGTTATCATTAGAACAACCTCTATCTTTTCAATACAATAACAGAAACTACCACTTTTCTTAAAGAATAAACATTTCAAGAGTAATTCACTGGTATAAACTGTTCACAAATCTGTGGAAAATAATTTTTTCAATTTTTGATAGGGCAAAACATGCCCAACATATTAAAACAAACAACACATTCAGTACCATACTTTAAAAAAAGAAATCCTCACATGCAAAAGAATATATCTAAACAGTTGAATACCAATGGATCGTCTACTCACAGAGATTTTCTTCATGTCTAGCTGTTTGAGATAACCCATGTTCCGGAGGATTATAGATTTGTAGGAGGCCTCTTGGCAAAAAGGATTGCCGTCTAAAGATACTTCAATTAGGGATGTGGAGTCAGCTAGGCAAGATATATCATCCCAACTATGGACATGTTATGAAGGAAGAGAGAGAGAGAGAGAGACAGACAGACATTGGGAGAGTGGGGGAGAGTGGGGGAGAGAGGGGGAAAGAGAGAGAAAGAGAAATACAGTATAATGAGAATAAGAAAAGTCAATTACTCATGCAAAACTTGGTTTGATTTGAGGCTTTGAGCATAGCTACATATAACCAGATATTCTACAGATGCATTCTGACTTGATAATTAACTACATGAATATCTATTTTAATGATAATGAGTTCAAATAACCAAATAAGACCCTCAATAAAGCATAGGTGTTCTAATAAAGAAAGAGTGTCTAACATGTCAATTCCATGTATGTTGCAGTCATTAGGAAAAGGTAGGAAAAATAAAAACAATTCATATTTAAAGACCATCAATACAACTGGGCCAGAAGGAATTAGACCACACAGCGAGGTCACTGACAGGTGGCTATCTCATTAACTCAGCTCTCAACTAACATAAGAAAAAGAGGATCATGGGGGGGGGGGGATCAACAGGCACCGATTGGGGAAGTCTTCTATATAGAGGGAGCAAGTAGCTACAAGTAGGACAGTGGGGCTTTAATACACAATCATAAACAATCTTATTTTGACTTTAAGTCCCTTCAAATACACGCATGCAATTACAAAGTAACTAAATCAAATTCATAACATAAATTTTACAAACTTACTTCATTATGAGATTAAAACTGAGAAACAGCCTCTGCAAGCTTGGCAATGTGTCAACATCAGTCTGTCAAAAATGAGAGTATGATAAGATATAGTATTACAGGGGGGTCTTTCACAAAGCCTTCTCTCAATGACAAATGACAAAAATCAGTGACAAATCTGCTGATAACCAATCAGAAGAAAGGATTTCAGTAGCTTATAACAAACACTGTCATTTGTCACTGATGACAAGTTTTGTGAAACGCCCCCAGATCTCATTTTCACAAGCATGAAATCAAAGCTTGATCCATCACAGAGAGACCCAAAGAGGCCAATAAAATTGGTTCACTGCTGCTCAGACGATGTTATGTATCACTAATCTATTACAAAAGATAAAAGCAACTATATATTTTTAACACAAGTAACATAAGAAAATTTTGGAACACACAAGGTGATAGTATGGAATGGTACACTAACATGGGAGAAAAATGAGATTGCATGACACAAAAGCAACTAGATCTAAAAAAAAGCCTGACCCTACCAGAATAAAATTTCAAAAATAGAAAAGGGAAAAAGAAACAGCACCAGGTGTTACTGCACTGTTCTCAGGCATCCTTTAACAATGTTAAATCTGAGATGCACGGCCCTACGCGTTATCAGTGATCAAGAAGTGCCTCAAAAATGCAAAAATCTTTGAGTGACCGGTTTTACCATACCGGTACTCGTTTTCTCCAATAAACTGTAGTGCTATGAAAAACGTTAGGAAAACACAAAATTTGATTTCGATTTCCAATCATAAATATCTTGATAATCAGACAGGCGATTGGCTCGTAAAAGTCATGGGGTTCCTGACTGACTTAAAGGCTTATAATTATCATTGCAGCATGAGCTTAATCCAGGATTTTGTTTCAGAATCTGAGACAAAGTTACCTAATCCCTTTAAGGGTCAACTTGAGCGCTGAATCAAGAAAACACTTGTGAAAAGAAACCACTTGTCAACAGAGACTCACCACGGTGGAGATCTTATTCCTTCTGAGGTTGAGTTCTGTGAGTGAATCCATCCCACAGAGACTGTCCACATGGGTGATCTCATTCCCAGCCAGGTTGAGAACCCGTAGCTCCTGCAGGTGATCTATGTTCTCCACCTTACTGATGCGGTTGCCATGGAGATCTAACACATCTAGCTTGACCAGGTTGGTAAGGTTGTCTATCTTTTGGATTCTGCAATAATAAAATAATAATAAAAACGGTGCTTATAAAGCGCTTACCACTGAAGTCTGTAGACCAGGAGGAAGTCAGGTTGGAAGAGCCTGTTAACAGTTGTGGAAGAACTAGGACACAACTTGTGAAAAGAAGTTCAGGAGATCAAATGTACTAAATTTTCAGAAATCTTATCTAGGAGGTTCTAGTATGAGCGAATGCTAGGCAACCAACTGATATTGAGACTGACACTGATACTGATATCACAAAAGTCTTGTCCTTCAATATCTGTTGGTATCCATCACACAGATGCCCTACATAGTGGGTGTCATAGAGAACGTGCAGGACAATGCTATTATTACAAATCGACACACATCAACCTGGTTTGGTTGGGGATTAAAGGTACCAAGTATCTCATGGCATCAACTAATCCTCAGGCTGAGGTAACCAATAAATGCATGTATCAGATTTTAATACAGAAAAGGTGGGAGATTACATTCTTCCAGCAACCTTTCAGAATCTACTCAGACATGGTCAACTCTTCTTGCCAAGCAGAAACACTGAAGGAATTCAGTATCCAACCCTGCGATACACTGTATCGGGTTGTCACTGAAATCGTCTAGATACATGAACCTGTGATTTCCTAGCAATAAGATACCAAAATATATTAAGGTATTCAATGTTATGATGCCCTCTATCTGGTTTTCAGAGTACTGAATTCTCTCATTTCTCTGAATGTAATACAGGAAATGATTCCGTAAGCAATTAGTTAAGAAGTTATGAAAATACTATTTTTTCCTCTCCATAAATCAAACATGAGACACAAATCAGACATGCACACTCACCTGTTCTTGCCAAGCATTAGAACCCTTAGGGACCTCATGGTGTCCAACCCTGAGATGGCCTCTATCCTGTTATCATAGAGGTCTAGAAAGATGAGTCTCCTGAGTGATGCTAGGTGTTCTATCCTCCTGATGGTGTTGTGCTGAAAGTTGAGCAATCTCAGATGATCCTCTCCCTCCAGGAGAGGGCACTGGGTCAGTTTCCTCCTGTATATTAGAAAAGAATTTGTAGCTGTAGTTTAAACTTACTGTATACATGTAAATTTCAAGAGGATTGCAAATCATGATTCAAGATTCTGCCCTTCCAAGTTTGAATCTGTCTGGGGTTAGACTAGTATGTTGTTGCATGCTGCAGATCACATGGAAATCAGGAAGTGAGGGTGATTCTGTGAAGATCAAGTAAAATCTGTATAAACCTAATTCATACACATACCACTGACACTTTGTATCAGGAATGCTTGCCGCTGGACTATCACTGAATTCTAGGGGTCAGGAACACCAGAGCATTAGGGCGCAAGAAAGATTCAGTGAACAACACCCTGTCCTGTCTTTATTAGGTCACACACATACAAGTATATACATAATATGAACACTGACCTGTCTAGGTTGAGTCTATCAGGGTTCAGACTCTTCTCTTCTTGAGTTCTGTAGACCACAGGCACACCAGGTAGTAAGGGGGGTTCAGTGAGACCACCCTATCAACTCTCTAACTTAACCCTCACACACACACACCCACACCCACACACGTTTTCACTAACCTGTCTAGGTTGAGTCTATCAGGGTTCAGGCTCTTCTCTTCTTGAGTTCTGTAGACCACAGGCACACCAGGTAGGGAGGGGGATTCAGTGAACAACACTCGGTCACCTACAAATAAGGCAATGGTTTAACATACAACATGATTATTTGAGCTTCACATGGACTCAAAGCATAGATTAATTTGTTAATAATATATGATGAACACATACAATGCAGTGTAGATACATACTACATACATGTATATATATATCTGTAAAGACTGTAGGCATAATTTATGTACATGCACGTACCGACTACAAGAATACTCTCTCTTCATGGTTGCTCTATTAAGACTATTCTGTTAAGACTATGTGTTAGATTTGATGTCATTCTTTATAAACAAGTATACGTCATAGAGGCACTTTCTTTCTCTTTACTTTACATAACAATAAAACATTTCTTTGTATTTTCAGTTTCAAACATACACTTTTCATTGGGTAGGTGATATATTGTCATTATCATGTTATATTTTCCTTTTATAACCAATTATTATCTCATGGATATATCTTGGTGAATTTAGAGAGCTATAAAATCTATTAAAATATGATTTATTATTAAAAATTTGATATGAAATTGTTTGGAGGATATTCATAATCATTGATTTACTATATACATTTTTGTACATTTTAAAAAGAGAAGTTAATCAGAAGAAGAAGCAAATATTTGTCAAATGTATCAATAGATATCCAGGTAACTTAAATTTGTAAAATTAATAAATAAACACATCAACCTTTGGGAGTTAGAACTGCCCGACACCATATAATTTTGAGTATTCAACTTTATAGATTCACAGCAAAAATACTATAGGATCATGAAGCCCCTACACCATCAAATGAAAACAGATCCATGTATATTTATCCTGTATACTTACCATTACCAATGACCACAATAAATATAGAACATCTTCAATCATTGTAAATCGCGAATCAAATTACATATCAATAACATACATGTAAGTATAATGACTGTAAAGTATTGTATCACATGTGTAAACTATAAGATAGAAAACATTATATGGCTGAACAATTACATAAAGTCATGAGAAATAATGTACAAACATGCATTACATACTTTACAATAGTAAATAAATGATACACATACAGTAGGATATAAAATACATTATACAAATGGAATCTACACATGCAAACAATGTCATGTAATCTTATTGAATGAACTAATTCAACCCCTTCCATGTAATTGGCAGCTAGCAAGTCCCACCCAAGACTACATGGTTAAATATGTACGTTTGAATTATTTATTAAAAAAACACCTGCTATTTGCTAAAATGTTCTGAAGGATAAATATATATTGTACATGTATGATGTAGGTATATACATTCTGAATAATATTCCAATAGAAGATATTAAAAATGAACCAAAGATCTGAGATTCTGAAATAGACTCTTGAAAGTTAATATAGGATTTAATTGTTTGCTATCCTAGTAATAATGAAAGGGTTAAGCGCTCATGCCATTGATACATAAATGCAGTAGACATTTTTCAAACTACACCAGAAAATTGGACACCTTAACAATGCATGTGCTTTTAGTGATTGATTGATTGGTATTATATTTGGGTTTTTTTTTATTCAGTGCTGACTGAGTACATCGACCAAATGACTGGGCATAACAAGAGGTGGAAATGATGGATATGGAGACAGAGATGGAAGAAATTAGCAAAAGAAGAGAGAGAGAGAGACAGAGAGAGAGACAGAGAGACAGACAGAGAGAGAGACAGAGAGAGACAGAGAGAGACAGAGAGAGACAGAGAGAGACAGAGAGAGACAGAGAGAGACAGAGAGAGAAAGAGAGAGAGAGTTTGAATTTCATCATGCATTTGTAAGGGCGCGTTCATGCTTGATTTTGACGGCCAGAGTCAGGCATCTGTTACGCGTTTAGTTTAAAACACGATTGCGTTCATGCTCACTTTTGTAGAATCACCAAAAAACGGCAATCATGATCGCCGATCGTAAACTCACAAAAAGATGCGTTTACAATTTGTAAACGCGTTTAAATGGGGTCAACGCACTGACCTCTAGTGGGTCTACGTAGCATGCGCACACAGGTTTGCGAATCCAGCTGAAGGCCACCCAAGGAGAATTACCTGGAGAAGTGAGCATGAACAGTGCACCGTGGAACTGCGATTACGATGAGCGTTTACGATGAGCGTTACAAATCGCTCATTCTGCCTTCAAAATCAAGCATGAACGCGCCCTAAGAGAATCACATTGTATGGTACATGCCAAGATGCCAAACCAGTAAAAAAAAAAAATTGGAAGAAGGAAATGCAAGTGAAATAAAATGAAATTCAAAAGTCACATGTCTATACAAATTTGGCTATACTGGTATACAAGTATGAAGTAAACATGCTATGATACCATGCAATTGAAGTGAATATCAAGCATTATTATGTCTCTGCTATAATGCTGATCGTTATGAGGTGGTATATCATGGTATCTGGACAAGCAGTATTCTATCAATCTAAATATAGAGACAGTATGTGTTTGCATCCAATGTGAGCCAGTATGGGAAGACTGCATCCTGGTATTCAGTGAGGAAGTTTTTAGACTTTCGTTTCTTTTTCTCTTTGAGGGAGAAGAGTCTGTAGCTTGCAATCATAATGTGATGTGGTATGGAAGATTCCATTCTTTTATAATGCATCGATAAAGTTTCATTTTTGTCTGTATGACATAGTTAATTGTTTTTCTTCCAATCAGATAAACATAACAAGGTATTACTATTATACATATTTTATACATGTATTGAGATTTGTTAAAAGATCACAAAACAATCAATACATGTATGATTTCACATCAGCCGAAAATCAAAAAACTTTTCACTGAATGCAAACTAATTTATGCAATATGGGATACAATGTCTCTCAAAGCAGGCAAATGAAAATGCAATGAATTCATACAGCACAGTACTACATGCATCGAGGATTAGAAATAATAATAATAGATGGGAAGGTTAGGTTAGGGTGCTACAGGGTATCTTAATGCATCAGACACTTAGACATTTTGGATAGCTTAGGGTCCGTTATTTGCAAAATACTTTTTAATTTTTAGTTCAATATCTTTGAGAGCCCAAAAGGCATACCATCCTTTTTTGTTTTATTAGAGTAAGAATCATTTGGCTCTCTGCCAACCATTTGACGTTTAGTTTTCTGTGCCCCCACCCCCTACCCCCCCCCCCCCCCCCGAAAAAAAGGGAAATAAAACAAAATTAGAGATTTAAAAACAAGGATTTCTATACGATTCTAACTTAGATATAAGTTCCACTATTCCAACAAAATGAAGTATGCAATTAGACCTACTCATATGATCCTTTTATATTTCTGTAGCACCCTGAGTATAAACCTTCTAAGATATCTGTATATCATGTTTAAAATATGACTGCACATGCAAGCGAAGGATAGATACATACAGATAGAGTTGACTGTTACCAGTACCTGAGTTGAAAGTGCGGAAAGCACATGTAGGCTGTGTTGGAGAACCCAAGTCTGTAATGTGGAGATGCAGCAACAGGTCAGGTCAGAGGTCAGACGTCAAAGGCAAATTGGCAAGAAGTGCATGCAAAAACGCAATGATCATGTTTGTATGTTGTTTTTTTTTAAATATCCAAACTGAAGAAAAATGTGCAGTGTCTTGTGTAACTTCCAGATCGAAGAGCATAGATCACACACATCTATTGTACTTTTGTGCAATCTAAGTCAAATTTGAAAATTCTTGAGCAATGGACTTAACGGGCAAAAGAAGAAAGCAACCGGGTGTATTTTCATCATCAAATGATATTGAAGAGCAGGAAGTGGCAAGTGATATATTCAAACGTGAAGGGAATTGTTTGTGATGAAGAGCTCCTTTATTTTTGAAGTATGACATTTGTTCTTTCTTTTCAAGAGAGAGGGAGGCATCAGGGAGAAAATATTTACTGCATCATGGCATCTAAAATACAAAACTGATTCTACATCTAAAAAAGGAATTGACGTTTACTTCAAATCCTGCCCACAAATTGTGCTTGTTGAAGAAGTGTTGTTTGCAATAGTAGTGATATAGAACACAAACATTGTCGGGCACTCTGGTAACAGTGTGCATCTACACGTTCAAACATGCTACACACTCATATGCTGCGCAAAAGAAATCAAAATTTCTTTACTGCATCGATCTAATTCTACAGAGAAATCAAATTCTACTCTCAATATCTAGGTGATGCCTAGACAAAGAAAATCAAAAGATTGTAATAACTAGCAATAATTTTTTCTACATAATCTTTTTTGTTGCTTTATTGTTTGTAATGTTCCCCTTTTCGAACTTACAAACCACTATATGTTCATTAGGTTTCCTTAAAATGTAAAGTTTTGACAATGCACGACAGCAAAACAATTACTTCTGTACAGTATGTAATTATGGAAATTATATTTCTAAGATTTATCTAGCAAATCAAAATGATACACATAAATAGAGACACATTATTTAAGGTACAGATGTACAATGTAATACACAGTATTGGCTAAGGACATGGAAATCGTTGAAGAAGAAAAAAAATGTGTCCTTTGGATAGGTTGGCTTCCCAAAATCCATTGTGGGAACATGCGGAGTTCACACAGTATATATTATCATTTCTTCTGACTTTAGCCAATACTATGCATTACCTATACTAATTCATATGACAGATCATAAGTCAAAATGACACAACAAAGGCAACATCTAAGGTCTGTGCATGCTACGCAAATCACATCATGTGAAATATAAAAATATATGACAAATAAGTGTATTCATTATTAGAGGTGCTTCAACACTGAAAAACAGGTGATCATTTGTTTAAAAAAATATATGTATACTGTAACACCAGACACTTTCATGACATGAAGCTTTTAAAAATATGTAATTGAGAGCAATATCCATGGCAAAAAACTTTGCCAAGCTGCAAAAATTAAACTGTTATTTTGTTCTCAGTGTGATTATCTTCTTCTCTTTTGTGAATTTAAATTAAAGGCAGAATTCATGAATATTCCATGGGAGCACATGTTTCTAGTTTTACATTTACAGGATGTCATTTCAACTATAAATGGCATCTATACTAGTCACATAATTGGTCAGCAAAGTATTACTTCATCCAGAAAAAATGAGTGATTTTAATTCACCATTGAATGGCAAATACATGTAATAGTTTACATTTTCAAAAATAAGCATGATTGACCAGTAAATTGCATTATCGTCATCATTATCATCATGTGAGGTGAGGCTGGCCATTGTTAAAGCGTCATCTTGTAACACACATTGCACAATTAATCATAATGTGAATCATGGTGCTGAAATGCATACACTACCTGAAGATGGTTCATGTTCATCTGGACTCTCATCTGAAGCAATCACCAATGAAAGCAACAACAAAAGAAGGAATGTGCAACAGACAAACACGTCATGAAAATGTGATAAAACAGTTCAAGATGTACATGTACTGATACACTGTACCAACCCATAGGTTAGCCTAGCTTTAATAGAACCAAGAGTAAACATTTAGATTCCCCAAAGAAGTTCATGAAGAAGGTGCAAAAAATACCCTTACCATGGCCACTGGACCACGTTTTAAACAGTTATCCTTATACCATCAAAAATTCCATTCTTTATACCTCTCAGTAACATTTGGTTGTTTTTAGTACCCTTTCAAAATTAATTCAAAGTCACCATTTCTAATTTGGGATGCACAAAGTAAATTTTCAACAAAAAAAGAAAACAATAGGGTTGTTCACATATGCCCAGGTTTATCATGGAAGTTTTTTGTTTACTAATTGAATGAAAATTGTGGATGAAAAAGTAGATCAAAAAAAAAAAAGATCATACACATGCTCACATCAATGTGTGTTTTTAGATAATATACAAATTTGAAATGCAATACCCATAGAGATGTCGTGGTCGAGTGGATATGTTGCCGGACTGTGGATCACAAGGTCCGCGGTTAAATTCCCGCTGCGGGACTAATGTCCTTTGGGAAGACATTAATCTACACTTGCACACTCGACCCAGGTGAGGTAAATGGATGCCTGGCAGGAATTAATGCCTTGAAATGCTAGAGTGCCATAATGGCAGCCATGGTTTAGTACGGCACATGTGAACAAACCTTACAAGCTTCATAATCCCAATCAAATTTCAAAAGTTTTCATACTTAAATGTAGAACTAACAAAAGACATGCTTGATGTACCTTTGACAAAAATACAGATAAAGCTGACAATACTCATGGATTACGAAGATTTTTAACACTGAGGACAAAAGCAGCAACATGTAAATTTGGACATTCACAATTTGAATGCATGTGAGAGAACTTACAGAGGTCTCTAATATGAAGTAAGTCCACAACTGGTACATGCAAACCCTCTAGATTTGAAGAGAATAGTTATAGTTTCATATGAAGATCCTAAGTACATGTATATCACATCCATGAGATATCAAAAGTAATTTGATTGTGATAAAGTACACATTGAACTTCAAAAAACTTATTATTTTTGACAGATAAAAAGATGATATCTACGGTAATGTTTTAAATCAAAGGGTGCAACAGTGATGTTATTTATCGGTTTGTTTGTTTTTTCTTTAAATAAATATTTATTTGTAATAATTAAATCAACACTTGCTAAGACTATAGCTCTAATAAATCCCTGTCAAATACACACATATAATTGCCAGTCTTCACACTTTGGTATTACTTAAAGGAATTTAGATAATTTCACCTCCAATTAAGTTTTCTTGAGACAGGAATATTGATGGAAATTTGTAGGTATCTTCTAGACATTTCTAAAAGTTATTAGTTCTTCAGAAGTTAGCTGGAAAATGCACACTCAAATCATGAAATGGTCAGCATATTTTAAATGTTTGTTTGTTATTAGCCGCTCATGCTTTCAATTAATTAAATCTAACCACACAAACTATGACTTCTAAACAAGTATATTTAGCCCTTGCATACACTACTTTTTGAAAACACTGTGAAGGAAAAAATGTTTGAATTTGATAGCAAGAATTTTTAGTTCCTTTCTAAGCCTTCTAATTCTAATAAACTACAGTATGTTAAGCATCCAATCAATCCAAGTTTTGTTCACAAAAGAGAGAAATTTTGCATAGAGATTGGTTAGAGACTTTATCCTCTAAGCCCTTGGGAAACAGTTATGTTGTGAAATATTATTTCACATTTAGCAAGAGTAAGTTTGCCCGAATCTTTAAAAAGCCATAGTACAATCAGGTGAACATAGTTTCAAGTAATCTACATTAGTTTGAAGCTCTTGTGTTGAAGGGAGGGAGAAATAAAGGGTTATTTTAAGGCTCTGAAAGTTATATTTACTTAGTGTACTTACTTATGGAATAGTACATGTTCTCTTTGTATTTGAAATGAAAAGAAGAATACACATAGTAATCTGTCCCATTACACATAAGGGATATCAGTGTTACAGACATAATGATATGTAATAAAGATAAAGATGTTCTTAACTTGAAAAATAAAAAATATATTTAAAAAAAAACTCATCAAAGGTACAATGACTTTTTACCAATATAAGGCTAAGTTGGGAAAGTGTAAGGATTGGATGAAAATTAGTTTTTACTCCTGAAAAATTGGAATATGTTTTGTTTTGTGTGCTGCATACAGTTCTAAATGTTTTCATATATGCATTGGAAAGTAATACCTTCTTAAGCCTTTATGGTTATTTAATTCTTTTCTGATCCTCCAATGGCCCTTCCAAAGTTATACCTCAGTCACACCGACGAGACCCACATCAGACCGCACAATAAATGCCACTACCATGAATGGCCAAGAATCGGTTGGTTTAGAGTCAACGTAAAGTCAAATAGTCAGTATGCCTGAGATATTATATACCTGGTACCGGTATGTATTCTTCACAGAACTGATACCTGCATGTATAATTCTTGAATCAAAATAAATAGAATTATTAACAATATGCAAGGAATATACTTTTATGTGAGTATATGACACCAAATTTGCAGTGATAGCAAATATGTGTAGGTACCGTAAGTGATATTTCAATATTTCAAGTGTAAAGTGAGTGCTTGAGGGTAGGGAGTGGGGGAAGTCCCAGATAGGTGCCCTGCATGTGACACTAACTGCATATAATATTGCATCAAAAACTACGACAGGGAAATCAAGATCAATGTGGGGGTGAACAATTGTGATTTTGTCGCTTATAGTGACAAAAAGTGAACATAACTGGATGAAATCAAATTAGAACCCTGTCTTATGAAGAGCTGTGATTGTCCAGGGGCCCGTTTCACAAAGCTTTTTTGAATGACAAATGACAAAAATCAGTGACAAATCTGCTACTAACCAATCAGAAGCAAGGATTTCAGTAGCTTATAACAAAAACTGTCATTTGTCACTGATGACAAGTTTTGTGAAATGCCCCTCCCCCCCCCCCCCTGGAATTCAATCACAAATGTACAAACTCCAAACTCTCTAGTGCAGAGTTGCATTTGTTATCAAATTCTAATCAATTGGAATCAATTACAACTGTTCACAAGACAGGGCCCAGGCATTACAAGTGAAGGTGTCATGTGATTGCTCCATATACCAAAAGAAATAACGATCCCTTGTATGTAAAACAGAATAATTACCTGGGACATACGACGTAGGCTTGACCTGGCGCGACTGGACCGACCCGGCGCTCTGGATCTGCCGTGTGGCTCCGTGAGAGTGGGAGGGGTGCGAGTGAGAGTGGGACTGGGTGTAGACGGAGGGCATATCATCCCCCCTGGGCGGGGCAGGCTGGTGGTAGTTGGTGGGGTCTAGGTCTGTCAGCTGGGTGGCGAAAGCAGTGGCAGGGTGGTGTACCTGCCTGTGACGAGGGGTGCGGGAGTCGGAGTGACCTAATGGAGGTGGAGGGGAAAGGGGGGGGGGGTCAGACAGAGTTGGCAGTGCAATATTATTTCTATCTTGCAAGTATACAGTACACTAGCCATCTTTAAATCTTATCACTGAAGGTAAAAAGTTTAAAAGTCATGTAATTTAAAACTACTTAGTGCAAGCATATAACATACATATTTGAGATTGTACTTAATTAATAGGGAATGAAAAATGAACTGTGCTTTTGACTTTGGTTAAATATTGAAGAATAAAACTTTTAATCATTCTAAAGTTTCTTGCCATGAAATAGCCCTCATTAAAAACTTGCAAAGTTTTATGCAGGTATTCTTTGTAGTTTAACAGATTATCAACATGAGGCATATCAAAAGGTAAGCCATGAAAAAAAAAACTGTACAACTCTTGTTTATGAAAATGAGGATGTCAAAGACATTTTTCATTTATGTACTAGCTTAAATCTTCTGGAAGTTTATGTCATAAACACCGGTTTCCGGTGACCCTCCCTCCCCCCCCCCCTCACTAAAAATGTATTTAAATAATTATGTGATCTATCCTCTCACGCCCTTCCATCTCATGGTAGAACTATGGTAGTCACTAGTGTACTCTACATGTACATGGGGAAAAGCAGTCTCAGTCATTTCTATAAGCAACATAAACTTTGGAGGCAGTGATTTATGGTGCTGAAAACAGATATGGGTATACATGTAATACTTTTTACCTACATTTATGAGTTACATTAACTAAAATAACACTAACTAAAATATTTATCACTGCTAAATTATTTGAATTCAACATAATTATGAGCTCATACTGTGTATTTGAATTTGTTTGTTTTTTGCAACACAAAGTAAATAAATACTTATCAGATACAGTTCCATTTCAAATGTTTACAAAACGTATCATCAAAAGAAATTAAAAATACCAATGTTGCCAATTTAAAAAGGTGAAAATATATTCCCTGAAAGGGTTAAAATAACATACCTCCATAGGATGCTGACAGTGAATGGTCTTGCTGGGATTCAGCTGATACAGGCTGGCTGGAGCGTCTGCTGCTATGTAAGGCATGCTGGCTGGCTGGGTAATCCTGCTGGAAAGCAGACCGATAGCTCTGGCCCGGGTCTCGACCCAACCGGAACTCTGAGTTCTATGAGAAATAAGGTATTGTGCATGTATGCATATAAGCGAAAAAGCAAAAGCAGGTTTTTTTTAATGTGAAATCCAAATGAGAGAAACTGGCTTTGAGTGAAAGCACAGATATCAGACAACAGAAAATAGTAAACGTTTCAAGGAGAAAAAAGGAAAGAACAATGATAAACAAAGATTGTTTGAATATAACACATCTTGAGTAAAGCCAGAGAGATAAGTTATATATGAGACATACACTGTCGCTCATATAGTTGGAATATTTTTTTTTACCTCCAATTTATGGAATTATTTTAAAAATGATTTAAAAATAATAGATCTAGATAATAGTATACATTCTCAAATTTTATTGAATAATAATTTGACAATGTGTGTTTTGCGTGACTGTTAAAGCATGAGTATGCTACTATGCTTATCAACTAGGGGACCTACACCCTTAAGTCATAAATGACAGTAATGAGGATTAATGCCCCACAAAAGGGCACTAATATAGCACATCGACACGGTTTTGGTCCTGGGGCCTCACAGTTACGAGGCCATTGCTTTGCCACTGAACCATGACTGTATGCACCGGGGGCTAGGGTAGGGGGCAGTTTCCATAAATAAAAAAAATAAAAGAAAATGCAATAAATTTTCAATAATTTATTGCATTTCAACCCGGTTCCCAACATAAAAAAATCCTCTGGTTGATAAGCATAGTAGCATACACATGCTTTAACAGTCACGCAAAACACACATTGTCAAATTATTATTCAATAAAATCTGAGAATGTATACCATTATCTAGATCTATTATTTTTAAATTATTTTTTAAATAATTCAATTAATTGGGGTAAAACAAAAATATTCCAACTTTATGAGCGACAGTGTACATGTACAATAGTATACAGAGTTGTCTATTAAAATGTCAATCAAATCAATAAAAGATTCCAAAACCTCAATACAATACCCCTTTTTTTTGGTCACATAATGATTTATCTTTTAATTGATTAAGAAAAATAAAATACATTATAAGATCAGATAAAATTATCATCAGTTTTTCGACTTTGACACATAAACATGTCTACATGTAGATAAAGTGTTGCACTGCTTAGATATTTGTTCTTCATAATTGATACATGTAGTTGATTAATTTTTCATTTTCTAGTTAATCATGATGCATTTTAAAATTATTCTAATGAATTCATTGATATTAGTTACATGTATTAAAAAAAACTTGCTTTATATCAAAATAAGCATTTAATTTCAAATCTGTACTTAAAAAGAAAGATGTATAATTAATCAACTGGAGTGAATTTTAATTCATACAATATTGACATAATACATTATCAGACAGCTTGATCTGTGGACTATGTGCTGCTAAGTCAAACAAACATATTTGCCAAATACATTCATATCGTGAACATGATAGACAATGAGGGGTGACAAGTAGCAATTACCAAAAATCATCATACCGGTATTTTAAATCTCTTTAACCTAAGGTGCACCAATAAATTGACCAACTGCACGATGGTGATACATGTATGAAGTGAGATGTGACAGTGTAAGATGGAATGGGACTTGAGGTGAGGTGAGCAGATGAATTATATAGAATGTGAGACTTAGATAGCCCATACCTATAATGTACAAGTATGACCAAATGGTTAAAATATCCTACTTTGCATTGCACAATTAGTTTCATTCCTCTTCTACCTTATCTTCCTGAACCATCACTACCCCCCCCCCCCTCTCTCTCTCTCTCTCTCTCTCTCTCTTTCTCCCTCCTCCTCCTCCTCCTCCTTCTTTTCTTTACATATAATTTGGAAGTCATATAAGAAAATATTTCATAGCATACTTGAAATACAAAGTATTAAAAAACAACAACAACAAAAATGGAAAAGATAATGGAACTTTAAATATCTTTTACTACCAGTACAATACTAATGCAGCTATGATATATACAAAGGCTTGTTACACTAAGTGAAACACCATAGCAATGATATCTGTATATGTATTTATAAACTATAAAGTGCATTCGTGTCCACGAGTGCTGTATAACTAAAACCATAATTAAAACCATGAAGTACCCTTCTGCTGTGCTGGCTAAATGATTTGAATACAAAAAGAAAAAGTGCCTGTGAAGAGAGAAAATATAATTACATCAAATACATTATCTGGGTCTGTCACTATGGTATCATCTTGTGAAAACCCTTTGCTCTGCATCGCGAAGGCGTAAGGTGCCGTTGGCATGGTCGGTATCTTCTGAATGGTCAGCTGAAAATCTTCCTGCTGCTGATACAGTTAAGAGTGATCATTAATTAAGTTGAATTAGAATCATGAAGAGCAGCCAGTAGTTTGTTGTAGAAAGACAACAGTATCTGATTTTATAATATACCATGTACAGAATACATAACAAGATTTTTTTTTGTGAGTGAATGCATGAGTAAAAAAAATGCACACTTCAAAATAATCATGAATTGAATATATATATAATTATATATATAGTTACATGTACAGTGTATATGTCACAGTAATTTCATGCATATTTTTTGAAGAATTACAATCCTCATCTGTGACACACGCATTAGTTTCTCTTTCTCTTGCTCTCTATCTCCCTCCCTCCCCCACCCCCTTTCTCTCACTCTTCTCTGTCTCTCTCTCTCTCTCTCTCTCTCTCTCTCGTTCTTTCTCTATCTCTGTCTCTATCTCTGTCTCTCTCTCTGTCTCTCTCTCTGTCTATCTCTGTCTCTCCCTCCCTCTTTCTATCTATCTACATGTTTATATCTATATCTCTTTTCTTAAACTGTTCATGCTCATATTCTCATTTTTACATTCCAGCACCGAACAAATCCTCAATTACATTAATATGCAACATGAACATATCATCTTTGAACATTATGTACTTACCACTGATATTACAGGCAGAGACAGGGCATCCCCTGACTTTCTTAATTCATGAGCTTTCCTCATAATTGCATTACTGCAGTCCTTTAGTCTTGTCTTCATTTCAACATTGCAATACATTCAAATTCAAATGCAACAGTCATGTCTGCAACTCTGCATACATTGTACACATCCACAAGTCATGAATGTACTTTGATGCTTCAAACATACATATTTGATATCGTTAGTCAATGTGGTCTTTGGCCTTGCTATCACATCAAACAAATCCTTTTTCATTGACGACTGAAGGGTGTGTTTAATATGCACATGTACACACTCAACAAACATAATTGTATTTGATTCTCTTTCAGCTTAAACGTATTTGCTACCGTTTTTCTCTGCTCCATGATCTGAAAATTAAGATAGGCAGATTTGAAGAGTAAGCTATCAGACAATTCAAAAAATCTACAACATCTGTCTCAAAATCTGTCTCAAAATAGAATGAATACATGCTGTGAGCCTGGTTGTGACACTCTTCAAGTTTTCAAGTTCACTGCTACATCGTTCTTTTGGCTGGCCTGGAAGTCTGGAAGTCATTAACAATCATTTTATTCACCATTCCTTATCCATTCTGTATATATATGTGAACTAGCTTGAGTTAAACTCCTTCTATATCAGAAACTCAAATCACAAAGTAGGGTAAAAAAAATACTTTCTGCAAATTAGACTCATGATCCGGCCCTCTTGTGGAGTTTATGTTGCACCTGATGTCTCTGCCAAGTTATTCTGGTAGTTTGCTGAGCGCTGGTAGTTTGATACTTGAGACGGTTGTGATCTTTGGAGATCAAGAGGGCATGAAATAAACAGCATGGTTCAAATATTTCTCATCCTTGTGCCATTTAGCTTGGTGAAACTCTCCCCCGACATTCCCTAGAATATGTCATGCAATTCAGGTTAGCTTTCCGAAATTCAATCTAAAACTGAGAGATGGATTTTTCGCTCGATGGACATGAAGAGAATTTCCCATGATTCTTCATTGTATTCTGCAGCACTCACAGGAAAAACAAGCCAGAGACATTTCCCAATAGAACTGTTTGCCAACCGATTTCCCATCCAAATATTTGATCAGCCCCAAGTATCCAACTGCACATGGAACAAATCCAGTTCGTGAACTTCTTCCTCAATTTGAGATGCTGAATATATTTCCAAAATCAAAACAAGCACAGATGATATGTCAAAATATCTGTTTCAAACAAACTCAAAAGACAGAACAGCAAGCCATAATCTCCAAAAAATAGCTTTTCTATGGACTCTGACGAAGAAAGAAAATCACAGAAGATTATGGATCAAAATATCACACTATCCAGTCCAGTCAGAAACTCTGAATCCCCTTATCTTGACTAATGACCGTCATTGGATCGATGATTAACCACAAGACGTTTTGATAAAGCACCATCAATGAAAATGAGATACAGTGACTGTGAATGAAATCCAGCAAATACAATACAAGCACCAGCAGATGTCAAGCTATGGGCATATAGGGGCATATCCAGGGGTGATGCCAGAGGGAGAGGAGGAGGGGGGGGGGGGGAAGTACATGTAGGTCAATAAGAGATTTGGTGTTCAACCCTGGCTCATACAGTAGATTGTCTTGAGCTGAGCTACCATGTCCATTGCAATACCTTTATGGATCATCTCCAACAAATATACTGCTTATACAAAACAGCTTATAGGTATACTATTGTATCTTTAATGTACTAAAAAACTGGAGTTGGGGACATGGAAGAAAAACAAAACATGGACACTAAAAAAAAGAATGAGTACAGGATGAGCATGAATATGAACGGGGTAATCTTGTTTGTAAACATATGATGGTAGAGGGTTGGAGAGCAATGAAGAGAAACGGTATACAAAGAGGACAAATCCCAGAATAAATATAAAATGTACTCATGTATTGTTAGGGGTGGTAAATGAGATAAGTCAATCATGACTACAATACAAAAAGAAATGAAAGGGAGAATATAGAGAGGTGATGGATCCCCTCTCTCCCCACCCCCCCCCCCCCCCCCCACCAAGTATGAGATTGAGTAGCAACACAAAGAGCACTCTTTTCATGACAGCTCAAAAACAAATATAGCATTCTCTTCTGTAGTCTCTGCTTCATTCCCAGATTCTATTTAAAAAGTCCAGGGTTAATGAACAATCAAATGTTTTCTTCTCTCTCTTCTAACATACAGATGTAATGAGCCAGAGGTATCATTAATGTGTCAAAGTTTGACCATGGAAAAGAGCTAGCGGTTTACTCAAGATGAAAAGCCTCTCATGTAATCAATACCTAAAGTGCAGCTACTTGAATTCTTTTCTAATCCTAGATCAATCTTTGTGACCAGTCGTTAGAATCTGACTTCCACTGGGTCAATGGGCAATGAGAATGGTTTCATCTTTGCAGGGTGCAGAATCTATTGTGGAATTATTGATATTCAGAAAATGATAGGGTGCAATAAATGAATGAATGGCTGTAAACTTGGATATATTCAGCTGTCACCGTCGTTTCTAAAAGTGTCATTGCATCCTAGCAACATCGATTGTACACACGTACAAATTTATATGTGTGATGTTAGTCTAGGCAAGGAGCTTTATTTGTCTATATGTAGGTGTACATATTAAACTAGGTACAAGTGTAGCAGCCTACTGTGATACAGAAACATTCAGTAAGAATATAGAATAAGAGTAGGAAACATGGGCCTAATGGATAAAAGAATTATTGGTACAAGGATTTTTAAAACAAAATTGAAGTGTGTAGTAGTTTGGAGCACAAACTAAGGCTGTGCACAACAGTGTAATGAGGTACCCGAGTACACTCCCAGGCTTACAAGCGAATACTCGAGTATTCGGACGCCATGTTTTTTTATAATTTTTTTGAATTTTTTTGAATTTTTTTTGAATTTTTTTTGAATTTTTTTGTTGATTTTTTTTTTTTTTTTTTTTTTTTGTTTTTTTGCCACCACCATACCACTGGGGCAGTATCTCACGTCGCCGAAAACGCATGCAATTTTACTTTGAGTTGCAGTTGAAGGCGCCGATTTAATAATAATAATAACAGTAAACAATGCTGTTTTAAAAACCAAAGATGGCAGAATAATCCATTTTCCTCCATTTTTTTTTTTGCGGCCGAATATTCGGGTACTAAAAATCGTACCCAAGTAGTTGTCAACCATGCGGGTACTCGAGCATTCAACTACACGTCGCAGCCCTAGCACAAACCCTCCTCAGTTACAGTTGCTAATAGCCATTAAATAGAAATAAAAATTGGTAAAGTACAAGGCTATAAAACAGGTCTTCTTTGAAGTTCTCACCTACCAAAAACATCTGCATGAGCCTGCATCATATTTCAAACTTCACCTGCCTCTATATGTAGTTATTGTTTTTCAATGATAAGAGTGATATTGGTAAAGTGGATAGGATTTACTGATTGTGTTTGAAGGTATGATTATGAAGATATAAAAACAATGTAAACAAAAGATATATTGATTGGGAGAAATACAGACGAGAAAGAGAGAGGGGAGAGAGAAAGATATACATGTAGATGTACATGTAAAGTGAGAGAGCAAAACATTGAAAGAAAATGTTTTCCTTTTTGTTTTAATATTGAGAAGAAAAAAAAACATTTCAGTACAAAATGAATGGTTCACATGACTAGGAAGCCAAGATTCCTAAAGAAAACCACATTGAGTCCTACTTTAACAAAACTCGCTATCTACAGTAGGTAAATACAAGAATGACCTAGGAATGAGCAAGAATAACCTAGGAATGAGCAAGAATGACCTATGAATGAGCAAGAATGACCTAGGAATGAGCAAGAGTGAGCAAGAATGAGCAAGAATGAGCAAGAATGAGCAAGAATGAGCAAGAATGACCTAGGAATGACCTAGGAATGAGCAAGAATGACCTAGGAATGAGCAAGAGTGAGCAAGAATGAGCAAGAATGAGCAAGAATGAGCAAGAATGACCTAGGAATGACCTAGGAATGAGCAAGAATGACCTAGGAATGAGCAAGAGTGAGCAAGAATGAGCAAGAATGACCTAGGAATGACCTTTGAATGAGCAAGAATGACCTAGGAATGAGCAAGAGTGAGCAAGAATGAGCAAGAATGAGCAAGAATGAGCAAGAATGAGCAAGAATGACCTAGGAATGACCTAGGAATGAGCAAGAATGAGCAAGAATGAGCAAGAATGACCTAGGAATGAGCAAGAATGACCTAGGAATGACCTAGGAATAACCTAGGAATGAGCAAGAATGACCTTGGAATGAGCAAGAATGACCTAGGAATTAAGGCTGTGCACAACAGTGTAATGAGGTACCTGAGTACACTCCCAGGCTTACAAGCGAATACTCGAATATTTGGATGCCATGTTTTTTTTTAATTTTGATTTTTTTTGTTGTTTTTTTTTTGTTGTTTTTTTTGCCACCACCATACCAATGTATCAGTATCCCAGGTCTGTCGCCGAAAACGCATGCAATTTTACTTTGAGTTGCAGTTGAAGGCGCTGATTTAATAATAATAATAACAGTAAACTGCTGTTTTAAAAACCAAAGATGGCAGAAATCTGGACATTTGGTTCCAGTTTCTGAGTGGTGAGTTTGACTGTGCTTGAGTTTGGGAACATTTTTACCGACGGTACCATGCCAGCGGCCGTCTCTCTCCCTGGCACGGGTAAGCGTCGGCCTGGATAGATTTTTTTTTTTTTTTTTTTTTTTTTTTTTTGCGGCCGAATATTCGGGTACAAGAAATCATACCCGAGTAGTTGTCAACCGTGTGGGTACTCAAGCATTCGACCACCCGTCGCAGCCTTACTAGGAATGACCTAGGAATGAGCAAGAATGAGCAAGAATGAGCAAGAATGAGCAAGAATGACCTAGGAATGAGCAAGAACTAGCAAGAATGAGCAAGAATGACCTAGGAATGAGCAAGAATGAGCAAGAATGAGCAAGAATGAGCAAGAATGACATAGGAATGAGCCCCAATGAGCAAGAATGATCTAGGAATCAGCAAGAATGATCTAGGAATGAGCAAGAAATAGCAAGAATGAGCAAGAATGAGGTCATTCTTGCTCATTCTTGCTATTTCTTGCTCATTCCTAGATCATTCTTGCTGATTCCTAGATCATTCTTGCTCATTGGGGCTCATTCCTATGTCATTCTTGCTCATTCCTGCTCATTCTTGCTCATTCTTGCTCATTCACTCATTAAAAACAAACACAAAATCATGATATTTTTTATACAATAACTAAAATACTGAGAAATGTCTGTAAAATCATTCAAGTGAAGATTAGTAGAAAAGATGTAGATAAACATTTTAAGTTAATAAATCAAACATGCACTTGCTAATTTGTTTTGTTAATATAGTTGTCCCATTCCTACTTTCTTCATACTTAACTTTAATAAAACTGTATCACCTTGATTGTTTATGTACAGTGTACATTACCAACTGGACACAAGTTATTGTTAGGTGATGTGTGGCCTTCATACCTGAAAATCAATTTTTTTGCCCATTCAATGTGTTATCAATAGTTAAAGACACCATATTACACTTCCAAAATACATTATGTTAACAGGACAATGACCTGAAAACAATTACTTGCAAACCTTTTTAAACCTATTTTATTAATTCATGTTTTTTTAAGATGGAAATAAACTAATAAGCATGATACTATATACATACTAGTGAGCCATGAATAAGCTCATTGCATTTCAATACCACAACCTCAGAGAAGTGCAATGTGGCTCACTTTCATCTCTTACTTTCATTTTTAAAAAGTTAGTTATGATCCTACAACTTAGAGAGCTGGGAAAATGTTGCACAGAGGTACAGTCTGAACATTCTTTATAGTCCAATGGGAGTGCTTCACAAAGACTAAGATCGACTTAAGTTTGACTTGAACTATGGCAGGCCATTCATGCCACTGGTTGCAAGACGTTTTCAATATGCAATTACAGAATAAATTCAATAAATTAGAGATGAAACTGAGTCACGTCTCTTGGATGGTGGTGTTGGAGGTCAGACATGAATAATCAATACACATCTGCAAAAATACAATAAGTCATTGGTTGAGGGAGCTGAGGGATGTTAAGTTGTATCCTTTTATTTGTATCCTTTTATGTACACATTTGATTCAATGTCCTTCTAGTTATAAACAGACAAAATGCTTGAGTCAATACTTCAAAGATCACTGACATTTATGTTTCAGGTAATGCTTAAATGAATCCTTATTTCTAAGAGCTTACATGTGGTGGCTGTGGTGCTTTCCCTCCAGGTCTTTCATTCACTGAAGAGGCATTGGCTTTGAGGCTGAATTGCAGGCCAAGAGAATTCACCTGTTCAAAAACAAAATTGAATAACAATTCAATTATTCAACCACCTGATGGCGGGGGGGGGGGCAATATTGTGGAAATAACTAAAGGGTCAGAAAATAAAAGGAGAAAACATCATTTAAAAGGGAAACCGCTGTTCTTCTCTGACAAGTGACCCTAAAGGCTTAGTCACCTTGAAAGTCTTTTAAAAAATCATGCTTTCTGCAATCTGTTATAGGCTACCAAGACTTAAAACACCATTAAAATGTAGAATATGGCAACAAAATCAAGCTTGCTACATTCATTTAGGATAGCAACAAAAATGGAATCCTGCAATACAACATGTCGGTAACATACTGTATTACTCATTATATGTGATTGTGAAAATTGGTCACTTTTAGTTGAATGCTAAGAGTTTCAGATTTTATTCTGGATTATTTTCTTAAAGGGATAGTTGAGTTCTGTTGCAGAGGGCGCTACACAAAATAATAATGAAAAACTGAGTGTCAAATTTGAAACAACATACAATTTAAATGACAAAATCATCTTTATACAGTAGGCTTGCAGGTACACCATGTGAGAGACGGCTGAAATATCCATAAATATAACGATTTCTAATACTTGTGTACCACCACAAATATTAGATAATTTGAAAAAGCCGTTAAAAAAACAAAATAGCGCCTTTTACGTTAAATTTCAGCCATACCGATATTGGCTTTTTTGTTGGCATTTTCGTGTTGGTTATATTACGCACAACCAGCTGGCCCATGTATTGTTATTTCTAATAACATAATTAATTATGGGCCATCGTATTTTTTTGAAAGTGGAGCTGAATTGGTATGATCGTATTGGCCAAATTTCACACATTTTGGAGTCTAAAATTACCTTCATAGCAATTTTAGGTTCTAAGAGGGCACTACAAATGTCATAGATAAGAATAAGAGCAATAACCATGCACTTTGAAGATATTTGCAGTCTAAAAACAGAACACTTGTCTAGATGCTGAATAGGCTTTGACAAGTAGCAGAATTAGGCCTAAACCAGCACAATCAGAATAAAGTTAGGGTGTCTGAACGATTTTTCAATTTTCGATTTGGGATCGTTTTTCACCATTTTTGTTTGATATTTGAATAAAAAGTGTAATCAGAATAATACATTTCAAATTTGAAGCTTCACCGATGTTTCAATCAAAAGATACAGCCCCTCCAAAATGCTGGTATATTCATATCATTTTGGTCAAAATCGACGAAAAAGATGTCCACGCAGAGTGATGTTGTTTTGCTAAATTTAGCCAAACAGCTGTATCGCGCGATATGCAAGCGTATGCATATCGTACGCATGCTGCTAAGCCAATGCGCGACTTGCAAGCTTGAGCTACGCTGTCTCCGCGACACGTGCCATTGACTAGTATGGTTAGCGTTCGTCGCACAAAAAACCCGGAAGTGAATGCACGTTATAGTCAATGGCAATATCGCGGAGATGTCTCCGCGATATTGCCATTGACTACAACGTGTATTCACTTCCGGGTTCTATGGCGAGAATCGGCCACCCATACTTTCATTCACTATAAGCGCACATGTTACGATGTAACCATGGTTTGGACTGAGCGGAGCTCACGCCTCCCTAATTAGCTGATTCCAAAAATGTGGGAAGGGTATTTTCAAACTGTTATAACAAATGATCCCTTGGGGCTAGCGAAAAAAAAAGCATCTGGATATTATCCTTACGTCTAGCCCTGCTTAAGCCGCGGGGGCGCAGCTCAGGAAAGTGGCAAATTTTGGAGCTAGGATGCAAACAACATTTCAATCGCTGTTTTGACCAAGATATTTTTAGAATTCTGGGGGTGGCCCCCTATGGGGAATATGGAGAAAAACCTGCTCTTTCATATGACACCTCATTTATTGAGTTTCACCTTCAGGATCATTTGTTATAAAGGTTTGAATTTCAAATTTTTTCATAAAATCATTGACCAATTTTGGATGGTCGCGCAATGCACGTAGACCACATAGGGAAGCGTACAATCTCTATGGGAAGGGTTTTAGCACACAACATTGGGTGCGCGATCAGACACCCTAATAAAGTGATCGGACACATGAGAAGGCAAAGGAAGTTTGGCACATCCAAAGAAACAATAGTAAATTTCTATAAACCTGATAAGACGTACAATTAAAACATAGTAACCCTTGTTAATATAAAAAGTCATTACAACATTAGATAATCGAAGTCTGAGATCAATAGGGTAACCGCTAACTGCGTTTGATATGACGGATTGACGCTCTTTAAAATCACAAACCACAATTTGGAGTACATGGGACTACAATACGAATAAAAATACTTTAAATTGTTAAAATCAGTATGATCCATAAATATTCACCTCCTTAAATGCCATCCCAGATCTTTGTCTCTTCTTGTTATATGCATACATGCTAGTAAATCATCGACAAAAATCCTTTCTCGGTGATATTGTGTCCATTCTTCTTAAAGAGTCTCGGCTCCTAGAAACAATTTTTACACCTTAATAACATCCTCATCACGCATATTCGTTTATACTATATTTAAACTCTTTAGAAGAAGATAATTATGATGTAATATTATTTTTTAAATATTTTAAAACTATCAATTTATATATGTTAATATATTTTAATATTTTATAAAAAGTTTTAAGTAGTTTTTTATTATAAATCACTGAAATTGTAAAGTTAGGCAACAGTAGTTTTCACGTGTGCATCGTTTCTGAACGGGCTAATGGCAACTTTCACCGGAGGAGCTGCGGCGTAGTTTGGTACCGAACGGGTGCACTTTCTGCTGCGGTGCGCCGGTGACATAGTCTACATGTACAGTCGACATAGCGATCGTCACGTCCGCTGAACTTGTCTCAACCACAAGTAAATTTAGTTCGAGTAGGATTCATTTAATCGTGTTTAGTGTTTTTCACATTTGGAACTGGGCGTGTATCTAGAGATTGTAAATCAACAGCTTAGTCAAGATGAGAAATCTTGTCTTGACTCAGCGCCGCTGCATAAGGAAAGCCGAGTTTTCCGAATCAAGATTTCTCAGCATTGATTTTGATACAAGCAAAGTTTACACAGCAAGCAACACTGCCTTTGCCTGCTTGGACCCTTCAACCCAAGAGGTAACTAATCTAATTATTTTCTCAATTGTCTTATTGTCTTATCATTCAATCATTAGTAATACAAATCATAAAAATAGATTATAATCACTTGGAACAAGTGATTGACATGAAGAAGTCATGAGTGAAAATCAGATAACGTCATAAAAATAAAAATGGATGATGTTGGTGAAGAAAATTGTGATGATGAAAATAATGATGTAGACAAAAATGATGATGATTATGATTGAGATTTTGATGATGATGATGATGATGCCATCATTGCCATGATGTTCATGAAACCGGTGGTCATGAATTTTATGGAGCGTATGAGTTACGACGATGATCAAGGAATAAGGATGTTTTTGTTTTTTTAATATTATGTAATAAGTTATGAAATGTAAAAGATGGCATCCCCAGACATTTTATGAAATATGCTGAAACAGCAGAATCTCACTGAGACCTCTGGTGGGCCAATTAAGTGGTTCATTTCATCTCACTGAATGATTACAAAATAGATGATGCAATCAAAGGAACAAACATGAAATACAAGCCCCAAAAAAGAAGAAAAAAAGGTTAGGTTAAGGTATCCATGTACTTAACATTTAGATGCAAAAGCTGACAGTGATGATGGCCTGGGGGTTTATATTTCATTGAGGCCTGTACGTCATCAGTGCAAAAGAAAAGTATAACATTTTTAAGGGTTTTTTTTCATCATCAGGCGCAGAACACGTGTATTGCTTTAAGAGTATCGAAAAACAGGAAAATTCAGGAAAAGGGTATCAAATTTACAGGTGATAACTAAGTTAAGCAGAAAGGGTAGGAAATTTGATAGCCCGGGTCAGCGGCAGAGCCTCAGAGGGTTGAATATGATTTTAAAATCCTGTGTAAAATACATGATAACAAAAAAGATAAAAGTCAAAGAAATAGCAATCCGTGATTAGTCATTAGTAAAATACCATGCAAGATATAAAATCCCTGTTGAGGGACTAACAATCTGGGTTTTAGGCAGGTCTCCCTGAGTAGGGTATCAAAATTAATCTAGATTTCTATCCTTGTTGACGGTGCTTTTACATTTACAGTGCTCAATGCGATATACCCCCCCCCCCCCCCTTTCCGGACAGAAGAAAGTATGAATGTTGATGAGAAATGTGAGACTAAGAGAAGATGAGTGCTGAGGAGGAGGAGGATGGTTATAATGACGTGTCAAAACTTGGTTTGAATACATCTATAAAAGTTGAACATGATTTCCATTGATGTCTTTGAAACAGGTCGAATGGACAGTAGATTTTAAGACACATGGCTTTGACTATGAGGCAGCTGGACACCGAGTAGTTTCCATACAGCATCTCCCAGGCCAGCAGTCCCTCTGTATCACAGTCACTAACGGAGATGTTCTTCTGTATAATACAGTATCAGCTGAGGTGAGTTCATTCAATCTGACCTTGTCATAGTAAAAGGTACATGTGTTTTAGTGGTCAGAAAAAAGACTCTACAGAAGTTGAGCATGTGCTGTGATAGAATTTCATACCGTAGCATTGTATAATATTTGAAGTATTTTGTACGTATCAGATCCATTTTATATGAAAAGGGAGTTAGTTTCACTTTCTTTTCGTATCTTAAATTATTTCCTTTGTATTTTTTTCCTACTTGAGCTGAATGATACTAGACAGAATTAACATCTAGTAAGGAGAATTCTTTGATAAAACTGACATTTGCCAACCTCATGATGGTAACCCTTCCACCATGCACGAGGAGGGAATGACTAGCCGATTATCGCTGGAATCTGGCGATAAGTTCGCCCTTGGTTTGTCTTTATCTAGACTACAGTTTCAAGATTTTGTACCATCCATCTAGAGAGAATGTAACCCATTTTTTTTACAATAAATAATTTTATATATTTTTATCCTTCTTTTGTCTCTGTTTTTCTGTTATAGCTTGAATGTGTAGGGAGTGTGGAGAATGGTCTGTGCTGTATGAGCTGGAGTCCAGACCAAGAATTGGTTGTCTTGGCAACTGGTAAGTAGATGTAAAATACAAATTAAGAGATAAAATAGAAGAAAAGGGAAAAAAAGTAGCAAAACAAAAATGTGCTTCTCAGTGTACATATTGATAGAACAAATTAGTTATTTGTACATATATGGCATGGTAAGTATCCCCCAAAAAGATGATACATGATGAATTGGTTGATAAACAATGTGTATTGTCATTTTAAAAGTAGGCTATATAACCGATATTGTTTTTGAGATATGACATTTATATTATTATGTAATTATTTTTCATATTTTCTAGCTGCTAATACACTTTTGCTAATGACCAAGGATTTTGAACCAGTCCTGGAAACTGCACTTCAGCCAGATGAGTTTGGACAACGTAAGTAGATAAGGATGCATTATGATTTTAGAAGAAAACTAAGCAATTTTGTTGAAGAGGCACATAAATAAGTAATTTAGATAAATGAAGTAGGAAGGTTTTCATAGCACCTACTTTATCAAATGTCACACAGAGATCAAATAATAAGATAAAATAAGAATGATTGGCTAAACCTTGAAGAGGAATCATAATTATATTTTTCAATAGCAAGGTGAAGAGAGTGGATGGTAGCCTCTTGAATAAATCTTGTTTGCAATAGTACACATAATTATAATTTAATAACAATAGTTATAAAGATAATTATGTATTTATATAACATTATTGCCCATTTTTCATGTACACTGCGCATGTTCAAATGTGCTTTCGGTGTACATATTGATAGAACAAATGAGTTATGTGTACATATGGCATGGTAAATGTAAATCATTCAACAACTACACAATCAGGCAGGCAGAAGTCTAGTTACTAGATATTTTTTCTCTCTGGCATAATTTATTTTTAATTCGGTAGAGGAGATAATCTCTTCAAGATAGAAGAAAGGAATTTCAACTTCTCTATTCCATTGCAGAGAAACCAATTACTGTTGGATGGGGTAAGAAAGAAACCCAGTTCCACGGCTCAGTGGGCAAGCAAGCAGCGACTCAGCAAGCTGAGAATGTGAAGCCTGCCCTCACTTGGGATGATGGACAAGTCAGAATAAGTTGGCGTGGTGATGGCGAGTGTTTTGTCGTCACTTCCATCAACACATTAACAGGTAACAGGATTTATGTGATCTAATATTAATATCAATTTTTCATACTCGTACATAATTTATTTTCAATTTTCGAAATTATATTTACTACTATTACAGGCGACAGTTACAAAGGGCTTGTCTAGATGGTGGTCAAGTTATTACACTTTAAATTTTGTTTACAATGTGACACTTGAAAACTGGTGATCTTATTTTCTTGACATAAGGTCCTTCATCTTTACTTATATACTCATGAATTGTGACATTTGTTTTTTTCCAGGTGCAAGATAACTTTATGTACGGAACAGGGAGTGTTTCCTGGGTTTTGTTTAGAGTGTGACATTTGTAAAACTGTTTGATATTTATTTCTTGACATATAGCTCCTTCATCGTCATTAATATACTGTACCCATGAATCGTTTGATTGTCAGGTGCAAGGCAACTGCGTGTGTGGAACAGAGAGTGTGTCCTGCAGTCCACCAGTGAAAATGTGAATGGCTTGGAGCAGGCTCTGGCATGGAAGTAAGCTTTTATACTGTGGACATTTTTGAGATATTTGTAAAAGGCAGTTTGAAGTAGCAAAATTAATATTTATTTAGTAGTTTATTTATGTATTTTATCACATGGAACATTCGATGTAGAATTTTATTGAATTGAAATATATTTTCAAATATTGTAATTGTCTGTAGTACACTGTGTAGGTTATTTCTAGCCTCGATTTATGCTGCTGTTAGATTGAAAATCAGAATATGTTAAAGAATGAGGGCATTGATTTAAAATCATGTAGAAAAGATAGTGAATAAACTGTAGAATAAAAGATGTGAATAGCTTTTAATAATTTAAAGCATGTGTGTCTCTATCAACAGACAGTGGATACCTCATCATCATATATATATGCATACTTGGTGGTTTAAAGAATAACACTGTAATGCTTCTAAAATTATGGGACTAACAAAAAGGGGGAAGGGTAAACAAACAGACACAATGCCAAAACTTTTTGCCCACAATAGGTTTTCATGTACTTATTGAGGCCCAAAGAAGTGCATTATTTTATTATATTTTTTTATTACTGGAAAGATTTTATTCCTTTTCTATAAATGTTTTTCTTTTGTAGGCCATCTGGGAGCTTGATATTATCTAGTCAGCTTCTTCCTCATCGACATGATATAGTGTTCTTTGAGAAGAATGGACTCAGACACGGAGAGTTCACTCTACCATTCAACAAGGATCAAGTCAAGGTAGTTAGCCGATTTTGTTTCATTTCATTTTATTTCATTCTCCATAAAAACATTAAAACATACAAACATGATATACAGATAAAAGATTGATTACAAGAAAAATACAAAAAGAAGGAGCAAACATTTATGGAATGTGGGGTTATCAAAAAGGGCAATTAGCCTTATGAACGTCAACCCCTTTAAAAAGTATACACTGTATTGTTGAGAAAAGAAAAAGGGAAAAGAAAAGCAAAGAAAACCTGAACACCAATACAAAAGAAGAAAAAAAAAAAAGGAAGGAGAAGGGAAGGGGAGGGGGAATACATTACAAAGTGCATTAACTGGAACGTAACATCATTTATTTGGAGATTGAATACAATGATAAAAGATGGGATTCATACCAACGTTTGAAAATATTCAGGCTTGAAAACTCCCATTTGAAAGAACTGTTAAGTCTTTTGTGTGATTGAATATTTGAAAATATTGTATCTGTCAGATTTCAAACAAATGAAAATAGAACTATAACTCTTGTGTTAGTGTAAAGATTCCTACTTTTGGAACATTTACTTCAACTGTATTATTATCAGCAACTTGAAATATATTGTATTATCCCTGAAATACCAAGTTATTTTGTTTTACATTAAAGTTTCTACATTTATTGTCATTTAGCTGTGAGCAAGGCTATTCAAAAAATTTCTTCTTGTAAATTTTACAGAATATTTCTATCATTTAATATCGCAATGTGTATTATTCATTTTTGCTCAAACTCTCATTATTTTGTCTTTTGCTTTTAGGTGAATGAGATCCTTTGGAACACGGAATCGACTATCCTTGTTTTATGGCTTGAAGAACTACCCACTGAAAACAATTCTGACCTTTCTACTTTCATCCCAGAATCATATGGTAAGAAAACAGTATTCCCCTTTTCCTTATCTCTGACATTCATAGAAATTTCATTTTGTTTAACATTAGATTTGATGAAAATTGCTTCACTTTTGTACATAAATTCACATTTTTGTACAGGTTAATTAGCACTCTTTTCTCTGATAAACGCTTCATCAAAAGCCTCAGTATGTCTGTATTTAAAGCTGTTTTTCTATCTTGCAAGTTTGTATAATATCCATGTAGTTATTTTTTGTTTTCTATTATTCCTTTCTCACTTTGTGCAAGCATACTAAACCAGTTTAAAAATATATTAATATGTGTCATAGATGTTTTTATAAAGTATTTTTACAATATGGAATATAGATTTGAGATATAAATTACATGTATGTAGAGCGTTGGCATTCAATTCTGGTGGCAATATCAGCTAATACTTTGATACTATTTCTCTGCGTTATTATTTATCAGTTCAAGTATGGACAGTAGGGAACTATCACTGGTACCTCAAACAGAGCCTCCACTTCTCAGCCAATCAGAGACTGAATGCTTTAACCTTTGACCCTGAGCATGCCAATCAGCTTCATCTGCTGAACAGCGCTGGACAGTACCTAAGATACAGCTGGACCTGGCAGACGGCAAGCAGTAGAGGGCTGGGTGAAGAAGACCAGGCTGTCACAGCGGTTATCGATGGAAGTAAGTTCAGTCTCTAATTACTGTTTATAGGATCACTGAGGGAAAAGGAAAAAGAAACTCAAATAATATGGACAATTTGAGGAGAAACACATGTAGAGACCACACCATTTTGATCTCAGATCACAAAACAGATCTTTACAGAGTACTATGTATATTTGTACGTTTACATGTACATGTAATTGCCAGGTTATTTATATTTCTCACTCGCCCCTGAAGCTGTTTATGTCTTCTTTGGCTCCCTTTCTATCTCTCACCTTGAAGTCTTGCCCCTCCCCCCCCCCCCTTCTCTCTCTCTCTCTCTCTCTCTCTCTCTCTCTCTCTCTCTCTCTCTTTCTCTCTCTCTCCTTCTCCCTCTCTCCTCTCCCTCTCCCTCTCCCCCCTCTCTCTCTCTCTCCCCCCTCCCTCCTCTCCCCCCCTCTCTCTCTCTCTCTCTCTCTCTCTCTCATTTACCTACAAGTGTAGAGACAAATTTATTCAATAGAGTATAAGAAAACAAGTGTATTTTATGAGTTGAAGTCTGACTTCATCAACTTCTGTTGCCAGTGATATGCAATTTATATACCTTGATAAGCAGTGCATATTTCTATATGTGTTTTGATTCTATTTGATAATTATGTGATAATCCTAATTTTACTTCTTTGCAGAGGATGTTTTGGTGACCCCTTTCAAGAAGATGGTAGTGCCCCCACCCATGTCGGCCTACACATTGATGATGCCAACGTTTGTCAATCAAGTATTCTTTGCCCCTCCCCCTCATAGCAACAACATAGCGATAGTGCTACAGGATGGTCGTATTGCATTCTACATGCACAAGACTGGTGAGATTGTAAAACAAAATAAAGTCACATCATTTCTGCTTTCTCAAACCATTTAAAGAGGGCAAGTGCCAACTAAAAATTAATATTTATAACATTAGAAGACATATGATCACCACGAAAATATTAATGGATAACTTCAAATGGCGATGGATTGAAGAGCATGAGAGCAGAATAAGTATTTCATTGTAATATGTGTACAGATTAAAAAAATTCTATTGGGTATAGACATTCAAAAGTCTGTGAGGTTCAGTACCATTCTATATAGAAATCTGTAGTTACATCCTAGAGGGAAACCCTGGCAACATTTCAAGATCCATTACAAAACACTATGGAATCACAGCTTGATTGTGATGGCTCTTACATTGCTGAACAGCCTATCCCGATCTAACCTGTATACCAGTACATTTCTGATGAAGCTGCTCATTATGTGACTAAATTTCTCTGTGTTTTTATTTCATTCAGATGGTGAGGATGAGAAAGAAGATGCTTCTGTCAAACTGGTTGCTGCTGGAGGAAATGGCTTCAAAACCATGGCAACCACCCCTAAGCTCAGAGGCATTGCAAGGTAAAAACAGCCTGTTATGTGTGCAGAAGATTGTATGGCAGAATAGTGTTTGTTCAAACTGGAATAATGCAGCTCTAAAGTTCTTTTACTCCTGCTTGGGGCTTTGAGTATAACATTCAGTGTCTGACTGTTCAAGTTTGAAGATAAAAGGTTTTGATGTGAAGTATCAATGCATTATTAGCCTAGTTAGGCAAGAAAAATTGTTGGTTTGCTTGAATCCGTGTAACACATTTGTGCAAGTGCTTTGATAAACAGATGGGAAGTCACATTAGATTAAAAATGTTTTAAAAGATGGAATTTTCATGAACCCTATGAGTGAAAATTGCTCCATATTTCATTCATTTACAGGATAGAGGATGGGTCTGGCAATGCAGTTTCTTTGGATATATCATTTCATCTTCATCACTTGATGTGGATCCGAGCTGACTGCCTGGTAGCAGTGTCATACAATGATGAGGACTCTGTGAGCTCACTACATCAAATCAAATGCGAGGGACTAGGAAGTGGTGAATTGAAATTAGTGTGGTAAGTTGCTTCAAGCGAATGGTTTTATATGGTCTTTTGTCATAAAGTATGTGCAGTGTGGTGGACTATTTCATTACTTCAAAGATAAAACTGTAACTTTTGATTTTTAACTTAACTGCTTTTATGTAGATAGTAATAATAATAATAATAATAGTGGGTTCTTGTATAGCGCTCATGTCATGTCATGTCATGTATATAAATCATTAGAACATAGTGTGCTGATGACTGTGTAGCATACATAAGTATGGCCTCTTGTCAAACATGTATTTTTTGATTTAGTATTCGATGAGTGAAAGACATAATGATTATTTTATAATGCAAGTCTTACATGCATTTTGTCACTGAGTACAAAGCAGTCAAGGATACAAGTGCACCTGAATGCGGGATCTTCAACAGTGCTCCCTGGACTAAACATCTTTCTCTTTTCACCACCTCTCATTATAGCAATCAAGCAGAGAGTCAGCCAATATTCGGTGAGGTTGTCTCGGTCAGTTGCCGTGGCGATGAAGGCTCTTTGGCAATCCAGCTGGATGATGGTACAATCGTAGATGAGAGCAATGAATTCATCACCAAACTACCCCAACGATGCTCACATGTTGCTGTCTGTACAATGGCCGGCCAGGTAAGAAATCGCAGATCTATCCCAGAAAAGGGGATTAAAGACTCGAGAAGGGCATATGGTTAATACTACACATCTTACAATGTAATACAATCAGACTGAGTATGCCTATAATTTATGGACTTTGAATGTAATACACTCTGATGGCAAATTTCACTTGAACAATTTTTGTGGAATTATTTAGTTATGCACACCTTCCCCTCACCCCCCCCCCCCCCCTTTCCCCCTTTAAAAAAAGCTTGATTTCCCAGAATATGAGACTTTAAAGATCTCAAACTTGCCATTAATTCCTAGAAATCAAGTTTAAGAGTTTGATATGCTTATGACTCAATTGCCAGGAAAGTGACTGATGATTTGGGGTGATTTCTCTTCTTGTAGGAAGCGGTTCTTGGACTGACTGAGCGGTATCGTTTCTATGTCAACGAGATGGAGATTGCCTCCAACGTCACTTCATTTGCTATCACTAATGAGTTCCTTGTTCTGACTACACACAGTCATACCTGTCGTTGTATTAGCCTGGAAACTAAATTAGAAGGTAGGATTCTAGTTGTTGATAGATTGATTGAATTGAATTGATTGCAAGTCCTTCAATCTATTGTAAAATTTCTACTGCGTTTCTGTTATTATGCAAAGATAATTCATATAAGACATGTCTTCTGACTGTTTTGTTTTTGGTCTTAAGTTGGTCACCGTGTGTTGTTGACAGTTTATGTAACTGCTTTAATCCTATATTTTCTACATGAATTGTACTTTTGGTTATTCTTTAATATAATACAATCTTCCCTTACATTAGTAAAGATGTTAAAACGGCTTGTATTGAACATGGCCATAAAGTATTCATGTTCATGATGTTCTGTATGCTTTCTATTCTCTCTGTTTGCCTTGTTGACATAGGTATCGTATATTAAATCCTTACAGAGATGTAAATCATCAGTTGCAATCTGAATTGTCAATGATTGCTCACTTTCCTTTAGCACTAAGTCATTCAAGCATGTATATTTTGATCGTACATAGATCTATCAGCTCTTAGTGAAGGCAAGACAGTCTCCCTTGACGAGAGCGTGAGACGAGTGGAGCGAGGATCCCGCATCGTCACGGCGATAGCGTCCGACACCCGTCTGGTGCTCCAGATGCCGAGGGGTAACCTTGAGACGATCCACCCGAGAGCTCTGGTCCTTGCTGCCATCAAGAGATCCCTGGATGCCTTGATGTATAAGGAAGCCTTCACCGTCATGAGAAGACATCGTATCGATATGAACCTCATCGTAGACCATAACCCACAGGTTAGTTTGCATCATAATCAATAGTGATATGTCAGTTTATGACAGGACCCAATCAGAATTGTATATCAAGTGTCTCTCCAAGGACCTCGGTCTTGAGCCATCTGTTTCAGCATTTCATATCCTGTTACTCCACATTCAGTGATTAATCATCTAGAAAGCCTTTACGAGGTCTTTCCCTATTCTTCTTTCCATGTAGACGACCTTCTATGAGTCTGATCATCAAGCCATCATCATGTCGCAATATGTGTCCAAGCCATACGATGCAGATATTAGTGATGATGGTGATGGTGGTGGTAATGGTAATTGATAATCAGCTAATGTAAACAGATTGCAAAATTGCTGTTGGATCATTACCCTTGCCTAGAGGCAGAACAACCACTGAAGTTTTTTCACCCTGTACCCATTTGATACTCCTGAGTCAAGGGAGACAATAGTAATGAAATGCCTTGTGTAAGGGCTTTATCACCCTAATTTTGTGGGGATTATATAGAAGTAGTAATTGTTGTTATTCATTTAAAAAATACATAGTTCAGGTAGTATTAACCTGTTTATGTACGTTAGGATAAGTGATATTTGTATGTTTTTTATTGTTTGTTTTACCTGACTGCTAAGAAAGCATGTGTATGCTTGTAAGTAAGCAATCAGGGAAACAACGGCTGTTAATCCTCTCTGAGGGACTTGGTAATGAGGATTAATGCCTTACCAAAGGGCACAAGCGCACTCTGAAAAACCGTCTTGGTTTTGAATCCGGAAGGGCGGGACCTTCCGATTACGAGACCACTGCTCTCCCACTGAGCCTTCGCGTCTATGTTTTGAAGCTCTACATGTAGTTTAAATTATAGAATGATGAGCAAAATATAATATTTCATATGCTGATCACCCTGTTATCCTGAGTATCCTAAACAATCACTTCACTGTTTTCTATGTGAATTTGATAGCTACTTCTGAACAACATAGACACCATGGTGACCCAGCTGGACGACCCCACCAGCCTCAATCTCATTCTGATGGATCTCAAAGAGGACAGTATTACTACCACCATGTATGCTGCAGCCTACCGCACCCCTGCCCCACCCTTCACTCTAGGGCCGGGGCAGACCAGTAAGGTGGATGTAGTGTGTGATGCTGTCAGGGAGAGTCTCTACAGGCTCAATCCAAACAGGTAGGCAAGATAATATATTGTTGAAGTACTTTCTTGTTCATTCGCTCTGCGAATATTACCCCAACCATGCAGCTTCAAACACCGGAGGAACTACTTTGATGCTTGAAAATTGCTTTTCCCTTTTTTATCGCTTGAAAGTTTGCCATGTGCTCCTTAAATGCTCAATATTATAGCAATACTTCTTTAGCAATCACATGGATGTCCTCCCATTCATAATATTGTATGATATCTGTGTTGGTTCCCATGTTGAAAATGAGTAACAACTGAAAGAACAAAAAAAAATCCGGAAAACTTGTATTAAATGAAACCTGTATCAAGAAACCTACTGTATCTATGCAAATCATTTCTTATTTCACACAAACAGCCAGAAAGAGTTTCAATTGTATGACAGCACACAAAAATTTGTGGATGGAAGTCCGCATTTGAATTTGAATTTTTCTTATCACCCAAGGGACAATAGCTTTATTTATTTCCTCCCAAGGATGTACAGAAGACACAATGACAGGTTTGTTATCAATATGAACAGTAATGCGGTACATGTACCTCAATATTATATGTTGTAGATATCCATGTCCATTCAATTGATTAGATCCTCTCTCCGTATTATTTTGAAGATTCTTCTTGTCAGTCCTTGCCTGCCATGCCAAGAAAACCAAACCCGAGCTAGAGAAGGCCTTAGAGAAGATCAGACTTAGGCAAGGTCAAGGGTCAAATGAGGATTCAGATTGTCCGTCAGCAGATGAGGCTCTTCGCTATCTCTTATACCTGGTAGATGTCAATGAACTCTTCAATGTTGCTCTGGGAACCTATGACTTTGACCTTGTACTCATGGTTGCTGATAAATCGCAAAAGGTAAAATTAGGTTTCCTTCATACTTGAAGGTTTTAACTTTGTGATATGTGTTGATTGTTTAATACTTTAGTTGACGTTGAAACGCATGTTTTCCATATGCCCCAGCTCAAGAGACATTTCTAATGCACTACCCTAACAAATTATTCTGCATCAGGGGTTTTAAGCGTGTATCACGGCTAAAGTGTAACCAGAGATTCAGTATTTGGCATCTACCTAACCTTTTCTTTGCTGTAATATTAGGAAGAATATATTCTTGCTTCAAATTTATGCTTTTCTCAAATGGTGATGTGAGATAATTACACTTTTTCATACCCCAAACAGTTAATCTCTGCTTATCTTGGGTACTACAATGAATAGATTTCTTTCACCTGGTTTACACTCAACAGTTACTTTACTGACCAGTTTTTCATTAACGGTTCAAATTCTGATCAAGATTTAATTCATCTTTTTACAGGACCCCAAAGAGTACCTGCCCTTTTTAAACCAGCTGCGTAACATGGAACCAGACTACCAGCGCTACTCCATAGACAAGCACCTCAAACGTTACGTCAAGGCCCTGGGACATGTGAGCCGGTGTCCTGATCACTTCTCAGAGTGCTTGGATCTGGCCATAGAACAGAGACTCTACCCAGAGGCACTGAAGCTCTTCAAGAGAGGGGATCACCAGTACAAGGTATGTACCACATTCTCATTGTTTTAGAGATACTGACATTCCATTAAGTAGAAGTGTATGTTAAACCATTCACTACTGAATTCTCTCATTCCCATAGAAAATTCTACAGGGGCAACCAGGGTTGGTATTCAATTCATTACTTAACATAAGTAAGAAATTTACTAAGTAGATGGCTAAGTTAAGTAATTTACTTATCTCGTATTAAAATAGCATTTTAGACTTATACTTACGTAAGACAAAATCTAAGTAAAATACTTACTGATAAGCATTGTGACGTCACACGGTCAATCAAAAGTAATGCGCAATTGATTCATTGCAATAAATGCGTGCCGATATAATTGTGCGCAGGTTATAATACCGCGTAAGAAAACCATATGCAGCTGCCAAACAAAGACCTCTAAATAATTGGCTCAAGTCTGGTATGGAGTTCGCTTAGATTCAGGGTAAAATACTTAGCCAAAAGTGTGAATTGAATACCAAAATTGGCTAAGTATCTTATCTAAGCCAAATACTAAGTAAAAAGTTTAAATTTTGTACCTAAGTATTGAATTGAATACGGGCCCTGGTTCGTAAACGCAATAGGTTAAAACAAAAGTCGAATCCTCAGAAAAGAGGTCCTCACAGGTTACTGGTTTTGAAACACATGCCCTTTTATACAGGTTTTTATGAGGAACTTTATAGAAAGAAAGAAAGAGAGTGGTCTTTGTAGACAAGTGAGATTTCTTCTTTGCTTCGTCATGCTTTAACTTTATTGAGATAGAAGCATAGCTAATGATTGAAAATTGCCTTACTAAACAACTTACTAAAGAATTAGTATTTAACTGTCTTATGAACAAACACTAGAGAGATTAGTGGGGAGTCAGAGGTGAACACAATTGTTGATAACCTTTCTATGCCACACTGTGGATAATGGAGCAGTCTGCAGGAAGTGAGGATTACCAAACAAAGAGCAGTGAATGGACAAGACAATGGAGCAAGTGTGTGGAGATTGTAACAAAGATGTGTCTTGTGATATGGCATGAAGCTCTTTAATCAGCCAATTAAACAAAATATTGACATGTAAGTTCATTTGATATGTTCCTTAAAGAAAAGACAGCTATCAGTCTTTAACAGGCACTGTAATGGAATTGAGAGGTTTTGATGCTGGCAATTTATTGACTCCAAAATTATTTCTGCCGTGACTCGTAACTATAGGAAGTCAGAATATTTTGGATTGATAATCCACAATTAATCCTGTTGTGACTTGTAACTACTGGAAGTCAGAAAAGATTCGCCGCTACCAGAAGATAATAATCACTGTAGCTTTTGATCTATGTTATAGAATTATGCGATTCTGACCATATCAATATCAATATTAATTTGTTTGGGTTTCTGTATTGATTCAGGCTGTAGCACAGAGCTATGGGGAGTACCTACAGGAGAAGAACCGCTACTTGGAGGCTGCCCTCATGTTTGAGATGTGTGACAACCTCCAGAGGGCGCTAGAGATGTACCAGAAATGCAGCAACTGGCGAGAGGTCTTCTCTCTTACAGCTCGTCTCAGCTACAGCACACAGGATGAGATGGCTCTGGCTAGGAGGCTAGGAGGTAACATAGTCAAGAGAGAGGTCTTGCTTTCCCAATGATACACATTTCAGATCATAAAGTCTTGAATGAATATCTGTCATTGTACTTGTTACTTGTCTCTCCTCTTATTTATACTTCACTTGTTTAGTTTGTTATTTAAAGGTAATGCAAAGTTTCTGGAAATTTTGAAAATTAGATTTACAGTTATTCTTTAAAATGTTGATATATTTGGATGCCCCTGTGGATGTATTATAAGCACTAGAAAATAAATTTCAAATATTTCAAATTTTCCAAATGGGAAAAGCAAATCAGTCGATTGCATTAAAAAAACATTGTTTTAGAGCTAAAGTAATATCAGTCTTGAGTAGGCGTTATACAACATGAAGAGTTTATTATTTACAATTTCATAACTTTAGACTCAATTTCAACCGCGACAACGATCATTGAATATTGTAAAATCGCATAGGCTTCTAATATGTTCATTTGAACCAAATTCATGACCCCATACCAAAACTTTGTAATACCTTTATTAAAGACTTTGATATGTTGTACCTCTTGTCTTTTTATGCCTCCACCACCGAAGGTGGTGCCGGAGGCATCATGTTTTCGGGTTGTCCGTCCGTACGTCCGTACGTCCGTCCCGTTTGACCGTTATCACAATATCTCAAGAACCATTTAAGATTTAAACTTAAGACTCGGGAATAGTATTTATCACCATAGGAAGACGATCTGATTAGATTTTGGAGTACGTAGGTCAAAGGTCACAGGTCACAGAGGTCAACTTATGAAATTCCTTGTATTGAGTTTGTTAGCGCGATATCTCAAGAACCATTTGAGATTTAAACTTCAAACTTAAGGATAGTATGTATCACCATAGGAAGACGATCTGATTAGATTTTGGAGCACGTATGTCAAAGGTCAAGGGTCACAGAGGTCAACTTATGAAATTCCATACATTGAGATTGTTATCATGATATCTCAAGAACCACTGGAGATTTAAACTTCAAACTTAGTGATAGTGTGTATCACTATAGGAAAACAATCTGATTACATTTTGGAGCACGTAGGTCAAAGGTCAAGGGTCACAGAGGTCAACTTATGAAATTCCATACATTGAGATTGTTATCATAATATCTCAAGAACCACTGGAGATTTAAACTTCAAACTTAATGATAGTGTGTATCACCATAGGAAGACAATCTGATTAGATTTTGGAGCACGTAGGTCAAAGGTCAAGGGTCACAGAGGTCAACTTATGAAATTCCATACATTGAGATTGTTATCGCGATATCTCAAGAACCACTGGAGAATTTTCACTTCAAACTTAATGATAGTATGTATCACCATATCATAATATCTCAAGAACCACTGGAGATTTAAACTTCAAACTTAATGATAGTGTGTATCACCATAGGAAGACAATCTGATTAGATTTTGGAGCACGTAGGTCAAAGGTCAAGGGTCACAGAGGTCAACTTATGAAATGCCATACATTGAGATTGTTATCATGATATCTCAAGAACCACTGGAGATTTAAACTCCAAACTTGTTTAAATTGCTCTATGGCGGAGGCATCATTTTCGACTGCGCGCAGTCGAAATTCCATCTAGTTTCTTGATGATATTAGCCATATGCTGTAGATTACAGATTTAACGTAAATTGCATATTTTAGGGCTTTACAAAGGAGACATTTGATAACAATGCACATATATTTTCCTTATAGATACTAGTGAGTGCAGCTATTGAAATTTGAAATTGAGGATTCTTTATTTATCTATTAATTGTTACTTGAAGCACTTGATAAAAGTTTTAATTGATATTGTATCAAATGTGGTATTATTAAATTCTTACATCTTTCTTGGTAAACATGCCTGTGCAACAAATTTTCTTCATGCGGAGAAGTACCTTTAATTGACAGTTCTTAAATACTCTCTGTATTTTACACCATATTTTACAGGTCAGCTGTCCAGTAACACAAGGCACTCTGAAGCAGCTATGGTCCTGATGGAATATGCTAATGATTTAGAAGAAGCAATTACAACTCTGGTTGATGGTGCACAGTGGGAAGAGGCTCTTAGATTGGTGAGTACTTTAATTACATCAATCCTCAACCATAATACACATCTCCAAGTACCCACAGGATTGTTATTTTTATGGGGGATTCTAAATGTGTACCTGGGCCCTGTTTAATACAAATTATTGTATCAATATCAAGTACAATATTTCTATAACACTTCACAGCCGATCACATATATCTGTAAAGCGCTTAGGCACATCGTCAGATCGATGTATTGAGCGCTATATAAACACATATTATTACTATTAACCATTTCAGTAGCTCATAACAGTTTCTGTAACTTGTTAGTGATAGCAAGTTTTATGAAACAGTCTTCTAGCCAACTTTGGTGTGTTCAGGAGAACAGTCCTTTGTAGATGTGTGCCATCATTGGTTGTTCATCAACATACTATTGTTTTTAGACAAATCATGAACTTTGTATTTAGATTTAAACCTTGGTGAAGTCATGTTTTGTTTCTAAGAGTATCTCATTGAAATTTCATTTTGCTACTTGTGTTCTGATATTATAAAAGCATGTAACGAGCTTCATTAATTATGGCTAATACAGGAAAAACTCTTCTTATATTATATCTTACAAGAAGGAAATTAATATATTTTGTGTATATACCGTTTTACAGATGTACAAGCACAAGAGGACTGACTTCATTGAAACAGCATTGAAACCTGCCCTTATTGAGAGTAAGCATGACAGTGTCAATCAACTTGAAGGAATCATTTTTGTAGTCAGTTACACAGAAACAATAATATGCAGTTTTTCAGTCACCTATATGATATTAGTGTATAACTCCAGTATGCCAGAGACTCTCTATTGTGTCGAGTCACGAGACTAAAATTTAGAAATCCAAGCCTTTTCACTAGAAGGGTGATATATATCTCCACACCCCCTCCCCTCCCTATTAAGAAATCCGAAGACTTGTAAGCATATTTGAAATTCATGACTAATTTTTAAAAAAGATTGAGCAATTTGCAAAGACCCTCCCCCCCCCCCCCTTCATATTGGTGTAGTAATGCCTTAGATGCCATGACACTCCTGGCATACATTTCAAGTCTGTAATAGATCTCTTTCATTTACAAATATACCCTTTGCCATTATAGATTATGAAAACAAGACTGACAGCTTAGCCAACTTCCGCACCACATTCGAGCGTCACAAATCCCGCCTCTCCGTCGTCAGGGAAACCAAGGCTCGTCAGCTGCAGGAGATAATGGACGGAGAGGGTGACCTCAATGACCTTGACGCTGACCTTTACTCCGATGCCAGTAGTGTGATGGGAAGCGTGACTAGGAGCGAGACAGGAAGTACAGGGAGTTCTGGGAGCACCAGGTCGTCGCTGAGTGCGTATACGGCCTATTCTGAGGGGAAGCCAAGGCAGCAAGGGTGAGGCTTTGCTGCCTACTGAAATGAGAGCGCAAAATAATATCTTGCCTCTGTTATTTCATTCATTTATTTATTTATCTGTTTGATATATGAAGTTCAAACAAGCTCTTTCTTTGTTCAATTACAAAATAAGAGAAACAAGATGCTCACTCATCTCCTCAGATATTTCACAGATAAAACAAAGAAAACCACTAAATACATTGTCTGAAAATTTCACTCTTCTGATATTCAATTCTATCTGATGAGTGATTTTATTTTGCATGCATCAGTACATCAGTTTGTGAAACCTCTGACATGAAATATTTCATTTTCATGTTTTGGATTATTTGATGTAAATAAAGTGAAATATGACAGGTTCATGTACATACTCTGTATCATTCAATCACATCTGGTTCGCAAACTTTACTTTACTTTTCTTTACTTTTAGAATGCCCATTGTTATTTATGTTGAATTTACATTAAATCTAAATCCACTCAACAAATAGACTATGCCTGTAAACATGGAATTTCAGCTAATTTGTTAACTATGATTACCAGAACCAATATAATATGATCAATCAGAAGAGTGGTATTCATTCATATTCTCTTTTCCCTGTGTAGTCGAGCTGGTAAGAACAAGAGAAAGAGCGAGCGAAAGAAGAACAGTCTGAAAGAAGGCAGTCGTAATGAAGACATTGGACTTATGGAGGCTCTGCTCTTAGTCATGAAGAATGTGGATAGTTTGAGAGGTAGGATGATGGGGATCATTTGCACCATCTTATCTAGTGTAATGATATAATAACATACTAATAATAATAATAATTATAATACATTTATAGAGCGCCGAAACTATCCATAGTAATAATATAGATTTTTTATAGCGGCTTTCTGACAAAGTAAGTCACTCAAGGTGTACATGTGATGGATCCAGGCATGATAATTACCCAATTTAAATCGGTTTCCTGATTCAATTTTTTTCCAAATTTTCCCCAAATTTTCTTACTCAAAAGGGAGGGGATTTTTTTAGATGCCATTCCCCTCCCTCCCCAATTTGTTTTTTGTGTGCTTTACTCAGGGGGGAGGGGGGCGGGAACCCTTTTTTGTTTGTTAATTCTCACTATCATCCCTATGGATAAGGGTGGATAGGGGTTCATTATCTGCATTTTAATCAGTTAAATACGATTTGATTTTTGTATAACACATCTTTCCCAGACCCCAGCCAGCGATATCTTTGGCAAAGTATTTAATGGGTATATAATTATGCACTGACCCTTGTTACACATTTAAGGCTCATTCAGATATGATGCAGCAAAACCTCAGTATTTTTTAATGATGTGAAGTGTGATATGCTTCACATTTCTGTATCTTATAACACACAGCTTTAGTAGTAAATACGTGAACAAGACAATTTCATCCTTGTTCCTTTCCCCCTACAGATGAAGTTGGTGTCCTACTGCGAATGCTGATCAAGTTTGACCTCGAGGTCGAGGCAGAAGCTCTACAGAATGACCTGCAGTCACTGCTGAAGCTCCTCCAGACCTCTGTGAATGATATCTGGCCAACTCAGTCCAGTAATGATCAGACAGCCTCACAGGTATGACAGTCTAGACAACACATCATAGCTTCAGCTTTTTAATAATGAATACTTCTTAAAAAGGATTTTTTTTTTTTTTTTTTTTTTTTTTTTTTTTTTTTTTTTTTTTTTTGTGTGTGTGGAAAGATAACCAGATTTACTTTGTCTTTATTTGAAGCCTTATTTCTCATTCATTTAGACATCAATTTGAATAGCTCTCCAGTACAAATCTGAAGTAAATGTACATTTATAATGTTGTCGAATAAGTAAACTGAATAGAAGAAGTTGATCTCCAAATATGATCTATTCAATTCAATAAAATAACGGTAGTTATTAAATAAACAATCATGCGTCTCAACACAATGAAATTAATGCTTGATCATTGCTCCTTCTCCAATTTACAGGTATATGGACCCCAAGCTACAACAAACAGCATTGTTGCCAGTATAACTCAGCTAGGCGGGCCACAGAGGTCATTCAGTAGGGATGAACTAGCTTGTTTAGTACCACCCAAGCTATCAGAAGATCAAAAATGGAAGCTACATCTGCTAGAGTCCAGATGATATACCATTGATCATTAAAGAGACTAGACAGGACCGTGACTCAGCTAGGCGGGCCACAGAGCTCATTCAGTAGGGATGAACTAGCTTGTTTAGTACCACCCAAGCTGTCAGAAGATCAGAAATGGAAGCTACATCTGTTAGAGTCCAGATGATATACCATTGATCATTAAAGAGTCTTAGACAGGACCGTGACTCAGCTAGGCGGGCCACAGAGATCATTCAGTAGGGATGAACTAGCTTGCTTAGTACCACGCAAGCTGTCAGAAGATCAGAAATGGAAGCTACATCTGTTAGAGTCGAGATGATATACCATGGATCATTAAAGAGACTAGACAGAGCTGTGACTAATTGATTAGATAGTGTTATTGAGGGAATTTCTGTTTTTTTGTTTATTTGCCAAACAAAGCTAACCTTTAATTCTATGAAATGTATTCTGATGTAGTAGCAGGGTGTCACTATTGTGTTACTTCAGTATTTTTGCAAGGCTTGGGCATTGTTTGAAGGGTACTGCTAGTCAAAAATGCTTTCTCAAATTAGCCTTGTGGTTTAAAGGTACTATATGTCCCATTTGCAGGCCCAAAAAATTAAAAAATTAAATTCCAACTGCATCTGAAAGATAATACTAATTTAGAACTTTCCTAAAAAAAAGGAGGGGCTTGAAAATGTCTTCAAGTGGGAAAATAACGACTATTAGTTGTCAAATCGACTTTAGGGCTATAGAGCCCAAAAGTAATAGTCTTGATTTTCAGACAATTGTACCTATTGGTCATACGTTTTATGCTGCGCAAAGATTCAATCTTGGCTATCACAAGAAGTGGGTTATTGATGTAGACAAATGCTCATGTACTCTTTACAACTCTTTTCATGTATGTTATTACCAAAGAAGAAAAAAAGCCAGTCAGTCACTCAATAGTGTCCGACAGTGAAGTCTAGCAAGTAAACAGGTTTCCTTGCATAATTTGAATATGAGGACACTGCTAACGTTTAAATTTCACAGATAGGACATACATGACATATTCATAATTCCTGCAAAGTTCTTCAGAATTTGAGGTTGGCTGCAAAAGGGACATAGTACCTTTAACATGCAGTGGAGCTGCTATATGAACCCTGAATACTAGTAGTAGTAGTAGTTATATGTTACTCCACACAAATTTTAATGCCTCCCTGATTATTTGAAAGATTATTTCTATTATGCTTTATGCAATTGATAGAAACCTCCCTGAATGTAAAGGTTGGCATAAATATATATGTAGTAGTAGTAAGAATTAGTGTACTCTTTATCCATTATAATCATGATAACTGATGAAAGATGTAGTAAGATTGCAAAGTCAATAGTATTGTAATGTCTGATCATATACTACTGTGCAATGACTCTGCAAGTATTTCAAGTGCTTTTTCTAAACATGGTATTTTCAATTACTGCAAGTTTTAAGTAAAGTCTTGTCAAAGTGCATTGTATGCATAAAACTTGCAGTTTTTATGAAACTTTTCCAAGTACATTAGTGATGAGAAAAATTATAATAATGTTCATATCAGAAGATACATTAATTTTGTTTTAAAAATGAAAATTTTCACAACTGGTTTCATCAATTTCCTCTACCGTAAAAAAAAAAAAAAAAAAAAAAAAAAATGGTAAAGACTTTAACAGTTTTGCAGTTTGTATTTTACAACAGACTTCCAACATGAATTATGATAATGACAATGTATGAACTAAATCAAATCATGTGCAAGACTTAACATAGTATTGTCAAAAGCTCAAATATATTACTTTACATTTTCAAGATTTGTTTTTCTTGAAATAAAGTATATGAATGCAAGAGAATAATAACTTTGTGATATCTAGTTGTTTTTCAGCATTACCCTAAGGAAACAGAAAACTTAAATGATTTAGCGCATTCATCACATAGTTCCCTTCCCTTTTGAAAATACTAATGTAAAGGACCAACCTTGCAAAGTTTTAATCCAAGATGGTCACTCGGATCAAACTAGCAGAATTTGGGAACTTCAGAATGCTATGCATTTCTGTAATGCTGTAGTGAAATGTTTACTAATCTTTTGCAAGTCATCAAGCTCTACAGTAAGGACAATATATAGGTCCCCATTGGTCTGCCACACCTCAATCTCTAACCTTCACAGGCACATAATTAATGCATGTCATAATTTGAAATTTGAATTTGAATGGAGGTAATATAGAGGATGATTCGCAAAATAGTAACGGTAGTGGTGATGATCAGGATAATGGTAATAATAGTGATGATCACGATAGCAATTACAGTAACGGTGATGATGCTGATGTGACAATGATGATGGTGGTAGTAATGGTGATGGTAGTGATGCTGATGATGAGGGTGTTGATGGTGATTATAATGAAGTTGGTGGTGATAATAAGCTGTTTGAAGGATGAGGGAATTTTTATAGTGATTTTTGGAGAACACTGCAAACATGCTACAAAGTATTTAAAGGTAGAAGTAATTCTGTTTAACACAATGAATACCGGTACATCTAAATTTGGATAAACAAACATGAAGTAAAAAGACTCATGAAGATTATTTTATTCTCATGAACATGAATCAGTTACAACAATGTTATAAAAATCATTCAATTCAATATTCTTTGAGAAGCTGCAAAAAATTTAAAAAATGCATGGTATATGTTTATCACTGAACAGTTATATCACTATAGAAAACTTGATAAAATATTTACAACATGCAATCAAGGTGAAATTCTCATAAAATTGGAACAAATTCCCTCTCTGAACGATCCCAATATGTCAACATGTTATTACAGAACACTTCTTAAAGAAAAAAGAACAATTGTCTACATTCTTAACACATGTACAGTCAGTCACAAGTACCTTTAAACCAAGACTGTTACATAATCTCAGCTGCTATCGACAACATTTCAGTGGAAAAAACAAACCACTGGAACTAACAGAAAGCATGATTTTTGGAAGAAGTAAAATATCAACTCCTTTTTTTTAGTTACAGAAGAATCGGTTACTAGGAACACACAACCATATCAGTAATTAAAACAAGGCACGACTAAATTCAATATTTTGTTTCAGAAGTGGTAATACAAATTTATCTTTATTTATAACAATAACAATATGCCAAATATATACATGTAGATCTATTATCAGTCATTATGGAAGAGGCACATCTAACATGTTTAAAAAAAACTATATACCGGTACATTGAGTAGTGTACTGGGCAATACTGAGGCAAGTAAAACAAGTATAAAGACAAGAGCATGTAAGGCATTTAGTAATAGGGGAGGTTAACTGTCGTCTTTCTTGGAATATAAACTCTGTACAAAGTCAAATGTTTTGGGGGTTTATAGTCTATTTAAATAATCATGTTGAGGAGAACATTCTTTCTTTTTCCCCAGGGAGAAAAAATAAATTGTACCAATCATATAAATACAAAAATCCTGTACAACTAGAATGCATGAAATTAAGCTCAAAAGACTTTATCTGGCATTCTATGGGTTAACATGTAAAGAGTATGGAGATAGTAAAGAATACTACAAACCCTGTGCATTGATCCCAAGTCGGACATTCTTCTCTGGAGTTGTGTTTATGTATTATGAGAGTATATGTCAATAATATCTCTTTATAGAAACAGTCAAACCTGCTTTAACGACCACCTGTATAGAAAGACCACCTGTCTACAAAGACCACATTTTTTGTTTCCCTTGAAAATGGTTTCTCATCGAAACATATACATAAAGACCACCTGCTAATAAAAAAAGCTTTTCTTGTCTCCCTTGGGTGGTCTTTGTAGAAGGGTTTTACTATATAATATTTTAAGCTAAAATGTTTGATATGGGATAGCACAGGCAAAATATTTTCTGGTTAACGGTACCGGTATACTTTTTAAGTCCTCAAATTAGAATAAGACTGCTCTGAATCTGTTTCATTTGGTCATATCACGATGATTTTAGAGACAATGAACAACCATTGACTCCAGGGATGAAGTCTGTGACGATACCTTCAAACCTTGGCAAGGACTTGGCGTACGGGATGCTTGCAAGATCATCGATTCTGAAGGCAATATCTGTAGGATTAAAATCAAACATCCACTTTCAATGTTGAGAGCATATCTAAGTTCACTAACAAACAAGTAAAATAAATATTATTTGGACCAGTGAACCTGTGTGTTTACAATATCTGTAAGATGAGAATTAAATAGACGCTCAATAGTGCATACCTGTTTTTAAATAATTTCAAGTAAATGAAATATCATTTGGACCAGTGACAATTTGGGTGATAAAAACATAGTTTAGAGCATATCTAAGTTCACTAACAACCTATTAAAAAAAAATCTATTTGGATCAGTGGCACTTTGTGTTTACAATATCTTTAAAGATAAAAAATTAAACATTCACATTCAAAAGTGCATACTTATACTGGTACCTGTGTTTTAAAAGAAAGTCAAGTAAATGAAATATTATTTGGACCAGTGACAATTTGGGTGATAAAAACATAGTTTAGAGCATACCTAAGTTCACTAACAACCAAGTAAATCAATATTATTTGGACCAGTGACCCTGTGTCTTTACAATATCTGTAAGATGAAAATTAAATTCACATTCAATAGTACACAACTGTGTTTTCAAAAATGTCAAGTGAATAAAATATTATTTTGACCAGTGACAATGTGTATAAGGAAAACATATATTTTGGGGAAGCGGAAACTGCTTTTAAACTCCAAATTCAATCACTGTGAGTTTGATTCTATTCACCATAAATACAGGAGAAACGGTCCATCTTTAGTTGCACCTGTCCCAACTCTACATTTTCATCTGTTTGGAGCCAGAAGAGCATTAACATTTTTAAAGTATGACTTTCCCACTAACCTGCAGCATGAGCGAAGCTTGGTGGTTCTCTGCTTTGATTAGAATGACAAGGCTCAGATGATAACCTGAATAAAAGAGATTTAAGAAAGAGAGAACTGAATACTTCACCGTGACATTGCTGAAGATAAGAATTCATTGCGGAAATCAACCTTGATTAATTTTGGGTTACTGGAAGCAGAAAATGTCAACAGAAACAAAGAAAACTTGCTGATTTAGTGATAATCATTGCAAAGTGCATACATGGTTGATATAAAAACAAATCAGGTTGCGATAGAAACTTTCATGTGGAAGTAATATATACAAGAAAATGCAGAAGAAAATAAATGTAAATTTATCTCAAAATGCAGAAAAATAACTCTGTTCAATGACAAATTTCAAGCAAATCAATTAGTATGGTGAAATAAAAAGAAATTCATCAATTTGTCCTCTATGAACATACTGTGTAGTCAAAACAAAATAACACATAATAATCTACAAATATGTGACAAATATTTTAATTCTGTGTTTGTTTCTTTGTAATACTGGTGCTGCTGTCCACAATACTTCTCACTGAATAGTCTGTGGATTCAAAGGAAACTTACTTCAAGTTACAAATTCAAATAAAAATTACAATTACAAACCTCTCTTGATGGTGGTTTGTGTTGGTGTTTTCATTTGTTGTAGTTGATTTATTGGTTCTACTCTGATCTTGTTTCTTGGTAGGGATAGTCTCTGCCTTCTCGGGATTCGAAGTTCTACGAACATAAGCCAGTTTTTGGATATCTGCAGAACACATTAGCAAAACAGATTAGCAAAACAATGACACACATCTATTCACAAAGTGATTTATTATCACTATAGGCATTTAAAGTAACAAGAATGCTTCTACAAACAACATTTCACAAAAAGAAACCCTTCCCCTGATGTTGATTTGTGCATTATGTCCATTTTCACATCTTCAAAATTGTTTTTTAAAGATACATGCATCTTTAAGGTGCTGGAGAAAAAAAGGGGGATTTTTTTTTTCATCATTGTCTGACTAGTACCTGTGCTTTCCATATGAAACATGCGTTTTATTACATCTTGGACTTGTCTCTACATGGGCGCTTTGTTGATATTAAACTCATATTCAACTTGCACATCATTCAACACTTCGTGTGCACATATGTGCAAGTTTGTGAGGATCAAAATTTGCTGATAGCAAGAATTTTAATTTCACTGTGATTATACAAACACTTTTTCTCTACAAATGAGGCATAAATTGAATTAAATCTTCTAAACTGAAGGAGTTGAATCTTGGTGGTATTTTGTGCAGGACCTTGCAATCATGAATGTTACACTTGCGATATGTTCTGAGTGCACAAAAATCAATGTTATCAAGGGATGTTAAAGGTAATTCCGGTAGTGGTAAAATTGCGATTCAAGGGTTTTGGGTGCAAAATATCCATTAAATATTGCCTTCAGAGGTTTAGATGGCAATACAATTTGCAATTGAAGCAGAAATATATGGCCAAATGTTCAATGTTGATGTGCATTCGCGATATTATCCAGGCCGGATCGATATGATAATCTACCAAATATATCAATTAGTAGGCGGTTTCCCGGCAAAATTTGTATCACCACGTATTAGTCAAAACATATTCTTTCACATGATTGATAATAAGAGCGTCTATTTCATCTATTGAGAGGGGGGGCGTTTCCAAAACTGGTCTATACCTTTAAGTTTAAAACAGAATATGAAATTGCTACTCGCCATCTGCCATGTCTGGAGGGAGTAGAATATATTGTGCTGCTGCTACTTCATGAGCAGTCTTCTCCTTCATACAAGCATCAATGTAGCTTGAATGGAAGACCGTTAGGAAGCCTCGCAGGAACTCATCACTCTCATAGATCCTATGCATAAAGATTCAAGAATGTTCATTACTCATAATGTCAGCAAATAGAGTGCCGGTACAAAACTCGTAGCAATAGAAACGTCTTTATCCGGACTCCACTTTTTTTTTAGGGGTACAGATTTTAGGGTTGTTTACACTAGCCCCTGTTGAATTTAGAAGTTGAAATAAATGTCAATCAAAACAACATTTTCGTTATTGATTTCAAAGACTAGATATATAATTGATAATAAATGTAGGAATTTTTTTGAGTAGTTCGCTAGCAATTATTTTGTTTCTTCTCCAGATTTTCCATTTTCTATTTATAACATAAACTATTTTTTTTTTTTTTACATAATAACAAAAAAACACTTCCCGGAGAAGATAGTGGGGTGGGAAACTTGGGATACTTTAATATCATGTAACTTTGGATTGAGGTTAGTTGAGGTTAATAAATCAACTAAAAGATCTAAATAGTTTTTATTTGTGTCCTTACTCGACAGTATCGGGACAAGCAGCATCGTTTGAGAAGATGAAATTGGCATCCTTCATACACGAAACATCCTCCCCTCCTTGTTTCTCTGGGGGTGGAAACAAAAATTAAAATACTGGTAATATACTGCCAAAGAAGGTTTATAATGAAACATACTAATTAATTGACAATCATACCAAAATTATATTAAGTTTTTAAAAAGATCAATTTGATGTCATGAAGTGGGTCTATTGTTTTTGTTAATCTATACCATAACTGTCACCTACAGATTCATTTCTTGCTCACTATAATGTTCATTTAAATGATTATTACCTATGAATAACCAACAAAGTGAAATGAAATGGCAAATGAACTTATCTTTGTAAATGTTTAATTGAACCCACTTTGTTTCATTCATATTTCATCTACTGTACTGAGAACCAGAAGGGAGTAGCCTCAAGCACTTTTGCATCAAGAGTATTAAACTGTACTTCGTGTATTGAAACCCTTCCCGCTCTCAGCAGACAATTTTTTTGTAGCTCATGTTTATAACTTCATTACTCACTCCACAAATCTTTCAACGTGCGAGGAACACTGGAGGAAAACCATGCCTTCAAATTGTTGAATATTGGTAACTTTCTAGATGACATTTTGTGTTTGAGATCCTTGAAGCTGTTGAAGAGAAATTAAGTAAGATTAAAAAGACGGTTCTAAATGTTTCAATTAGGCAATAAAATCAATGCACATTATTAAGTCTCCCTGAGAGGAACAGCTATTTGGTGAAAGTTTGAGCAAATTCAGATTAAAAATATAAGAAAGTTATGAATTTTTGAAGTTGTGATCAGTCAAATACAAATTTGCAACTCTGTGACAAATCTTTCGAGCTCCCTTCCCATTTGCTCTGTACTAAACAAAAATCATAAATTTCTATTTCACATCAATAAATTTTTTCAATCATACATCAACCCTAAATAAAATTATGGCAAACTACGTTTCTATACAATACCTGTATGGAAAAAAATCAATTCCACCATCAATAACACAGAAAATGGAAATTTTATGAAATCATATGTACATGAAAAAAATAGGAGAGGAGCTTGCAAGATATGTCAGGGTTATCAATTTGTGTTTGGTTGATTGCAACTTCAGAAATTAATAAGTTACTTTTTTTTATCAGAATTTGCTCAAACTTTCACTAACCTCAAAGTCCTCGTTTTTCTGCTCCTATTTAAACCAACTTTGTATCAGGGTGGACTTCCCCATTATATCCAAGTCAATTTTAAAGAAGTTTAGCATTGACCCATAATGAGAACTCTGATAAGATTTAATATGGTATTGTTGGAGGCTTTTGATAGGAAATGTGGTAATTATAAGCCTGAAAGAATCAAGGAAACCTCAACAACAAAAATAGAACTGAAATATTTTGTTACAAAGACACAGAAAAGCATGAGTATATAAGCTTACTTAGACAGAAATAACCGTCTGGTAAACTAAAAGAAGGTATGGGTCATTCTTTAATAAAACTGACATTTGTCAACATTTCCATAGGAGCGGTCAGAGGAGCCAGATGTAATAATACTAGCTCAGCGGAACTGTCAAAAACAGAGACTCAAGCTCTCGGTCAAAAGCTTACTTACAGTATGTTAATATCAAGATAAAGTTAATGCCAACCAGCATTTGTTTATCACAAAGTGAAACTGCTTTGAGCCTCGAGTACGTATGTTTGAGACTGCATGAGCCCGAGTATATTTGTCTAATGAAAAAAATTACAATGATTTAATTATATAGTCTAGATCTAGGCCTAGAATCTAATTCTTAGTTGGATTAATGAGGGTTTATAATCAGAGTTATTTATAAAACAAAATGAAGAAATTAATACAATTTCACAATCAATACAATTCTGAAAGTTAGAAAGTTTACCAGATCTTAAGAAGTTCAGAACCTGACTGAAGTTATCTTTGGACTTTTAGTAATATGGTAGCCCGGCCGTACGCGTACCAACCAGTGTGTCGATCGTTGATGTCAAAAGCCCCGCGCTCACGGGGGACGGATAAGGAGAAGGACCGTTGAAACTAGACAAAAGTTGAATCCAAACAATGGTAATGTTAATTATAGGTGCTGGTAAATATTTCCGTTTATCATCAATCACTGCCCTAGATGCCAGACGTAAAGCTGAAAAAGTTCAGCTAGGTTATCCTAGCCTACAAATGTCTATTTACCCCCTTTCAGCAACAAGCAGCCGACAGATGGAGAGAGATGACCGCGAGCTGCGTTGTTGTCGTTGTTGGCGTTTAGTGGGGTATGGCGCTCTTCAATTTTGACAGATTATCTGCGCCACGGCGTTCCTTCTGATCATTGGTGCATGTTCATCTTTTCGAACTTGATCTCATGGCACACTTTTAGTTTTACTCAGTGGCGGATCCAGGGGAGGGGGGGGGGGGGCACAGGGGGCACGTGCCCCCCGGCCCCCAAAAAATATGTTAAAATCAACCCTAAATTCGCCAAAAATATACTGAAAAACAGGCGCGTCCCCCCCCCCCCCCCGGCCAAAAAAAAAAATTATAATTGTTTTTATTTTATTTAAACAAAATAATAAATAAAACTAGATGGAATTTTGACTGCGCGCAGTCAAAAATGATGCCTCCGCCATAGAGCAACTTTACAAACCAAAACGGAAGCAATTTTTAAAATTCAAGTTTGATTGTAATCCATCTGTCGGTTTTAATAATAATGCATTCACAAGCTATTTATAGTCATACATAATGAGCCCCATGACCTTTGACCTGATGACCCTAAAATCTAATCAGTTAATTGGCTCTGCAAGATACATATATACATGTCTTGAGTTTGATAGTAATCTGTCTATTGGTTCTCATTATAATGCGATCACAAGCTATTTGTGCATACATAATGAGCCCTGTGACCTTTGACCTCATGACCCCAAAATATAATCAGTTCATTGGCTCTGTTAGATACATACATGACCCAAGTTTGGCAGGAATCCATTGACCGGTTCTTGAGATAACGCGATCACGAGCTATTTTTGTAGACATAATGAGCCCTGTGACCTTCGACCTCGTGACCCCAAAATCTAATCAGTCCATTGGCTCTGTTAGATACATACATGACCCAAGTTTGGCACGAATCCATCGATCGGTTCTTGAGATAACGCGATCACAAGCTATTTTTGTATACATAATGAGCCCTGTGACCTTTGACCTCCGACCTCGTGACCCCAAAATCTAATCAGTTCATTGGCTCTGTTAGATACATATATGACCCAAGTTTGGCAGGAATCCATTGATCGGTTCTTGAGATATTGCGATCACAAGCTATTTTTGAATACATAATGAGCCCTGTGACCTTTGACCTTCGACCTCGTGACCCCAAAATCTAATCAGTTCATTGGCTCTGCAAGATACATACATGATCCAAGTTTAGAGAGAATCCATCAATTGGTTCTTGAGATAACGCGATCACGAGAACGGGACGTACGGACGTACGTACGGACGGACGGACAACCAGAAAACATAATGCCTCCGGCTACTTTGTAGCGGAGGCATAAAAATATGCCAATGGCTGACCTAAAAAGATGACCTTACCCCCTCCCCCCCCCCCCCCCAACGGAGCAAAAATTGTTCTCTTTTCTCATCCCCCCCCCCCCCCCCCCCCCCCCCCCCCCCCCCCCCCCCCCCCGCTTATTCAGCGGCTGGCTGAGTCGTTGCGATTTTTGGGGACTATAAAAAAAAAAAGTGACCTCTTACTTTTGGGCTGCTTTCTAGAGCCTGAATTGCTGACAATGAATCTGTCAGGAAAACTACAATCTTCAAGCCACTCCAAGGCCATTAATATCGCTACTAATTCTGTCCTCATTAAGCTTATTGATGATAATTCTTCTTGTTCATATGCCCAATTCTGGTATATAAAAACCAGATCCAGTGCTTTTTTCCTCTAGTTTAGATCCATCAGTGTATATTTTTAAATAACCTTTCCATCTTGTATGTATTCTATCTAATACACAGTTCTTCATTTCCGCAATAGAATTTTGTTTGTTATTAATAATTGTTTGAATATAATAGGAAATATTGGGCGTTGAATAACACCAGAAAGGTTCGATTAACACTCGATCTTTTACTCAGTTGCTCAACTTTAAAATCAGTATTGCATGCTCTTTTGATAAAAGGACCTTGACCTGGTTTCAAGTCAAATATTATTGCTCAAAATACCAGCATGGTTCAATAATTTGTAAAGTTGGATGGTATAGCTGTCTTTATTTGACAATAAGTAAAACAAATAATTGTCAACAAAAAGCACCTGATTTCAATCTATGAGGATTTTTAACGGATAATCAGCTGCCTGCTAAAATTCTTGGACGCTAATCTTTTTTCATTTCATGCACATTATTTTTTTATGTGCCCTGCATGAATGCCCCGCCCGCCCCACCGGACCTTAGCAGTATTCACATCTTTGATTTGAAGTCATGTTAGGCCTATATAGTTAAAAATTGTATAATAGTGTGAATACAACCTCCGCCCCACCCCCCTCCCACCCCAGCTAGATTTGCAGATAAAGGAAAGATAATAAATGTGATAATTATGGTCACCAGGTAGCCTGCTAACTTATAAGTTATCAAAAAGTTGTCAAAACCTTATGTGAAATATGTCAAAGGAAAAAGAGAGAGAATCGGATCGGAGAGATGGGGGGGGGGCGGGCATTGACTCGAGTCAGAGAGAGAGAGAGACACACACACACACAGAAAGAGAGAGAGCGAGAGAGAGAGAGAGAGAGAGAGAGAGAGAGAAGCGAAGAGGATTCATGATACACCCCACAAATCAAATAAAGTAAGATGATGAGAAACTCGAGCCACATAGTACAAAGTTATATGTCAAATAATTTGGCAGGAAAGTCCGATATTAGTTTTGTTGCTGTTAATGTAAGGGAAAGGGGTATAAAGCATAACATGTCACTGGGTTTCTCAAAAAAAGGTAAATAAGGGCCTATACGGCGGCCAGGGGGGGGGGGGTAATGTTGTTTTAAAAAAACTATCGGGACTCTTGGGAGAGGACTGTACTTCATCCCTATAAAGGGTCTATATTTGTTAGAGTATATAAGCTGGAGTTGGCCCCGACAGCGTATATTGAGTGGTATACCCGACAGTGAATTCAGGGGATACAGGGGGCACGTGCCCCCCCCCCCCCCCGTAAAAAAGGGGGGGAAGGGGGAAAAGAAAAAGGGAGAAAAGAAGAAAAATGAGGGGGAAGGAAACTAGGGAAGAGAGGAAGAAGAAGAAAAGAGGGAGGAGAGAAATGGGGGGGGGGAGAAAAAGAGGGGGAAAGGAAGAAAAGGGAAGAGAGAGGAGAGAAAACTGGCGAAAAAGGAGAATAATGAGAAGGGAAAAGAAAGAAAGGGATGATATTATAAGAAGGTGTTTTTTTATCGGGAAAGGGGCGGGGAGACACGCAATTTTGCAGTGTGCATAATATGGGGTCCCTCTTGCCAGGCGTGTAGCGCCCCCCCCCCCCCCCCCAAAAAAAAAAAAAAATTGCACAAGAAGAACCACACAAAAAAGATGGACAAAGAGAAGGGGGAAAGAGAGAATTTAAATGAAAGAGAACTAAACAACGACAGAAGAGAGAATGATGTAAATTAAGCTCAGATTTGGTTTGGACGGGTGTGCCGCTGAAGCATTGAAACCCCTTTTTAAAAGGTCATTAATAACGGAACCCTATGGTTTAGGGATTTTTGTGTAAAAAAAGTGACCCATTAGAGCGGCACACCCCCGTAATGTCTTAATATGTGAGTACTCCCCCCCCCCCCCCCCCCCGGAACTGATGATACTTGACAATCTTCAATAATTCTCAACATATTATTATACAGGATTGAAGCTAAGAGTTTTTCCTTCATTAAAACACCCATTGTTATTGTTTTAAGAGGGGTTTTTTTAGTGATTTTCCAACAAAATAATCATACCCAATGTTTCAGGGATTTTTTTTGCCAAAAAACGAACTACCCGCGTACCTGGGAACACGTGCTTTACGTATATACAGCTAGCAGCGCGCGGTAGCAGGCCAGATCGAGAGCGCTTTATGACCCATCACTGACCCTAAAAAAAACATGGCGACTTACTGGTACCCAACCGTTTACGTGTTTTGGTATGTTTTTAACATTGATTACTTTTACTGTTATGTGGTTTGCTGCTAAATTTAGGGAGAATTTTGTTATCTTGCCCTATGAATTTACTTTCTTACGATGCTATCTAAATATCGGTACTGCTGATGTGTCGTAATTTGACTGTGTAATTTGTTGAGATGTGATTTGTTTTTCCTTGCGATTTTCAACTGTGCTAAGCGCTAAGTTCGAGTCCAACTGTCTGACTGTCTGTCCTCACCGACCCGACGCGACGGAGAAGCCAGGGGAGGCAGAGAGTCCGAGAGACGCGTTATTTCTCCTCGGAAGTTAACTTCGTGTAACTTACCCTTAGCTTTTGGCAAGAACCAAATTAGGGGTGGATGATTATAAGTCAACATTCAATATCCCAATGTAATTCCTCCCTTTTTTACCGTAATTCATGAGAGACCAGAGTGAGAGCCATGTCAGTAAGACTAGAGAGGTCTACTGTAGTCTAGACTGTAGAGTAGATCTAGACCCAGTACAAAAGTAACAAGCGAAAATAGTGGAAACAAAATATAGAAAATCAGTACTAGTCTAGGTCTAGATGTCTACTAATAATAGGGTGCTGGTCCGAAAATGAGGATCGTCTTGTAAATGGCGTGTCCCTAAAAATAAGGATAAAAAAAAAATGTTGGCGCGCTCTGCGGCATGCGGGTGTATGAAGGGGTGACCAAAGTTCGCGGACATTTTAGAACATATTACAAAATGTGATATTCAATCTATGATTTCTCACATTCTACACAACTTTATTTATTTCAATTATTACCAAATGGACAGCAAAGTTTTTTACTACAGATTGGTTCAACTAGAAAAATTTACCGTCGAAGGATTTCGGAGATATCGCGATCTAAAAATTCGATGTCCGATCGTGCGTGCACGCTGCATCTAAAAAAGTCATAAAAAAAATGAGACCTAACTTCACGCACGGTGGTTTACAGTTGATTTATCAAAAAATGTGATTCATCAAAAATAAGGTATCTAATATCATAATTTGCAAGGCAAGATATCGTACAATCAGTTAGTACCACTCTTTACTTACAATTTTGAGGATTTCTGATCTCAAAATGAAGATTTCCAGACCCTTATCGGTAAGTTGATAATTTTTCGGAACGGACGCAAATAACTGCAAAATTTGCCGATCTTTTGTCAATATTTTCACAATTTCGCACCCAATTCTAAAGAAAATTTCGTTTCTGGGTAATTTTATGACCTTTTCATTGGTGATATCAGATTTTCGAAATCTTACAGATTTTTTGAGAAAGCGAACTTTGGTCACGCGCGAACTTTGGTCACACCGCCATACATGTAGGGTTCCCAATCTGTGCGCTGGGCAATGGGGAAAAGGGATTCCGCATTATGAACGATAAATCCTTGGGAAGACAGACAACCTATGAAAGTATAGATGGTAAACTGGTGGTATTTTATTACGCTTAATTCGTTTTTCGCATTGCCAGCACGCAGATCGGGAACCCTACTGCAACCGAAAAGCGCTGAAGAAAAAGAAACGTCCGCAAAAATGCAGACAATCCTTATGTAGTTTAGGGTAACGAACAGCAGTTAATGCTCTCAAATTCAAAGTCTGCGTTGCATAGCGCAGACATAATCCCCTTCGGTCACTTGGCTGAGTGACCTCCCGTTTCACTTGCTTTTGAGCAGAAATGTTAACTGCTGTTAGTTCTCGAGCATGCACTACTTAAAGGCATCGTTTAACATCGATTGTGGTGTGCAATACTGCAATTTCTTATATATTTCATTATTTTTATCGGAGCATCGGTTTCCAAAAATGCGAAACCGGGACGTAATGGCGACAGTCGGGACTCAGTCTCGGTGTGACTGACCGTACCAACTCAGGCTTAATTAATTTGCCAATAAACTTTAACCGAACACTAACAACAAAAAAATCAATTACAATATCAATTGATAGACCAATTACCAAAAAATTGTCTAGCTAGGGAAGAGTAACAGCTTTGAAAATGACGTATATCTCCTCAACACACATTTTTTTTAGAGCTACTGTAATTATCTTTAAACACTGCACAATGTGTTAACTCACCTACTTACTTTATATGGTTAAGACACAATATAGATCCTTAAGTTGTCCAAAATATGTTGTTTACACGAGTGAACAAAATCCACATTTTTGTCATACTTAAAAAGTTTCAGGACACCATATTTAGAATGTGTTGACCTTTCCAAGCATATCCTCTTATTTATGATGATATACAGCCTCTTACAGAGTGTCCAGTAAAAGGAGTCTGGTAATGCATTGAATGATCTATATTTTGTCTTTCACCTTTACAGATTCAGCAGGAGACCAGCATCATGACCAGTGCTTCTTCTGTTACGCCCGAGAGCTTGCGCAAGAAGTTGGGTCAACTGTCAGGTGCGCAAGACAGTATACAGGCCCTGTCCCATTGGATCGTTCACCACAAGAATCACTATCGTCAGATCTTGGATTGTTGGTTTGATATCTTCAAGGAAGGTAAGAGTTCTGAGATTCTGAAGAGTGTTGGAACAAACTGCCACAATTAATTTGTGATTTGTCATCTGGCAATGAATTTAAAACTGCACTCAAGACATACTTGTTCAACAGTGAAAAAAATACACAGGGGCTTGGGGCGAATTAGCCCCCGAAATGCCAAAAAGAGCCCCCAAAAATTTGCATAGAGTTCAATGCAAAACAAAATAAAGAGTGTTATTTTCATGCAAGCAAGCTTGAAAAGTAGCCCCCGAAATTGTTTAAGTATTTGTTTTCCTGTTGTTCAATGTTGTATAAGTACTGTTAAGCTGTAACATATTGCTAAGTATTAAGTGTAGTGTATCACATGATTTCATGTTTGTTCTCATGTTCATGTTTATGTGACTATTTTCTACTGCCCCATGAGCATCACAATATTGTGATGAATACCACCGCATTATAAGTGTTCATATTGTTATTATTATAATAATTCAAAGACAATGGAATGTTCAGGCAAGGGCTGTCGATGTGAACGAAATTTCAGACAACGTTTATTTATTTGACCAACATTTTTTTTCACTGTGGTAGCTGGCATCCTTGCTAATTTGAAACTGAAGTTTTTAGCAAATACTGATTTATTGTGGGAGTTACCTCAGTGTATTTATAATCTGGCCTATGAGGTTCAACTTGTCATATACATGAGTGGAACAATCTTTAAATACTATGGTAACATACAAAATGTATTGTGCAAAACTTATTATTGGCAGAAGGAATATTGAAAAAGTATTGGAAAAATTGTGTTTTTGTTCAATATAGTAAAGATTTCTAAATTGTTCTAATAATTTGTATCCCACCTCTTGCAGTGAAATCAGCTCGCGTGAAGCTGACCTATATGTACTTGGCGAATGATGTGATTCAGAACAGTAAGCGCAAAGGGACGACAGTCTTTGTGGATGCCTTCAAGAATGTCTTAGAGGATGCAGCTGCTCTGTGCCAGTGAGTACGAATCCAGGGATATATTTATGGGTTAAAAAAAAGTGATTTAAGAAGAATAGTAGGTCCAAAATAACTATCTATAATAGTAATACGCTAAGGCTCCGCGGGGGGGGGGGGGGGGGGGGGGGGGGGGGGGGGGCATGACGTCTCCGCCGGCCTTTGTATTCTATTGTTTTTTAATGAGATCGCCGACCGAAGTTGGTGCAGCTATCTCCTCCTGAACCCTCCCCTCGGGGTACCGGTGACCGGTGCCGTCGTCCGCGGGAGAGTCTACTCTGTCGAATTGGCTATACTCCGCCCGAGGTCCTCCTCCGTGTCGACGTCCAGGGCGAAAACAGACGCGATATGCATAATGCAGGATATGCGTGACGACAGAGATACCTCATGGATATTCAACATAACATCCGTAGACACACGACCGATGACTATCCACCCACATTAAGTTGCGTATTAAATGCACTATGCACAGGGTCGGGATTACCCGAGTAAAGCATCTTTCTATAGGATATCCTTTGTAGTAGCTGCACAAGCCACAGAGATACACACGAAGCTTCCTGTCCACGTCCAAACTTAATAGGAACCTATTTCCATCATTATTGCCGCGATTTTTATATAGTTTTCGTGAATGGAGGTATGAAATCAAAGCTTATTTTGTGATTACTACGGCCATATATACTAAATTTTGATTATCATTTTCTAAAGGAAAGTTTTCACAAGAAAACCATTGGACTGACAGTTCAGTCGCAAGCTGCCTTCAGTCAACACACAGTGCATTGCTGCTGTGCAGTGTGTGTGAGCTGCTGTTAACTCCAGGAAGCTCCAACACCGGCTCCGCGCACCGCAGGCGTCCGACGCCTGCGGCGCCGGTGTTCGAGCTTCCTGGAGTTACGCTGTGTGTGTGTGTGAGTTCAGCTGAGCTGAGCTCGAGTCGAAGAGATTTTGACACTTTGAAATTGTTATCTGTTGGTTTGCATCATTATTGCCGCGATTTCAATATAGTTTCGTGAATAGATTTACGAAACCTGAGCTTAGAATTAGTAAAAGTATTACTAATGTCTACGTTTTTAAACGACTGTCTGATTTTCTTGTGAAAATTTTACTTTGAAAAATGATTATCGAAATTCATGGTCAGAAATAATCACGATCTAGGGTCTATTATGTTACAGTTCTTGCATCAAATCAATGCATGAAAACTTAGTTATTGAACTAGAAAAATGTTTTTTTTTAAATAGGCAATTATGAAGTAGGAAACCTGAAACCTGTCCTTAGCCTACTAAACAAATCTCAACAAAGTGTAGGCCTATCCTTTTATGAATTAATGAAAAAGTAGCCCCAGAAAAAGAGCCCCCGAAAGTTGAAAAAGTAGCCCCCGAAAATCTCCCCAAAATTTGAAATGGAGCCCCCGAAATGAAAAACTTAATTTTTTGCCTGCGCCCCCCTCTAGAATCCCTTGGATTTCCACGGTTCCTGAGTTGAGTGTATATATAATATAGGCGTGGGGTCCACGGGTTTCAAGGGGCAATAAACCCCCAAAAGCTTGGGGGTTACGTTCTTCAAAGTTGGGGGGGGGGGGGGAGAGATCAGATCGCAGCGAGTTGAGTGTATATATATAATATAGGCGTGGGGTCCACAGGTTTCAAGGGGCCAAAAAACCCCGAAAGCTCGGGGGGTTTAGGCGTTTAATTAGGGTCAGATGAGCATATTTTTAATACTTTATTTGTGACACTTGCGGGTCACTAATTGGCGTGGGGTCAATACGTAGTGTTGCGTACCAACTACGCTGGCCTACGTTACTATATGCTGAGGGACGGAAAGGGGTACGCAAGATGAACGAAAACGATTCAACATGTTTAATTTTTTTCGCATACTTTCGGCGTAGAAACTTGACGCAGAAAGTACGCCTTTTTACGCAACACTACGCTACATGCCTACGCAACAGTACGCTACCCTACGCCAGATCGACAAAGCAGTAAAAGCTTTCCACACAGTAAGCAACCATAAGCAAACCTGTACGCCAGCCTACGCATAACCTACGCAGGGACTATTTTCCCATTAATACGCAGCCTAATTTTTGCGTAGTCGGTACGCCACACTACGGAACTCTACGCAGTTCCAGTGGCTTAAAGAATAACTACTGGTACAGTTGGATAGTTTTTTTAATTTTTATATAAGGCCAAATTTTTAAAAAAACATGTTTAGCGTCCTGTTTTTTCGAAAAATGGGAAGGAGGAGGCCCTTTTTTTTTTTTCTTCTTTCAAAATGGCCGCTCCGTACATTTTCCCTGACATTCGGGCTATTTTTCAAGATGGCGTCAGACAATTTTTTTTTTTTTTTTTTTTAAATCAGAAATACATTTTAGCTGTACTTTTCATGTTTTTTTTCTTTCAAAAAAAAAATAATAAAAATTAAAAAAAATTAAAAAAAATAAAAATAGGAGGCGGCCCCCAAAAAGGCAGCGGGCGGGGACGCTAAACATGTATATTTTCTTAATGGCCTGAATGGCAAATAAAGTTCTTGGCGGTTTTAATTTAGACAGTCTCTATATATCTATTTACACCCCCGCCCCCCTCTAGAATCCCGCGGATTTCCGCGGGTCCTGCTAGTAATCTACAATGTAATACTTAAACTGTTATTCTATAGGTAAGTATGAAGAAAATATGGGATAACATAAAACCCTGTCTAGATATGCCCTACTCTAATTAAGTGCATACGTGTGTGTTAACTAGTCGACTCAACACAAGAGGTTTTACTGTTCAATGATAATGTAATCAAATTGCAAAAAAATCTCATTAGAGAAGTAACATTTGAAGCTCATATTTTTAACACAGTATAGCTACATGGAACCCCTTTCATTTGGTATTTATGCCAACCCTGGACCAAAAATTATACCTAACTCTAAACGTAAACCCCAATCTAAAACTCGGTTTACTACCTTTACCATAACCCTTTGTCTACAAAATCAAGCCTGGCGTAGTTGTTGCTGAAGCAAATGACTGATCATCTTTCATTGGGAATATTATTGTAATCTCTGAAATTGAGTCAAACCAATCTGTTTGAACTGACATGGCAAAGGACAAAAAAAGGACATAAAACAATCAACAACAAAGAAGTTTTGAATACAACATGTCAGCAATCAAAATATGAATCCTTTTGATCTGATTGGGATGGTTATGGAACAAAGGCAAGATGAAACTCCCATCTCTTTGATCAGATTGTAATCCATTCTTTACCAGTATTAAAGGCCTCGAGTTGATGTGAGTGTTTTGATCTAGTTATATAATTTGACTCCGGTTCAGTCAAATGTGCAGATTTCTCCCAACATAAATAGTACCATTAGAAGAAAGAAGAGTGACCCTGCTAGTAGATGTCAATTCAATCTTGAAACTAAGGAGAACTTTAAGAATTTAGAATTGTACTGTATGATATCCAAGGTTTCCTCTTTGATATTTGAATGAATGGAAAAGATGATGCAACAGGTACAAGATAAGAAGAGTTGTAATCTTCAGCTGAGTTGAATAGATTTCTGGCACATTTTCATAAGTTTTCTGGTTGAAAAAAATCATCATGATAAGATTGCAGTTTCTCTTCATATGTAATTCTATTACCAGAAATCGAGATATTGCCTAAGTGAAGTGTGCAGTGTGAAAGAAATTGTTTTTCTCAAGAATTCTTTTGATTTTGTTTACTTTCTTATAAATGCAGGGATGACTCCATCAAAAAGAATGTCTTACGACTTTTCAAGATTTGGGGAGAGAGGAGTATTTATGAGAAAGACTTCTGTGATAAACTCATTGCGGCTACAGGAAAACAACAACGTAAGTTTGTCAAGTCTTTTTATATTTGTGTGGATGTGTGGTCCAGTTTGTGCTGTAAAATAAAGGAAATACAAAACACAAAATTTGTTCAAATCCCAATGTTTTTCCCATGAAGACATCTAATAGATACAATTGGCAAGTTTCATGATACAAAGGTTTGCAGTCTTAAGGGGCTTTCACACCGGGCTTTGCGTAGTGTTGCGTACCGACTACGCCGAGCGTACGCAACCCTACGTATCTGTTCGCTGAGGGACACAAATGGGTACGCGACATGGACTTTCGGCGTAGACACTATATGCAGAAAGTACGCATTTTTACGCAAGTCTATGCAACACTACGCTACTGTACGCCATGCCTACGCAATAGTACGCTACCCTACAGCAGTCTGACGAAGTATTACAAACATATAAAGGCGTCCTAGATCCTAGTCCTAGTTCTAAAGCATTTTCCACATTCCACAACACTTTGGGCTCGCGAAAGTCTGTAGTTATATAGACTCTCTGTTGGTGAGTCATGTTGCGAAGCGGCAGAGGCTTCATCAGCCAGGTCTTGAGAGCAAACGCGTCGTCTCCCACAAGGAAGTATTCAAGTGGCTGGTCATCATGAGGCAGAGGGTCTGCTTCACGCAGATTCAGTTTGCCTGCCTCAATTGCTGCCTTGAATGGGCTCTCGTTAAACACACCAGCATCAGAGCCAAAGCCAGTGTGTCCAATGTCCACATACATGAATTTGTAGTCAGTATCTACAGGTACAAGTAGTACAAGGGAAAAAACACTTTATAGTTATAGAGTAAGCTGCCAGTCTTTGAAAGGTTTCCTGATGGCAACTTGTTTGCCATTGATCAAACCAACGCAGTGGGGAAGGTTCCAGCAGTTGTAGAAGGATTGTGCCACTTGTTTCCATCCTTTGGAGTGTCTGGGCATATGAGAACTTCGTCAGATAATTCATTGATTATTGCCTGGCACACTTGTGGGATAAACACAGAAATAGTGTTATGGGCAACTCGGAATCCATATTGAAGTGTCTTGTAGCTGTTGCCGGTGGCCAGAAACCTCAAGGTTACAGCCAGCTTTAAACCAGGTTCCAGATACTTCCTGTAGTTAGTATCTCGTTTGGTGATCCTCGGTGCAATTCGTGTCAGAAGTTAATGAAAATCCTGTGGCTCCATCCACATGAAATTGGTAAATGCAGAAACATCCTCAACGTGCAGTTCTTTCATCAGCTGTTCATATTGCACCTGCAGGGGCCTGCGCTGGATCCAAGGTTTTACCCACACACTTCTTCTTCTTCTAGCTTCTTTCCTTCTCTTTCTTTTCTCTTCTCCCAAGCGTTCATGTTCTGCCACATGACTAATTAGTCTTTTCAGGGCATCCAGACTGTAACTCTTTCAGCCTAAACGTCTATTTTTTTTCCAGAAAATCTGTGTTAACTGAATAAAAAATATACAAATTAAAGTACAGACAAAAAATAGTAACAAAAGATAAAAAACATAAACATGCAAAATAAACGAAATCAAATCAAAACAAAGGAAAACATAATTGGCATGGGTAACTTTGAAGAATAAAATCAGTAAGAATTAGTAAGTATTTGAAAACAAATCTGAGATTTAAGAAGAAGAAAATTATGGCTTATTCAAGGTTTGAATATCACTACACCAGTTAGCAACTTTTTTTCCTCCATTTTTGTATGTTTTATATATATAATTTCAGAAAATTCTATTTCTCTTTTTATGTTTTCTGAAATTTGTCACCAAATTATTAATTTAATTATGTGTTTTTTTTGTAAATTCTGAAGAAGTAGAAAACTATGTATCTTCCTTCAAAAAAACTCAATAATGGGGATAATTTTATTTGAATAGAATATATCACACATAAAAAGGTGGAGAATAGATTCAGATTATATCTTATAGTGGCCTTAATGTATGGATCTTCAAAACAAGAAAACATTCATAAATTTCTTATTCTTAATTGCGTATCAAACTTTCCCAGACTCATTTCTCATATAATAATAATAATAACCATGGCTTCTTATAAAGCGCACCAGGGACCTGTTTCACAAAGCCTTTTTTCAATGACAAATGACAGAACTCAGTGACAAATCTGTTGATAACCAATCAGAAGCAAGGATTTCAGTAGCTTATAACAAAAACTGTCATTTGTCACTGATCACAAGTTTTGTAAAACGCCCGCCAGATCAGTCACGCATGACGCTCATGTCGATTAATATTTCTTAGTTGATTTCATGGTAGACTTTACCTTTAACCAACTAAATTCAAAGCCTGATAAGTAATTAAATGTCCAAATTATCAGGCTCAATATTGCCTTTAAAAACCATATTCTCTTGAAAACTTACATATTATTATCAGATGAATAGCCAGTGCCTTTAGATGTGATGTTTTTACTAGTGCTGTAGTTAAACCGTTGCACCGTCCGGTATCCGACCGCCCATGGCGGATTCCGTTTTCAATTGGACGGTTTCGTTTTTCCTTTTTTTTTTTTTTTTTTTTTAATTTATGCCCCTCCACCTGGTACTATGCCTAGCAATGTCTCCCAGCTCAGTAATCGGTGTGTTGACTCACCACTCAGAAAGTAGAACAACACTCCAATTTGTCTGTCATCGTGGTTTGAAAGTAATCTTTGTAATAGATCTCAATACCGGTATGTAGTTTATAATAATAATTCATCCAACTTTTACACACGGCGTATCACAAGGTTCTATCCTAGGTCCTCTACTGTTTGTAATTTACATTAATGATCTTACACATTCTTCGAAAAACGACATTGTTACTATTATATGTGACAAGTTCAAAAGCACAAATCGTCGCCTTCAAATGCACCTCGCAGTTAAATGAAAGTCCTTCCCGCTTTTTCACACTGCCCTGGCATGCTGCTGACAAAGTCGGTCGGTCAAAACAAAACAAAAAAAAAGATTTTTAAAAGATAATCGTTTAACAGAAAACCGTCCGGTTTTGACTGGCGGTTAAACGGAATTGGAGATATCCTGATGTTACAGCACAAGTTTTTACTCTGTCAATAGCATCACCGATAACATTCTTGCTTGAAAATGAAATTGAGAAGTGTTATGTTATAGACAGAGGTCATTGTTTTAATTTTTTTCTTCAAAAGCATCCTTGTGTTCATAATTTGATGTAACTTGGACAAGTATATTTAGGGTAGGGAATTATGGTCACTTATACATGTATTGTACATGTAGGTCATCTGAGGTCATTTGTAAATCGCCTTTTGTAGAAGTCTCATGGAAAATATTTTGAATGCTCGAACAAGTTTTGTGAAGAGAAGTTTCCAATGTAATTTTCTTATTTGTTTTCTTTCAATTTCCGAATGCACTTTAGAGCATGCAGGTTTGAGAGATATTTCATTTAGTGTTTGACTTTCTGGTTATCTTGTGAAAACAGTTTAGTGTTTAAATGTTGCAAGTAAGCTAAAACTGAGTTTTACCTTTTGGGGAAAACAAATTCCTCAAAGGAAATATTTTGAGATTTACTGTTGATATTTTGTCACATTGTGTGTTAAGTGTTGCTTGGGTACCACTACCCCTTTATGTTTTGCTCAAGATTTTGATTGGTATTAACTGTTGAATGTATGCTTGGCTAGATGCCAGCTGCTGACAAATGATTGTACATGAATGAGATCACATCTCATTGTGCTGGCTTTGATCATTCACAATAAGGCCATTTCATAGTTAGCACATGGGTAAAATGACCCCAAATATCCACAGGTCTTTTGCTCATGGAGAAGTCCCACTTTGTGTATTTTAGATTAATCAATGCCAAAGATCATGTATGTGCTTCATGAAAAGCTTTTGTTTGCCATGTTGTATATAGAAAGTACCGCAGGTGCAACACATGAATAATGATAACATGAGCACTTATTGAACTCGGTGGGTTTTACAATTTTATGAGAAATGACCTTTATCTGCCCATGCGCAGACAGTATTTACGAAATGGCTTATTGTGTTGATTAGAACCCTGTTCAAATCCAGAGCATGTGTTCACTCAGGTAGTCGACACTCCTTGGTCACTCACTTCCCTTTCAAACCGTTTCGATTCCAGTCAACGTTTGCTCGCCGCATTAGTGAATATGATGACGTAATGTCGAGGGGCCAGTGACACAAAGACGTAACTCCATTTTGGCCATTTTGAGAAAAAGTGGTTTATGTGTCACTGAGCACTTGGGCCTTAAGGAGTTGAGTCAATGTTTCACTAGCCATTGACTTCAATGGGGTGTTGGGTGGAGTTAAGTCTTCGTGTTTCCTGGAAAGCCCACATTTTTCTGAACATTTTGATTTCAAATACTCATTTTGGCAAAATATAGAGTTACCTATATGTGTCACTGAACCCTCGATTTGATGTAAATCATACATATTTCCTGCGCACATGCGCCACTTTGAATAGGCTCAAATCATGTACTGGTAGTGCTAGCTACATGTAGGTATGTACTACTATGAATAGAGAACAACATTCTAGATTGAGGTGACCGTCAAAACCAAGGTTCTCAATTCTGGTCGTTGTGGAGGACGCCCCCGGCCCCACGTCCTTATAAGAAATGTTTGCCGGGGGGCTCCTACCCTAATATCGTTTAGTAAGTCCTAAGGAAGCCCTGTACCTAAAATAGCGCTTGTATCCAGCAGGTAATGATAATCAATAAATTCGACGCTAAGCAACCTGACTAATATTGTAGACAGTGTGGCGCAAGCACAGATTGTCAGAATGATGTCATCACGTCACAGTTCACTATGTTGACGCGACAATCGAAAAACCCTTAATGACACATACTGTTGCAGGTACACATTATTCAATTTCATTTCATATCATCCTGTAACATGCTACCTTTTTTCTGATAATGATTATTTCTTTCTATTTCATGTTTCAGCTGTAGCCAAGAAGCCACCAAAGCCAAAAGTTGATGCCAAATTTCTAGCTGAATTCCAGGTAGGCAACATTTCGTCTCTATGATGACTGCAGAATAAAAAACAACCCCCATCTTTTTTTTGAGTAATAGAAAAGGTCAAAGTTAAAATAGGGCAGGTTCTATTTTATTTCTCAGATGCACAGTAAACGTGATATATACTTTGAAGTAAGCTCCTGGTTATCTGATCAAAATAAATTTAAAATACTGAATACAGTCTAAATTTCTCCAGCCACATACTTGTAGAGTTATAAAGTTGTATTTTCAGATTTTGCCGACTAATATCACATTTGAAATGATGCTTGTAATGGTGTTAAAAAGACTGTTATCCTACCTCAGTAATTTTTCAAGGAAAAATCCTAGCAAAAGCATATTTGGAAAAAAAATTAAACACCTATTCACACTCTCTTGCCCAAGAGTGACAGAACATGATTCTGTTGGCTGACCGTGAAGAGAGTGAAATCTAACAGCATACCTTATTGGTTATTGCATCACAAATGGACTTGTCTTAGTGAAGTTAGTGAGATAAAAACAAGATAAAAGGATTCTCAGAATACCAATGTAAAAAGATTTAAAGGGTATTTTACCTCACTACGATCGAATGAATCTCAGAATACTGTGACTGTCCCAGGGTTTTTTATTTTTGAATTTGAATTTAGCACCTGTTTACTCGAACAGAACTATCATGTTTGTCTGATTTTCTCTGTATTTCATTTTCAGTCACAAAAGACTTACTGTAAAGCTGCATTTTAAAGTATTATTGTCAAAGTTAACAGGTGACATCAAAAGCTTATTTGGCAGCACAGGGAAATTTAGGCTATGTATGTATGGGGGCATCGATCTGAATGTTAAAATTGAGGATATGGCATAAATCACTTACAGAGCTGCCAGCAGTACTATTTTTTCATATTTTGAATGATTTTTATTAGAAGTTAATAAGACAGTACGATTTTTCCTCAATAATTTTTTTTTTTTTTTTTCAAATTAAAAACAAATATTGTGTGTGTATTTTGCGTGTGCGTGCCAACTTGTATGTAGGAACTTTTGCAAATTGGCAACCCCCCCCCCCCCCCAATAAAAAAAATTTAACTCAAGTTCGTGGTGAGAAAGTACTTATCGATCAAAAATAGTATTTTTGTTCAGTTGGAGTTGGCAGCTCTGGACTTATCTGGACTAAAGATATATGTTGAGCCTTTATTGAAGGTAGAAATATCATTCACATTTTTTGGCTAAAATCAGAAAGTTGCCAACTGTTCCGTTTTTGCCGTATTTTATATTTTTTGTATTGATGTTTTTCTTAATTTCCGATCATGGGCTTCATGTTGTAAGTGTAGTATGCATCTATGTCTTCAAACAAGCACGCAGGATGGTGATACAGGCCTCAAACTGCTCACATTGCGAACAACCAACGTGTACTGTATGCACGTCGCGCTCCGATCTGTGTACGTATCCGTGGTACTGCCGTTTTTTTAAGCTGCTCGATTGGGCGAAATGTTAAGGTGAGAGATTTTGTCAAAAATACTGTTTTTTGCTCTTAAGAATACTTTTTTTGTTGATGAAGGTTGGCATCTCTGGACTATAGTAATTTTTGTTCTATTGTATTGTATGTACAGCCTGAAGAAGTACCTGATGTGATAGATGAGCTGACTGAGTATGAAGATGAGGTGGAGCTCAAGTTCAAGCAGCTCTCACATCTCAACCTTGACGTCACCAATGTGGACATTATCTCACAGCTTAAAGGTGAGTCACTCTACCACATGGTCCATTTAAAGCCACACTGCACTACTTATAGCTACTTGCACCCATATAGCAAACAATGCCTAATTGATGCATGTTGGTCCCCATGAGCCTCTTTTTCTTATCTTATTTTAGAGCTGAGTTGATGAGATAACCACCTGTCAGTGACCTTGCAGGGTGCTCTAATCCCTCCTATAAACTAGGACAGATAAGCTTTAAAGCCTATCTGCACTAGTTTGGCCAAGAGGGATGAGACCTCCCTGCATGGTCACTGACAGGGGGTTATCTCATCAAATAAGCTCTCAATTAACATGAGAAAAAGGGGACCATGGGGGACCAACGGTTACCGATAAGTCATTGTTTGCTATATAGAGGGCGCAAGTAGCTACAAGTAGTGCAGTGGGGCTTTAAAGAGTTCTTGGGAAATAAAAATGATCCTTGATCCACACTGAATGAAGTGGCCTTTGTGCAGCATACCATGGGCTTGGTTCAGGGAAACCAAACTGGCTAAAGGTCAGTATCCAAGTTGGGAAGGATTTATCTTGGTTATTTCTCATTCTGAAGTAATAACACCAACTTTGTGATGCACTTACGACTATATTTTAGTTCAGTTCAGTGGTCTTTGAAAGGATCATCAAAATGTAGAGTCATAATTATTCATAGTGTGGTCTTAGCAATCTGTAAGAAGGCTGCTGTCATACATTGAAATAAACTACAATATACCCGGCATTTGTGATCTTTCAAGGGGTAATCCAAAGTTGAAAGTGGATATTTACCTGCCCTATAAATGACTTAATTTGTTTTGTGTTTTTGTTGATTAGATCGAGCTGGAGGCAAGATGTTCTCCCAGCAGTTTGAGGATGCAGCTGATCGTCTGGAGGAGTTTGTGGTTGCCATGGAGAAGGAAGTCAAGCTCCGGAAGCAGCTGGTGGATCTGCTAGAGAAGAGTGAGATCTACTTCGATGCTCAGATGGGAGAAGCAAGGATTGTTGCAAATGTAAGTCTCACAATCAAGTGTTGAATGTTTAATGTTTAAATAACGTAAAACGTGAACAGGGAATTTGGAATAACTCGTCATTCAAATCGTCATTCATGTCTAGTATGAAAATGTATGGTCAACTTAAGTTTATTTGCCTTTTGAGGAAAGCATGTGATGTGCCCGGTTATAGCTCTATGTTTTTCTTAATTTTATTGCTTATTGCTAGTAATGTCTTTTTGTGAGAATAGGGTTGTTTTTGTGTTTGCAATTGTTAATATTCAAGAACATGCCTTTTAAAGGGATCGTTTAACAATTTTAAATCCGAGATGCACGGCCCTACATGTTATCAGTGTCTGTGATATGATGTTATATTGAAGCCCTAAAAAAAAATGCGCTTCAAAATGATCAAGAAGTGCCTCAAAAAATTAAAAAACCTTTGAGAGACCAGTTTTACCATACTCATTTTCCCCAATGGACTGTAGTGTTATGAAAAACCATTTGGCAAATGCAAACTTTGATTTCGATTTTCAATCATAGTTATCTTGATAATCAGACAGGCGATCGGCTTGTAAAAGTCATGGGGTTTCTGACTGACATAAAGGTTTATAATTATCATTACAGCATGAGCTAATCCAAGGATTTGTTTAAAGGATCTAAGACAAAGTTACCGGATCCCTTTAATGTTATGAAAAAGATAGCTAGAAAAGAGATTAAGGTGTGATTCACAGGGCACGAAGAGTGTAGGACATTCATGCTTTGCAAGTTTGCAGTAATAACAAGTAATAGGTACTCTGATGTTTCATCTCTTAGTGTACTAAGTCAAAATGCATTGGGCACCTCCCGTTTAGATGAATGTCATTGAATCTTTTCCTAACCAGGCATACAAGAATTTTGGTACCCGAGTAACGAGCTTGAAGAAGAGGTTGGATGACTACAAGAAGGTTCTACCTGAGATTGACATGAGCCCTCTACCGTCCCCTTCATCAGATGCTCCTTCACCGGGTAAGGGTCAAGGGTCAATGCAGTTGAAATTAAGCATAGCTTAAAGCCCCTCTTAATAGTTGGGACCCCCTAATTCGCCAAATATTTGATGGCAAAATTTCACTTAGATTGTATTGTTATGTGAATATAATGTCGTTTAAGACACGTTTCTGCAAAGATTTCCCTCAAAAAATGTGTTTGAAGACAAAACTTGATAAAAGAATACATAATTTGGGTTGTCTGTTGTACATTGTACACAGAAAACCTAAATGTTTTATCCTTTCATCAATGTTCGACTTCATGCACAATTGTTTTGAAAATCCTTGCTGATATTTGTCTTAAATGACAACCTCTTTCAAATTATCATACAGTTTAAGTGAAATATTGCAATCAAATTTTTGGGGCTCCCAACACTTTGGAGGGCCTTTAATTGCTTACACTTTTGAATGAATACCTACTTTATCAACAGCCATACATGTTTGATTTTAAAGCAGTTTAGTGTTACCATTTTGTGATGTTTTATTTTTATCTTTTGATCGAGAATGCTCTGAATTACAAGTTGTACATGAGCAGAAAATGCAAAAATTGCTGGAAAATTTGAGTCCGTTTGCGGAAGTAAATTGTACTGTTCATGAATAAGAGCTATTTAATCAAAAATAATTGAATCATTGAAGTCACTGAACTGGCAACCAGAGTGAAATTTGTTATCACTATTTTGTGTTCAAATTGGCAATTCTTTTATCCCTCCTGTTTAATTAATGCCCTTTTAAAGCTTATCTGCCGTAGTTTACAGGAGGGATTAGACTGCCCTGCAAGGTCACTGGACAGGTGGTTATCTCATCAACTCTGCTCTCAGTTAACATATGAAAAAGAGGATCATGGGGGACCAATGGTCACCGATTAGGCATTGTTTGTTATATAGAGGGCGCAAGTAGCTACCAGTAGTGCAGTGGGCCTTTAAAAAATAAAGCTATAATAGAGTAGAAAATCCAAATGATTGTTGCCAATTTGATAAAGAAAAGTTGATTTATTTAGACCTTTCGAAAACCCTGTAATGATGTAGGTTCTCTCAACCTCTTTCATAGAATGTTAAGTTTTTAAAGAGGTGACCCCAAAAGGCCAGGGCCCTGTTGCATAAAAATTATTATCAATGACAAGTTACAATAACTGTTACAATCTGCTGAAATTGTGGCATTTGATTGGCTGAGTGAGAGCAAATTTGTCATAGAGATGTAACATTTGTTATTGATAACAATTTTCACAAAACGGCTTCCAAAACAGGCCAAAGAACCTCACTTGGTTCATTTCTGCTGTGTGACTCTCTTGCCTGCTTGCCTGGCTGGTATCTGATCACTATGTGGTCTTGTAATGACCGATTTTTATGCCTCCGCCACCGAAGGTGGTGCCGGAGGCATCATGTTTTCGGGTTGTCCGTCCGTACGTCCGTCCGTCCGTACGTCCGTCCGTACGTCCGTCCCGTTTGACCGTTATCACAATATCTCAAGAACCATTTAAGATTTAAACTTAAGACTCGGGAATAGTATTTATCACCATAGGAAGACGATCTGATTAGATTTTGGAGTACGTAGGTCAAAGGTCACAGGTCACAGAGGTCAACTTATGAAATTCCTTGTATTGAGTTTGTTAGCGCGATATCTCAAGAACCATTTGAGATTTAAACTTCAAACTTAAGGATAGTATGTATCACCATAGGAAGATGATCTGATTAGATTTTGGAGCACGTATGTCAAAGGTCAAGGGTCACAGAGGTCAACTTATGAAATTCCATACATTGAGATTGTTATCATGATATCTCAAGAACCACTGGAGATTTAAACTTCAAACTTGGTGATAGTGTGTATCACTATAGGAAAACAATCTGATTACATTTTGGAGCACGTAGGTCAAAGGTCAAGGGTCATAGAGGTCAACTTATGAAATTCCATACATTGAGATTGTTATCATATCTCAAGAACCACTGGAGATGTAAAAACTTCAAACTTAAGGATAGTATGTATCACCATAGGAAGACGATCTGATTAGATTTTAGAGCACGTAGGTCAAAGGTCAAGGGTCACAGAGGTCAACTTATGAAATTCCATACATTGAGATTGTTATCATAATATCTCAAGAACCACTGGAGATTTAAACTTCAAACTTAATGATAGTGTGTATCACCATAAGAAGACAATCTGATTAGATTTTGGAGCACGTAGGTCAAAGGTCAAAGGCCACAGCGCACATTATGAATGCAAAAACAGCTTGTGATCGCGTTATCTCAAGAACCGATTGATGGATTCATGCCAAAATTAGGTCATGTTTGTTACTTGCAGAGCCAATGAACTGAGTAGATTCTTGGTTCATAAGGTCAAAGGTCAAAGGTCATGGGCCCATTATGTATGCAAAAATAGCTTGTGAACGCATTCTCATTAGAACTGACAGATGGATTACTATTTAACTCAGAACATCTTGCAGAGCCAATGAACTGAGTAGATTTTATGGTCGTGAGGTCAAAGATCAAAGGGTCATATATGTATATGAGAAATTGCTTGTAATCACAATATTCTGAGAACCTGTCAATTGATTACCATTGAACGTGAATTCAATTTTTTTTTTCTGTTTTGGTTTGTAAAATTGCTCTATAACGGAGGCATCATTTTCGACTGCGCGCAGTCGAATTCCATCTAGTTTCTCTCTGTGTTTATGCTTTCAGGTGCTACCCCTCCCCAGGAGCAAGATGGAGTCAATAGAGATTTAGAAGATATGGAACTCTCGGATACAGATGAGGGAGGAAAGATTATAGGTGAGAATTCACTCCTAATTTTAGAGGTGGCATTATGAGGAAGAAAAAAATATCTAAATTTAAGTAAAGTGATTTTGATTGTTGTAACAAACTGTACATTGTTAGTTTTTATTAGGGATTTTTTTCTTTTTTCAAAAGTCTTTTGAAAAAAAGCCACCTTTGCAGAGATGCCAACCGTTATGGTTTCGCCGTATTTGTTACGGTTTTAATGCTCTTGTTACGGCGTTACGGTAAACAATCAAAAGGTTACGGGGAAACGATAAACAAAAGTACATTATAGCGAATGCCGCCTTATCACATAGCCTCCGTACACAGCGCTGCATGTCGCACGCATTTACGAACTCATAAGTTCACTGAATTTGACTACATTGGATAGGCACTTTCGCGCACATGGTCCGTCCGCCGCCATCTCGTTTAATTCAGAAACAACACGGCCGCTACGTATGCTACATGCGGTCGTGCCTTTTGGGGGGAGCATTGGGGTAGATGATCGTGCGCACGGCGCCCACAATGCCCATTCATAGTATAGTAGCGAAGACTTCGGTGATTCAGCGGGCGCATTGCAAGTGCGATATACGGTGTGTTGTTGTTCATGAACGCCGGGCCTAGCGGCCTGGGCTGGTGTGTCTGTGGTACTGGTGAGTGTACGTGTGCGTGTGTAGGATACGAGTTCTGCCATTTGAGTGTGGATTCGAATTTGCCATTCGACGCTTGAACGAGGTGTTTTCTTCCTGAATATTTTCATGGATTCACTCAAAAGAGCGAGTACCCGAGGAGGAGATCCTTTGACTGGAAATAGATTTTTTAAAAATGTTTTTATGCACATCTTTATTTTGTACTTAAAAATGGTAGGTTCGAAATGCAGTAAGAGTGATTGGGTGTTTGTGTACGTTTTGCGCGAAAATTATGCTGCGGTGTCTTGCGTTACGGGAAGACCCCCATTTGTTACGGAAAAATATGGTAAATGTTACTGACAGCCATCCTATAGGGTTGGCATCTCTGCTTTTGTGGAGGCACCCTGTTTGTCTGAAAGAACAGCTTCTTTAAAATTCTTCTGAATATTAGAATCCTTTAGATAAGTAATTATATATATATATATATATATATATATAAAACAAGACCCTAAGAAATGCCATTAATTATAATAAATGATAGTAATGGTGTTGATATTTTTATTATGTTAATGTTGCTTCTTTTCTATTTTTGATGGTATTGATTGTCTGTTAGTAAGTGTCCCTGTCTGAACTAGGCGCATTATGGATTAAAAAGTAATGCCATTTTCCAGTAGACTTCATTTCTTAACCCATTGGGCACTAAACCAGAGATAACTCGGGCCTTGGTGTAAATTTTAAAAAATACATATGTCCTAAATCAATTCATGTTCAACCCATGTAATCTGAGCCAAATTTAAGCATTTTCAAACATAATTTATGACTAATATTTCATAAATATTTTTGGGTGAGAATGATCCTTAACCTGTTGTTCCTGACTTCCAACGTGTACAATAACAATTCAAACCTGTCACTTTTACATGTTTAAACCGCTTGTGGACCGGCCTATTTGCAACAAATCAATTCATGTACCCTGTATATTTATGTGTTTATCTGGCATTCATGATTTGTGATATTTTTTCTTCACATCCAGCTGCTGTGCCTGCCAAGTCATCAAGACCCTCCAAGAGTGGGAAGAGGCGTCATAAAAGTAAGCAGAACAAAAATCTATCATCACAATTCAATTGCTTGTATTTAAATAATAATTACAATGTTTTCAGCACTGTTAAATTTTAAATTTAAAAGTCAAAAGTAATATAGAACAGTAGTGAGAGAGTGAATTTTTTAAATGGAATATGTAGTTTGTGGGTAGCTTTGGTCTGTAAAGGTGTTGTGGTCTAGCAGATACATCACCGGACTGTGGATCACATGGTTTGCGGTTGAAGTCCCGCCGCGACACTAAATGTCCTTTTGTAAGACATTGATTTACATTTGCCACTCTCGACCCAGGTGAAGTAAATGGGTTCCTGGTAGGGAGAAATTCCTTTAATGCTTTAGTGCCTTATTCAGAGCTGCCAACCATTCCGTTTTTACCGGAATTACTACGTTTTTTCCTCCAAATTACGTTTATGTTTTTTCTTCATAAAATATGTTTTTTAAGAATTTTTTTTTTTTTTTTTTTACATACCGCACGTCAAACAACTTCCCTTAAATGGTGATTTGATCACAAATTCAATAGAAAACTAATTTCAAAACATACTTGAAGAGAAAAATATTCTCAAAAAAAATGAAATGCTGATAGTACCAAAATAACCACCAAAAAATTACCTGCTTGTATGGAAAAAACAGCATGATGAATGAACATTTCTACATTGGAAGTGTGTTGCGCGTGGTTGTAAGTTTTGTTTTACAAATTCCTTTTTTTGCTTGAAATTCCTTTTTTTTTTGCCATCATGATTCCTTTTTTTGGTCGCACAAGGTTGGCAGCTCTGCTTTTTATGGCAGCTCAGCTAAAGTCGGGTAATACTATGATACCTTGTATTGAGCGCAGTGGGGTACGTTCATCTTGTAGCTGCGCTATATAAATTGACCTATTATTATTATTATCCACCTGATGTGTAGTTTATTGATGTCCTTATTATATTTTACTCTATCCACAGATGCAGATTCAAAGTCCAAGAAGAGGTCCTTGTCCAAAACTGATAGGTCCGGACAGAAGATCTCTGTCATTGCAAGCACTCCTAACTTTCCAAATGCTACAACACCTCAGGGGGAGAAGATACAGTCAATCTCACCAAATGTACCAGCCCATTCTTCCTACGCAAGCCCCTTTGACTTCCCTTCTCAAAGGCAAAGTAGTGGGTTGGTAACGACTGCAGGGGCCACACCCGTCTACACCCCGAGCATGACCACCGGTTTTACACCGCAGGCGAGTGTAGCGTATTCTCCCGCAAGTCCGGCAGTTTACGATCCTGCTGCTGCAGCTACGACATACAGTCCTGCGGCCTCGGCGGTTTATAATCCAACTGCAGTAACAACCACGTACAGTTCTACAGCTGCACCTTACACTCCTGCTGTAACAACCCCTTATGACCCAGCATCATCAGTTGCCTATACTCCTTCTGTTGCATCAGAGCCAAGTGCATATGTCCCGGTCGCTTCCCCTGCTGTGTCAGCATACTCTCCTACAGGAGCAACGGCAGCACCAGTTTATACTCCAACAGTTGCAGGCTATACCCCAACTGTTTCTTCAGGGACACAGGCTTATATACCACCTCCCCCTGCTACAGTATCACCGGTGTATTCAGCAACAGCTCCTGCAGCAAGTCCTGCGTATACGCCAACAGCTGCAGTTCCTGCGCAAGTATATACACCTGTTGCCTCACCAGTATCACCAGCATATACCCCAATAGCGTCGACAGCAACTACTGCTTATGCAGTGACAACACCATCAGTAACACCGTCCTATCCACCTGTTTCTACCATATCCTCTGTCTATACACCAGAGCCTTCACCTGCTTATACTCCTACAGTCTCTCAGACATATAACCAAACAGTATCAACAGCACCTTATGACCCAGCACACTCTGTGCCATACAACCCCAATGATACCACAGGTTACAACTCATCAACAGTATCAGCATACAATACTGTCAATGCGCCGTACAACCCGCCGGCGCCATCTGTATACAGTCCACCAGTTGCACCACCAGCACCTGCAGCAGTTCCTTCATATAATCCTCCAGGTGCATCAACCTACGAGCCGACACTTGCAGCTACGTACACTCCTTCATACAACCGTCCTCCTCCTCCTGTTAGCAGCACGCAATCATCTTATGAACAGTCATATTCAAATACATACACAGGTAATTCTGATGAGGGTGATACCTATAATCCTCCACAATCACAGTATGGTTTCAACAACGTGCAGAAGCCTCTGCCTTCCAGAGATTTTGAATATCCAAACCCACAAGCAAGAGACTCTGAAGTCACACGCTGTGCAACGCCCCTCAGAGATGAACATTTACAAATGGAAGAACCCTCATCCTCAGAGCTACCTGCAGATAACCCTTATTACTCTACCCAAATGCCTCCAGGAGGGGCTCAGTATAGAAACCCTGTTCCACAACAGAATGTAGCACCCGTCATGCCAGCCAATCCAATGCAGTTCTTGACAAAGTTGATCAGTAGTCGGATTGTACCAGCGGACTCTGGTAAATCCACAGACCTCTTGAGTACCCTGAGCAGTCTCTCAGGAAAACAGAGGAATATTGTGGAGCTTCATCAAAGAGAGTCTCCACCACCACCACCTCCTCCCCCTGTCCGTAAACTTCCGCCCAAGCTGTTAGACGATGAAAGGACAGGTGGAAAACGTGTTACTTCTACAAATGCTTTCAGCAGAAGTAGGGAGAATCAGGACAGACATGAAGAGGTGGAAGAAGAAGAAGAAGAAGAGGATGATAATGAATACTTGACTCCTGAAGAAAAATCTAAACTTAAAAAAGCCAATCAATCTTTTGGTATTGGTCAACTAATGTTTCAACTAGCTGAGAAAGAGCCAGAGGAGGAATCGGACGTAGAGGAAGTAGAGGTAGATTTTGATTTCCCTTTGGAAAAGGACAAAGATGAAAGATTTTCTGACACTCTTCCAGAGGATGAACCTGATCGTAATGCACAACAACTCGCAAAAAAGGCAGGAAGCGCCCCTCTAGCTCCATGGATGCCTCATGTGACACCCAAAAAGCCTATTCTTCTTACCAAACCAGAGCTACCTTTGTCTGTATCACCTCCACCACCACCACCACCACCTCCCCCACCACCACCTTCATCTTCAGCTGTGCCATCAAGTCCTACAGCCAAATCAGGGGTGGTTCCACCAGTTCCTCTTGCTGCAATGCTGCTGCCTCCACCGCCCCCTGTGGCTGAGGATCTGCCACCGCCGCCACCTCCTCCACCTCGAGTATCGGCACCAGCTCCAGCTCCAACTGCACCCAAACCTGCAGCTAATGTACCTGCGGCCGTGCCACCTCGAGGGATTGTTGCAAAGACAGATCAAGTACCCAATGTACAAGCTCAATCAATAATAACCATTAATCATGCTAACGTCCAAAGACAAACATCCGTAGGACAACCTATTACAATCGTTCGACAGCTTTCAGACCCTTCTCCAAGCCCTCCTGCCCAGCCCATAAGATCAATCATGCATGATCGTGCGCCAAATTTTCAGAGGATTGCTGTGGTAGGTCAGAATACACGGAACCAAGACTATGAGGAACCGAGGCCTGTCCCTGTACTTGGACAATCTCCAAGGATACGAGGTCCATTTCCAGGACCTCCTCCTGGACCCCCTCCACCGACCGCCAGACAGTTGTCAGGATCAGGCATAAGAGCGCCTGGACCCCCACCTGGCCCACCACCAGTTAGTGCCAAGAGAATGTCAAGTCAAGAGTCCACTGCTACTGCATTTGATGAACAGCAAGATACCCCTACGAGCCCTGAACCTTACAAAAGTTTTGATTCAATGCCAATAAGTAGTATACCTAGTTTAGTATCGCCCACATCTCTTACCCCTTTGAAGCGGGTCGATTCCATACCAGAAACCTCATCACCATACCAAGAGGTTGCTGAAGTGAGACCTCTAAGATCTATTCTCAAACGACGCAAATCTACTCCTAATCCTGAGACACCACCTGAAGACGACTACTACCCTGAAGATTCACAGATATCCGTCTTAGGTGCACAGCCTCGTTCACTTTCACAAGACTTTTCCACAGATTCTCCAATTCGGGTTCTAGGTTCCCAGCCAACCATTTCCCAAAGGTTTCCTCAAATGGATGACTTTGGATCAGACTCAAACATATCTGTAGTAGGTGCTGCAGGAGCTGCAGGGCAAGCAGGAAACATCAGCCCAAGGTTCTCCCAAAGACCTCCCTTCCGTAGAGGAGGACCCAGATCACCAGAACATAGATCACCAGGACACAGCAGATACAACAGAAGCCCAAGTCGCGATCAGGAGTACAATGAAAGGCCTATTATTCAGATGGACTATGGGCATGGTAAGCAGCAGCAAATAGACTACGGCCATGGAAAGCCAGGCGGTGACCAGGGGATGACCATTCAGACATTGGGTGGTGATCGTCCTGCCTTTCAGGATAAGTACCGTCATGATCCTCTAGAATCAAGACATCGATATGAGCCTGAACCTATGAGACACTTTGAACATCAGTATCGCCCCGAGATAAGACCAAGAGGGTATGGCCCCAGACCTCATGGCCAGTTTAGACCAAGCTTTAGGGGAGGGTCCCCACAATATCGTCCACAGTCGTTCTATTATTGATGTTACATATCTGTAAGTGTATCTTTAACAATGATGTACAACTATACATTTATTGTATTGTATTTTTTTGCCTATGTGCATAAAGGATCAGTTTTTCATTTTTACACTCTTTATGACTACACTTGAATATACCTGTGCATATGACTTGGACAGAAACCCAGGAATAGAGGTCATAATTACTTTAAGTTTGGTTTCGTTAAGTGCAATTTGAACTGTAATAGCGCTATATTGGATATTGATATGTTTTTGCTTTTATGCAGAAAGGCTAATGCTCAAAATGCATTGAATTCATACGACAAGCCATACTTTCATTATAATTTTCATCATGAAAAGATTATTGTTCATATGTTCATCTGACATTTGTGCGATTTTGGACTCTATATTTATACTCCATTTTCCTTCCCTTCTCCTTTTTGCACTTACATGTATGCCTCCCTTTTATATCTTATACATACCATAGTTCAAAATTAATTGACAACTCTTGAGTACCGGTATGACAGAAATGAACACCTAGCGATGTTTGATACTGTAAGAAAGGGAGTGAATTTTGCCCACGAAATTGGTTTAATATTTTGATCATTGCATTTGCATTAACCAGAATAATGACAAAGAGATCATAGAGTTTGTATTGTAATTATGGAATGTATTTTTAATGAATGATTGCAAAGGATTTAAAGAATTTATAGATTTTTTATGAATATCATTCTGAAATTTGATGGTTTTATTCAAATGAGACGAGTTTGATAGAGTTACAATTTTTACTTTTGTTAGGTTTCAAGAGCCCAAAGGATGATGAAGACTTCAGCTGATTCTTTAAATTGTGTAAATAATTATTTTTGTAACATAGGGGGCTCTTACTCATACACTCTGTCTTATTTGTATGTCATTTTCAATCAGTCTTAGGGTTAGATGTAAGCTATGTTCTTGGATTTGATCTCTTGTCATTTTCTGCATTTGCTTGAGATAAGAATTTTGTAAGATGACAAGATTTGGAGTTGAGTTAAGAATATTGGCAAGATATTGGTAGGTATGTCAAGTGAAAAGGGAAATCAAGGTGATTCTGTCAGCTTTTAGTAAGATGGATGGATAACTTTCCTAGTGTATAAGAATATAGCATTGGCGTTGAAATCTTAACTCCTTTCCTACAGGAATTTGGGGGTCCCTGTATTAACTCTGTGGGTACGTGTGTAAGAGAGTTTTGGTAGCCATTTGGTTAAAGGCCATGTTACAATAATACCTTGGTGTCACAAAGTAAGAAATGCAGTGCGATCTTGTACATCTTTTTAAATACAAGTATCTGATTTAATCTGAAAAATAAAGGAATAGGAAATCTATGTTGAGGCAGCCAGGTGTTACATACTACAATATTTTCAAGTTTGTATTTGCTTTGTTTCTGATCAATTAATACAATGTTGTATGAAGGGGGGGGGGGGGCGGGACCTAAACTAAATTATGACAAACAAATGTCACTAACACTTTTTCAAGTCGATCTCAATGCCCATGTCAAATATTGGTGGACAAAATGAAAGGATCCTTAAGGTTGCGATTGTGTTGCACATTTGTATGTGATTTATGTAAAGATTACCTAGATGGTGAATATTGTATGCTCTTGTGATTCTGATAGCTCACATTTTGTTTTCAATTGATTTAATAATCCATTGAATTGCTTGAAGGAAGTACATGTATTAATATCCTTGAATGCATGTGTAAAAAAAGAAGATGAATATTTAACATTGATCCCCCCCCCCCCTCAATCACAAAGCACCTAAAAAAAAATGAGAGAATATATCATTATAAGAAGCCCATGATGAAAATTGATTTAGAATTACTGCTAATTTATCATTATGATGACACTGTATTATGCATAGCAGTATTTTGGGGTGCACTTTGGTGAGCTGCACACTCAATCGATTTTTGAAAGTTATATGTAAATTTTGTATCAAAAGATGTGAGAGACTGGAGGCTATGAATTCCCAAATTCTTACACCATTAAAAAAATTTATCCAAGTTTATTGCAGCAAATGTACATAAAATGCAGAGATTTATAGCTCACTTTGAATCACCGGGTCAGGTAGATGAGTTACCCGACCTTTTGTGGAAACATACCCCTTTATGCACGAAATGTTGAGGGTAATGTTTGTGAAATAGACCCCTCTCATCTACAAGTGATCTGGTCCAATTTACCTGTCGTCCTGTTAAACACCTATGGCAAGTCTATGATAGGACGCGTCATCTTTACATGACCTGCTTTCGTTTCACGAAAGGTCGTGTAAAGGCAACCACCCAACAGGACGCGATGACCCGATGATTCGTAGTAAGCCTATATTCACTTCCCCCCACTCTCCTTTTAAATCTTTAAGGTTTAAAAGAACAATTTACTTTGGGAAACTGAAGCATTAGATGGCAAACCTTCATAGTTGAGTTTTTAAGAATGTGTCTGTGCTGTCCATGTATCATGTATATATTGCTCGCTTTAAAAGAAGAAAAAAATATTTTGTTGTTGCATACAAATCTTGTTTCCATCAATAACACTTGTTGACTTGTCAGCCCTTGTAAAGGATCGATTTGACGACTGATGGTGTCCTCAATGTAACAAGGCTGAGTGTAACTTCATTTAAAGGTATAGACCAGTTCTGGTCATGCGATTACATTGTGAAAGAAACGTTGTGGAATCGATCAGAACAGGTTGATCATCTAGCATATAAGTATTGGTGTGTACTACAAGGTTCTGGAATCATCAAAATGATAAGAAATTTGGCCCAGTCTTCGCAAAGTTACAAGCACTGTTCACAGAAGGATGTATATGGGACTACGCGATATTTATCCAGGCTGGATTGATATGATAATTTACCAAACATATCAATTAGTAGGTGGTTTCCTGGCAAAATTTGTATCACTTATTAGTCAAAACATATTCTTTCACATGATTAGTTATAAGAGCTTCCATTTCATTTTTTGAGAGGGGGGCATTTCCAAAACTGGTCTATACCTTTAAATAGTAGTCCATCTTCTTGCAATAGTATAAACAAATCTGTGCAGAAAGACCACCCAAGGGGAAACTAAGCAGTCTTTGTAGGCAGGTACTGTTTCTACATGATTGCAGGTTCTCCTTTATACATATTCCAATAAGGAACACTATGTCGAGGGAAAGAAAAGGTGTGGACTCTTGTCGACAGGTGTCCTTTCTGAACAGGCAGTTGCTAAATCAGGTTTCACTTTATCTGAAAAGTGCATTGAGATTAAATAGAAAATGAGTGAGTGTGTGAAATGCTTGACTGCATGAGAGTGAACACAAACCCTGATTGTAGGGACTTATTTATTATTTGAAGAGAATTTTGCCATGTATGGGAGTGACATATTTGCTCTACATAGCACAACTACCCTGTTAGATATCAATTAAAGTGCGAATTTGGAAAGAGTGTAATGTTGGGATTAGGGAGATGTTTGTTTTCATATCCCTGATGTGATTTACAACATGGCCGTCCGTCGAGATGTGATACTCAGCTAAATATGTTTCTTGGTTGGAGGGCAGAAAAATTCCCTTTACAAATTTACTGATCCCTTGGAATATAGAATTAAGGAACATTTAAAACAGAAAAATCAAAGAAAGTCTGATGAAGATGTACAATATACCTTATTTGTATTTAGATAGACAAAAAGAATCATGTACCAAATATGCGACGTTGGACAACACTGTTTTATTTTTATAACACATTTAAGGAAAGAAATACATTTGCACTTCTACGGACTTGAACATTTTAATGAAATTCACATTACAATCCGTCATTGGAAAGCAACAATTTAGGAGCGGGAAGGGGTGGAAATGGTGGAAATTCGTCCATAATTGTGATGCATGGAATAGAGAGATAGAAGATAAATTTTTAGCATAATCAATAGCATAACGTATATACCGTCGGCCGAAACCATTTATGGCAGAAATATATGTTTTAACCACTATGGAAACTCCAAAGACTGTATTCCAAATTTAAAATACCGAAAAGCCTAAATGCCAGAGAATTTTTTTGTATTTAGCTTAGAAATCAAGACCCCCCCCCCCCCTTCCTCCGTATTATTTTGTTTCCCCCAGGGTAGTCCCTTTACCTAGATGGAGACCACAACACATCCACCTTTTGTTCTTTTTCTTCTGTTTGATTGAACTTGGCTGTTGATCCGTAAGGGCTTGAGAATAAAATAGTTTGTGATATTTAGAAGGAAGAAAGAAAACTTTGGAAAGGGTTTAAATAAGCATTTCTTTCCTTCTCGCCATCCAAAGTTATCTCTAGGACTTGGATTGTTTAAATCGAATATGGGAGACTCGTCTATCACTCATAATTTCATTGTAAAAGTTCTATACCGACGATCATTATGCGGGTCATTATGACTGTCGTTTCCCGATAAAGCCCTATGGAGTATATGGGCGAAATATTTTTGATATTTTCTGTATTGAAGGTACGCGATTACGTAATCTCAGCCCGATCAGTTGGTATATTGGTAATTACTGAAAATGAGGAGGCTCATCATCAAGTTTTATAAACTAGAAATTATATTGGAACACGGAAACGGAAGATAATTCATATTTCGATTTCAGCAATACCAAGTATAGAAAAATCTCGACACAATGAGCTAAAAAAATACTCTGACTGTGAAGTGGTATTCTCCGCTGGGCCTCTGTGAGCCTATTTTGAAAAATGAGCGATAGTATATAATTATGCGCTACTTTCTTCGCATGAAGCATAATAATCTTAATTAATCCCTCAGATAGGACATGAAACGGGCTGTATGGAGCTCAGTTGTAAGCATGGGTTAAACTTGATTTCACAACACTGGCTAAACAAACTATATAACAAAATGAAATTTGATATGGGAGTATTATTTATCCATCTCGCATTCGTGTTTATGGTGACAATGTGAGACCTGTAACCAACTAGATCGGGGGTTGTGGAAAATACTTTGTTCTCTTGAAGAAGAGGTTTTCTTGATCTTTATAGGAAGCAGGCGCTAAACATGAATATGTTCCAAGTGAGAGATAAAAGCGAGATTGAGGCTGAGATCACTGATGTAGCGTAAAGTGCGTCAGTGATATGCGCCGTCTGATGCTCCATGCGAGAGTGGTGTCCTCATAATGATTGCTAAAAGGACAGTGCATCCGTTTCGATCTAGTTCTGGCGTATGGGCGTAATATTGCCTGCACAAGGCTTGACATACACGTTTCGCTGCATCTTTACAGACCAGAAAACCTCAATTCATTAACGCAACCGATATGAGACATTGCTTTGGTCATTGTTCAAATAGTTGATATTTGTAATTGAGATTACATAATTTGTTGCATATGCGACTACTTCAGCGACTGTCGCGGTCTTTGACACCTCGTGTTTTAATGAAAAGTGAACAATATATCAAATTCACTGGCGCATCAGGGGCGGATCTAGCTTTTTGCTAAGGGGGGGGGTTGACCAAAATAATGACGATGCGGAGCATCGTCCACGAGCCGCGAAGCGGCGAGCCGATTTTTTTTGGGGTGTTTATTTGAACCCCGTAAGTGATGTTTTCCTGGCATCTATTAACACAATGGAGACCATAAAAAGCAGTGCATGATAACGTCTTTTTAAATCAAGTAACAGTTAAATACACAGTTATATCCAGAGTTATCATGTGTTTGGTTAAGTTACCTGATGAGTTGAATATCTTCTCACAATATTTGCACTTGAAAGGGTTTCTCTCCAACGTGCGTTCTTTTTTCTTTCTTTTTTTCTTTCTTTTTTTCTTTTTTTTTCCTTTTTTTTTCCTTTTTTTTTTTTTGGGGCCGCCCAAGGGGGGGGTTGCAACCCCCCCAACCCCCCCCCCCCTGGATCCGCCACTGCGCATGCACTAATTTATTTCACAGAATCGTTTGGATGGGTGTTGTACAACGAGCATAATTTATGAGTTTCATTTTTGGCATGGCCGTAAAGCGAAGTTCAGAATGGAAATAGGTAACAATACGTCAAAAATTGGCGCGTGCACTATGAGACTTGTCAACTCCGGTTGTTTGCAACGAGCATAAAACATGGGTTTCATTTTAATCGTGACCGTATTGTCTTCCAAAAGCCATTTTAAAAACTAATTAAAAAATGTAAGAGGTGTAATACAAACAAGTATCCATTTATCCTGGTTTATTTTGTAGTAAATCATGAGAGCTTACTTACAAGCATTTATGCTTTCTTTAGCAGTCGGGTAATAGCAACCACCACCACCAACTTCTCGCCCGCTCGTCGGGCATATATTTTTATAGAACTCCTGTAAAAGGTATCATATAATATAAAGACGATTGCAACTACATGTATTTTCGAAAAGTGAACTCAAGGGCAGCTTAAATATATTATGTATGCCGTGTAGAAATCATGTTCGGGTTACGTAATACCTCATTGTCATCTTCGCACATTTCAATAGTAGACACACAAGGCTATTGAAATTGCCTTGGGTCAATTTTTGTGTAAAGTAGTGCAATCGTAATACATAACATCGCTGCATCTTGCCATTATTTCACAAGGGATTAGTCTTTTAAATTTTAAACCAATTTTCGGGACGGAAAGCAGTTTAAATATAAAACAAATCTTTAAAATGTGAATAATTCGACGAACTTCTTATATACTCATAATATATACTTGCCTATATCTTATGAAAGGAAGTATTAACCATTGGGTCATATGATATTGTATCTTCTGGTATATCTTTTTTACAGAGCCACACTTATTCTTACCGTAATGATCTTTAATGATGGTAGGCCTACCATAATTGTTTTATTTTTATGAAAGTGATCGAATAAGTTTTTTTTTAAATCCACCTATTTGATAGATATTTCGTCACCCCAAGGGGGAAAAAACTGTAAAATAGTATAATGTGGTATTACCCAGATAAGTTGGAAATTTATTTCAGATTTTTTCAATGTGATCACGGTGATATTCTGACTCTGTATGGATTTTAATTGTTTCAATCATGTACCTTACTTTTTCTCTCTATATAATTATGTCTTTTACCTTTTATCATCAGTGACTCCACATATTCTATGTACTTTATGTATCTCATGTGATATTTCATTTGAGGTATTATGTGCAAATATAATGTTCACCCCCCAATAACCCCCCCCCCCTTTTCTCTCTCTCTCTCTCTCTCTCTCTCTCTCGGATTGATATTACTTGTATTGTAGCATATTTATCTTCTCTCTAAGCCTATATTGCATTGTTCATGTTTTATATACTGTTATTTTTTAGTGTAAAATACAATAATTTTGAACCCAAAGTATTTGAATTTGACTTTCAAGGTGTTGAAAGAATAATTGTATCATAGTGTAAAGTATTTATACTGAAATATTTTTGTAATAAAAAGAATCGAACATCATTCGAATTGTATTGATGATTTTATTATTTTTTTGCGTGGTTTGTAAGAGTTTTTTTTTTTTTTTTTTGCGTATATGAAAATATGTGTATACTTTTAATTGGGTTTCAAGCTTCAAGTTTTATTTAAAATCCATTAAAAAAAAATTTTTTAAATTATGAAAGTATAAGATACAGATCTTATCCA